TTACCGTTAATTCCATGTACTCAACTTCCTTTAAAAGTCTCACATGTGGAGCAATGAAGGATAGAGCTTGTGTGTGAGATGGGTGCGCTTTTGCAATTGAAATTGAGGCATGTTATTGAAACACAATAGATGGAGCTTTACAAGACACCTAATCCTGACTGTACGTGATCCGAGAGTGAGCAAATGCTGACAGTTGACCATCTGATGCTAGGAGATGTCTGTAAATGTGACTTTCACTCTTGCCCACATGCTGTTAGTTTCCCCTTCATTCCTTCAGCTATTTCCTTTTCCTGTGCCATTCCTTCCCTGTCTGATGCTCACACTGACAGTCATCATGCTCCCAATGGAAGAAATCCACCTCACTCAGCAAGTTTCGAAACATTTGCCCACAACCAACAACAACGACGACGACAACTTGTATTTATATAGCGCCCCTCACGCAGGGTAGCTTCCCAGAGCGCTTGAGAGTGGCGGAGCACGATGCCAAGTCAGGGGAGTGGGGAGGTGACTGTAGGCATAGTTGACGAGGAAGGTCTTCAGGCGCGACTTGAAGATGGAGAGTGAGGGAGCAGGGGAGTGATCCAGAGTTTTGGGACATGCCCAGCTCCTATAGAGTTACCTGAGAAAGTTGACATTTTTGTGACTAAACAATATCTCTCCTGTTAATGGTGAAGTCCTACCCTGGCATATTTCATTACAAAACATCCTTAATGTGTAGGTCCCGGATGGCACTGGCTGAGCGTTAAAAGAAAATAAAAAGTGTAAATAAAAGATCTTCTTGGGAAGAGTGTGAGAAAAGTGAACATCTAAGAAAACTCAGAAACAAGAAAGGGTTAATGTGAAGGTTAAAGGTGAAGGTAACCCATTAACCATTCCCCCACCGCTGTCATACAGGATCATCCTAACATTATCCTGATTGATCCTCAAATGTCAAGGTTCCTATAATTCTTATCCCCAGTGGCAATTAACAACACCCATTATTATCCCTGTAAGCTTCAATCCCCACCTATATTGATCCGGGTCGCTTTTATTGATCTACCATATCTTCTCCGTAGGGTGGTAGATCATGATAACAGATCTACTGCCCTACAGGAGGAATATTTCTTCTAATCTGCAATCTTGTAAAGTTTGTATTTACGTCCTTCAGAACAACAACAATAATTTGCATTTATATAGCACCCTTCATGCTGGATGATATCTCGGAGCGCTTAACAGTCATGGAGCCTGGTGACTTTTCAAATGCCGTCTTCGCCGGTCTGCCCAGCTCCACCATGCACAGGATCCAGCTGATACAAAATGCCGCTGTCCGCATACTCACCCGCACTAAACTCTGTACCCCCACCACACCAGTTATAACCAAGCTTCACTGGCTCCCTATTACTGAACGGATGGATATCAAGATCCTCACACTCATTTTCAAATCCATTCATCCCCTCGCACCCTCCCTACCTCTCCGACCTGCTTACTCCACAACCCACAACCTTTACTCGACTGGCTCCGGCCTCCTGCACGTCCCTCATGCCCTCCGTTCCACCATTGGCACCGCGCGGCCGCTATGCCCCAAAACACTTCCTCTATCCTTCCACCTTGCTCCTACCTTCCCCATCTTCAGGTGGCACCTGAAGACCTTCCTCTTCGATCGTGCCTATGGTCACCTCCGCCTCCCCCGGCTAGGCGTCATGTTTTGTTACTGTGGAGTGCTCTGCGACCCTACCCTGCGTGAGGGGTGCTATATAAATGCAAGTTGTTGTTGTTTATTACCTAGAAAAATACACCTCCTACAGACATAGCAGACCCCTATTGATTTCAACATGATTTACAGCTATTCATAATAAATCTATATATTGTAAAAAGAAGTCCTTGTAAGGAGGTACGGATCGATGCTACACTACCTTATGTACGTTATGTCAGTGTAATGTACAAGCAAAGGATAGAATAACAGCTCCTTGTTTGTTGGGGAAAGGAGAAGCAGCCATGTGTATGTGCTTGATATCACATGACAAGGTGATATTTTGATGAGGATAGACTAGATAGGTTGGTCTTTTTTTCACTAGAAAAGCTGCCCTTACGTGAGACACCAATGACAAGTACTTCTGGGTCAGGTAAAGCACAGGTTTTATATAGAATGGAATAACCTTCCTTCTAAATTGCCCATCAAGCCCTCCCAGGTCAGGTTCTATGCAATTAGTTGCAGATTGAATCTCTTTCTATTCTGCCCTATCCTCATATGGCATGGAGGCTTTGATGATAACATGGGATCAAGGCTATGAGAAATGACGATTGAAATTGATAGTTCCTCCGTTTCTTAAATTTCTCAGGAAACATCACTGAGTTATTGCAATGCTGAAATATCTCTATGCTCCAAGTATCAGATGAGAAGAATAATTGCATTGCCAGGTATTAGTAACTGCTTAGTCAATCCGTCAACCTTGGTTTGCAGCAATCCTGTCAGACTTTTGTCGAATCAGGAACTATCAGAGTCCAAGAGTATGTCAGTTTCAGATATTCTATTATTAGAATGTGTAAAAAGCCACAGACTAATCGCTCAACTCAGCATCTATCCAAGCCTCTGAGATCCCATGGTAAGCAGATGCCTCTTAAAGTGAATTGACTGTGAATTTTGTGGGTGAAACACAGCAGCCAATTGCGCACAGCAGTGTCCCACAAACTGTTGTGGATTGAGTGACCAAATTTTTTTTTCTCTAAAAGCGATCCGCCAATCGACCAACAACCGGGTCCCACTCACAGCTAGGTAAGCAGTGGTGTGTTGAGCAAGCAAACTTGCCTAAGGTTTCACCCTGCCCGGGATCGAACCCTGGGCCTCTCCCTTGCGAAGCGAGTGCTCTAACCAATATTACTCTACAGGACTTTCGTTGAGGACCCTTCCTTACTGCACAAGTAAGGACTTAGGCAGGTACACCCACCACAAGACTTAAGGATCAGATGAAATCCCTGCCAAGTCTACTAGGAATTGGATGCAAACTGCACCATAAATCCACCAGGGTTTGAATATTCTACGTTAAAACTCCCACACGACTTACAGATATTTGATGCTCACGATCAATAAGAGAGTGATCAGATGTGCCCTCCCCCCATCATAAATCTGTGAAAGATCACATGAAACCTATGCCAAGTCTTCTGGGATGTGACTACATACCATACCATGAAACCACTAGAATTTGAATGCATACTCTATCAGGGATTTAAAAGTTGGCCAAATGCACTAAAGGAGTATGCACATGGAGAGCCATTAACAACAATAATCCTTGCATTTCATGTAGCACCCTTAATGTTGGGAAAATTGGCTGTGAGCAATTGGCTGCCACGTTTCCCCCACAAAACACACAGTCACTACACTTTACAGTATATTCTGTGAAGCACTTTCAGACATCTCGAAGACGTGATAAAGCGCCATATAAAATGCAAGGATTATTATTGTTATAAAATGTTTCAAAACGCTTTACAGGATTTTACTGTAATGTGCAGTGACTGTATGATTTGTGTCTACCTTTTTTTTAAAAAAAATTCCATCTGGATCCAAAACCAATGTCCATCAGTAAAACCCAACTGACACAATTTAGATGATGTTTTTTCCATCTGTTTCAGTGTTTGTCACTATTGGAGTCTTTCAGGCTTCTTGGTAAAGGGACATTGTTTTAAATCACAAGAACAGGGGAAATGAAAGAAAATTTTGTGCTGCAATCTTTCTACTTATTGTTATTATAATAAAAATAATAACAGTCCTTGCATTTGATATAGCGCCTCACCACGTCTTTGAGACATCTCAAAGCACTTCACAGAATATACTGCAAAGTGAATTGACTTTGTATTTTGTGGGCGAAATGCGGCAGACAATTATGCACACCAGTGTCCCACAAACTGTTGCGGATTGAGTCACCAAATCTTTTTTTTAAGAGATTATTACGCCCGGAAAAGCGATCCGCCAATCTGCTAAAAACCAGGTTCTTTCTTACAGCTAGGTAAACAGAGGCATGTGGAGTAAGGAAACTTGCCCAATTTATTGACCTGCTCGGGAATTGAACCCAGCTTCTCTCATTTGCGAGGCGAGTGCTCTAACCCCTAAGCTACAAGACTCCACAATTTGGAGTTGCAATTAACTTCTGACAACTCATGACTCCAAGGGGAAAGGGCTGAGGCATGAGTTATCAGGAGTGGCGTAGTAGGCATATGTACAAGTACATAAGTACCACAAATATACACGACTGTTTGTGGGACGCTGCTGTGCGCAATTGGCTGCCGCGTTTCGCCCACAAAATATACAGTCAATTCACTTTACAATATATTCTGTGAAGCGCTTTGAGACGACTAGAAATGTGAAAAGCACGATATCAAATGCAAGGATTATTATTATTATAATATTGTAAAGCAGTCGGGATATTGACAGTGACAAGTGGTTGTGACAAGTTAAGGCAGGGTCAAGGTATCAGGAGTTCACTAGTGTGTGAGGTTGCAGTTGCTAGGATAATGGCTAGGATAACAGAGTTCAAGGCAGCAGATGATGAAACACACCATGCTGCAGCAATGAGAACGACTGTTTAACCCAGCAAGAACCAAATATATATATATATATAAAACAACATTCACGTTAATTTAACTCAAAAGACAAACCCCTTTCCGAGCAAGCTGTACATCCATCTCATGTCACTTTAATTGGATTCACACCAATTTTCTACAAACTTTTGGATCCAATTCCCAATGAGTCTTTCAAGGACGACTGGAACTCAGGTGCACAACTCAATGTGGAAGGAGTTAGGACAATGTCATTGTCTCTTCCCCCTGGGATTAATTAGCAAGGGTTCTTGTCTCTTTATATCAGATGTAAGATCTCTGAGCGCGTGAGCAGCCGTAATATCCTGAGAGAGAACTTGACTGCTTTCTTTTCCCCTTACCTAACGTTACTCTAAACTGACCACAATTCCCCGTTTCCAACAGTTGACATTAAAGGTTCGGACGGAAAGCAACAAACAAACATACGGTACCTTGTGCAGTATCTCCTCATTGTAGTGAACGATGATGCTGGAGGAAGGCGTATGACCCTCTTCCGTGTCTGTGTCCATGGCAGAAGATCCGTAAGCGCTGTCTGGGCAATGTATCTCTCCGTAAGGGGCACTGTACAGCTCTGACCCTGGCTCCATCGCCTACTGCACCACCAAAAAGAGATGAGAGGGGAGGGAAGGGTTTCTGTGGCTCTGCAGTTGTGTTCAGCACCAAGGACAGCTCCTGCTTCACCAATGCACTCAGCACCCAGTACCAACCCCAACAGCTCCTCTCTCTCTCTATCTCTCTATCTCTCTCTCTCTTTGACTCTCTTTCTCTATCTCTCTCTCTCTGTCTCTCTTTCTCTCTCTCTCTGTCTCTCTCTCTCTCTCTCTCTCTCTCTGTCTCTCTCTCTCTCTCTCTCTGTTCAGCTCCTCAATCAATGTACAGATTGGGAAAGGCTTTTTTTTTTCTCTCCTCTCCTTCCAAGAAGTCAAGTTGCCAAGGATGATGCTCAGCTCCCACTGTTAGATGCAACCCAGAGCTTCAGATGCAAGGATTGATATTATATATATATATATATATATATATATTATATAAATACAGCGTTCAGATCAGACCAGAAAAGGTCTGACACTCTAAGCAGCTGCTGGTACTTGACCCACCTCCAAAGAAAAGTCTCCACCAAACAAACAAATGCTTTCTCTCTCTGTATCTCTCTCTGTATCTCTCTTACTCTCTCTCTCACACACATACACATATATATAAGGGGCAGAGATTGCTCTCTATCTCCAGCACCAGCAGCTGCTGTTCCTTTGTGCAGTTCAGATCTTTGCCGTCACATTTATAATAGGGGGAGAAATCGAGAGGATTAAAAAAAAAACCCACACAAATACGCAATGACGCAGAACGCATTCTCACAGACACAACAAAAAACCCAGCCCAGAAATTCGAGAGCTCATCACTTCCCCTCTGCCACCCCCCCTATTGCATTCTATAACACCAAAGCTGTGTGGGTTTCTCATTGCAAAATAGCTGTAATTAATATGGAACTCAGATATTCACAGTGCTGTCATAGAAATGGGGACTGAGCCATATATATATACATTCATACATACATATATACACACATACATATATACATTCATACACATTCATACATATATATACACATACATATATACATTCATACATGTATATATACATTCATATATATATACATACATACATATATACATTCATACATACATATATGGAAATGCATATATACATATACATACATGCGTCTTTTCTCTTGACGAGTAAGAGAAAATGGGACTGGCAAATAGTGCAGTCATCAGATTGACAGTTAAGTACAGCAGCTCGTTGTGTTCTGCTCTTTTTTGTGAATGGATTGACGCATTATTACTATTGATTGACACAGAACTCATGGGATTCAGAACCCACGAAAGTTTAAGGCTTTCATTTCTGAGTATCTGAGTTCATTTCTACTGCAGAATGAGTCATTTTTTTCCTCTCTCCCCCCCCTCCCCCCCCCCCCCCTCTCCCCTCTCCCCTCCACACACACACACACACAAACACTCCAATGACACATAAACCCACAGGCAAAACACAACACACCACAATTAGTCTCTATCTTTAATGCTGATATTTCATATGCTTATACATATAATTTTAGTGAAATTGTTAACTTTTATTCAGCTCGCAGGGAGATAGCATAAAAGTATATAGTTTGGGACAGGACATGTCAAGCGACTGCCAGGATGGTGGGAAGGCAAACTAGATGGACCTTGGTCTTCTTTCTCCTAGCAAATTCTTGTGTTCTTATGTTCTTATCACAAACTTCAGCAGTAAAAGGAAAGGAATATGTGGCTTTTCTATATGGATAATAATAACGGTAATCCTTGCATTTGATACATCATGTTGTTGAGATGCCTCAAAATTCTTCACGGAATTTACAGTGCCGTAAAGTGAATTGACTGTATATTTTGTGGGAGGAATGGATGTAAGGAACTGGGGGTTGTGGGGTGGGGATGTGGGGGGCTGTGGGATGCTGGAATGAGCACAGTATCTGAGCCAAACCCCCCCCCCCACCCCCCCCTCTACCATCCTCCACAGAGGAGAGTGCATTTCACAATCAGGTGCATCTACAGTTACAGAACTCTCTGCAGCTGATGCAGCTGAACATTGAGAGGAGTCTATACTCCTGGAAGATCAGTTGTTATGGAAAATCACTGCAGATCTGTCACACATCGCTCCCTGACCCCACTTTAAAGCAGTGTAGCACAGGTGTGTGAGACCATGGGGCATTTAGTGATGTACGATAACCAGGAGCTGGTTCCGTCACAGTTCCTGTGAGATGGCACTCTGAGATCAGGGCATTGCTGATGCCCTAATCTCAGGGTGCCATCTCACTGGCATGTGTGCAACCCCCGGTGGTCACATGTAAGGGAAACCATCTGATTTACAGATGATTTAGCAGGGATCTATGGGCTGTGTCACAGCTGAGTCATAGAGGGTTTTTATTCAATTCAAGTAGCAGCTTAAAATATTTTGAATATTAAGGTAATATGATTGTAATAATGCATTGGAGTCCTTTGGAACTCCATCCCACAGTCCCTTCTCCTCATCCCCTTCCTCGCCTCCTTCAAGGCCCGGCTCAAGACTTTCCTCTTTGACCGGACCTTTGGTCACCCACCTACCCCCACCCTCCCTGTTCTCCACCCCTCCTGATCATAACCCTCAGCTCGAGTGCACATCCTTGATTGTCCAGTACTTTGGGACGTGAAAGGCAGTACACAAATGTAATTTGTTGTTGTTGTCCTGTGAATGGTGTATTGTGAACTGGATCAAATTCCCCTCCGCAAGGTGGATCTCACTGTGTCACTATGGGAAAACACTCCAGTGGTGACCAAGGATTTCTACATGGTAAGGATGGGAAGGAAGAGTTATATCAGCAGGTCAGGCAGCATCTATGGAGAGAGAAAAGTGGGTTAATATTCCAGGTTGATGACCTTAGATGCTGCCTGACTTGCTGAGTGTTCCCAGCGACTTCAGTCTTTATTTCAGATTTCCAGCATCTGCAGTATTTTGCCTTTTTGTTTAGAGTTGTATCAGTTGTTGTTGAACACGTTATAGCTTTTCATTTCAGATCAGATTGGCAAAGGCCAATAAGGAGGGGAAGACTCCTTGGATAACTAACACATGTATAAAGTATCAGTAAACCCTAAAATCCAAATCTAGGGGCAACTCACGTGTAAGGTATGACATTGCAGCACAATGCAGGTGATAGCAGTGCAGTGAATTAGGACAGGAGAGTTGGTGCTGTGGGAAATGACCTTAAAGGACATTTTGACACAGTGTGCAGTGAAACAATTCCAGCACTGTGTGACAAGATAGTCATAGCGTAGCATAGGCATAGCCTGGGGACCAAGTCAATTCCGCAACAAAGAGTAGGGAGGAAAATAGCTTATACAACTGGATTAATCCTTGTTACATTATTTTGTATGAAGAATAGCATGGGAACGATGGGAGCCTCAGATTTAATCAATAGATTGACTTGGATTATATATAGAATGATGGATACCCAGGATTGAATTAAAAATTGGAATCTCATTTTGAGTCTGTGCCTGAATAATTTACATACAGTATAATGGATAATGAGGAGCAGGTTCCAGGCGAGAATCTAATAAAGTGATTTAGGTGATTTATATATATATAATAATAGATCGTGTGTTGTATGTTACAGACTGAAATCTAATCAAGGAATTCAGAGGACCGAAATACTCCTGATCTCAGCTTTACAATATAATATATAATATAATATAATATCACCCACAAAAAATATACAGTCAATTCTTTACAGTATATTCTGTGAGGCGCTTTGAGATGTTTCAAAGGCGTGATAAGGCGCTCTATCAAATGCAAGGATTATTATATTATTATATTTCCTATCTTAAAATGGAAAATTTTAAATTTAGGTTTAATTAGGAATCCTGTTTTCAACAAATACTCCTGAAAAAGCTGCAGAAAACTTGCTTTCAAATTAAGACTGAATTTCGCCCATAGTCAATCCACTTTACAAAATATTCTGTAAAGCGCTTTGAGACGTCTCAACGACACGATAAGGCGTTATATCAAAGGCAAGGCTTATTGTTATTATTATTAACTTGATAATTATACAAACATCTGCAATGATCTAAAATGTTTAGACAATGGTCTTAAAAGATAACACTAAGCAAAGTTTGGGGATCTCTGATACTTTTTTATTTAGAATAACAAATGATCAGGTAACCAGAATGGTCCTAAGGGGTTTGTGTGGTTTATATACAAAACAACAGATATCTTGGAATTGGTTACCAGCTAGAATTTAATTTAGGATTTCAGTTTATATTAATAATAACAATAATCCTTGTATTTGATAGAGCACCTTATCACATCTTAAAGACATATCAAAACGCTTCACGGAATAAATTTGAAAGTGTAATGACTGCATATTTTGTGAGCGAAATGCGGCAGCCAATTGCTCACAGCAATTATGTTAATAATAGGTTTTGAAGGATTAATGATTCTGATGTGATAAGTTCACATTTAATGACTATGTGAAACAGTAGATTGACAGAAAATAGTAGTCAGGGGAAAAATTCAGCTACTTTTCCTTCACTGTCTGGAATTCTTTCCCAAGATCCCTCCTCAAATCCTTCCTATCTCCCTCTCTTCCTCTTTGATGTGCCTTCAGACCTTGCTACACTATTTCCCAGCCAGCTCAGGCTCCCGTGCCTTTTCTGTGAAGCGCTTGGAGATGTTTTCCATTTGAAAAGTGCTATAGAATTGCAGGTTGTTGTTAGTAATAGTTTTCTACCTTCGTCACTTAACCCCGTGCTGACAGAGCTAATAAAATAGTTCTGAAAATAGTTTTAAAAGAAAACCCTGAAAAAGTGTTGGAAGCGCAATGAGACCCAATGGAATGATTCAAGGCATCTTTGTAGTCAGGAGGTATCTGCCTCATTAATATTGTTGTTGGTCTGAGCAGTATTGAACTCAGTTCTGTTCCTCAAGGGTTCCTTTATTTGAAATCTCATTAGAAGCAGTGGGACGTAGGCAGCGTAGGAAATCATCTGATTTGTGATCACTCTCTATCGATTCGAGCCAAGTTTCTACCACAGAACCAATCGAACAATGAGCTTGACATTTTTATTAACACCTACAGTGAGACCAATTTCCAAACTCAAGACAGATGTTACAGGTCTCCACAGAAACACTGAGGTTGAGAAATCACAAGGTTAACACGCACAGACACATCTTTAGTTTCACTGTGACAGACAGCATCTAGAAAACATATGACAAGGTCCGTAACTGAGCAGTGGATGAGATATATCCAACTACCGTCTTTCCCATCATTTTGACTTCACCAGTTATCATTCTTTATGTCTCCACAACAACTTGCATTTATAGAGCGCCCTTCATGCCGGACGGTGCCTCGGAGCACATGTTTCACCATACAGTCGGCTGTTAGTCGATTGGCGGATCACTTTCCAGTAATGAACCCTCCAAAATAAACAAATTTGGTCACTCAATCCACGACTGTTTGTGGGACAGTTTGCTGTGCGCAATTGATTGCTGCGTTTCGCCCACAAAATACACAGTCAATCCACTTTACAATATTCTGAGAAGCGCTTTGAGACGTCTCTATGATATGTTAAGGTGCTATAACAAATGTAAGGATTATTTTTATCATACAAGCAAGCTATCTGAGTGGCATCACACTCGCACTTACTGTTTCACTTGGCATCCCTGGATGACCTTTCACCTCCCCAACTCAGCAAACTGACGAATATTCCAACCCAGGAGACAGTGAGAATTGAGTCTGGGAACGTCTAAATTTTTAATAGTTCTATTAACAAAATTCAGCTGCTATGTTTTCAGAAGTTGCATCTTTCAGCTGCCGATTCATTCATGTAGCGCCATGTGATATTTTGCCTAAAGTACAGTCAATTATTTACGAAGTCACATTGTACTAAAACTTCAGTCTCCTGCATTTGACACATATATATTTAGATACCATATTATATATAGTATATACTTTGGATATAGAATCATAGAATCATCGAATTATACAACACAGAAGGATGCCATTCGGCATCGTGTCTGTGCCGGCTCTTTGAAAAGAGTTATCCAAATCAACTCCACTCACCCGCGCTCCCCCCATAGCCCTGCAAACCTGTTCTGCCCAAATAATTATCTACTTCTCTCTTAAAAGTTGTTATCGAATCGGCGTCACCACCTTTCAGGCAATGCATTCTAGATCTGAACAACTCGCTGTGTGAAAAAAGTTCTCCTCACTTCCCCTTTGTTTCTTTTAACAACTATTTTAAATCGGTGTCCTCGGGTTACCGACCTACTCGCCAGTGGGTCAGTAACCCGAGGACACCGATTTAAAATAGTTAACTGTTTGTATTGCAAAAGTAGTTGCCATCTGCAATTAGAATACTGTGTACATCTACAAAATAGGAGCATGATGTTGCTTCAGCCTCGACAGTGCATCAGAGTGTCATCTGATTTGACAACTGGTACTGTTTCATCTCACGTCTATGCATTTGCATTCTCCTGCAAGTATCCCTGGATAGTGATTGGCAGCAGGAACCCTAGATGGTTTGGAGTCAACATCTTACATCTACTTACTATAAGTACCGTTCATTTTGACTCCGCTTTCAGAGATGTCCTCCCAACAGCAAAGGCATTACCGTACGTAAATGTAAAGTTGTTGCTCTTAATGTGCTTTCAAGATGGAACAGCGAAATTTAAAGATTAAACTAACTCCTACACTTACTTTAGCGGCCCAATCATTGGGCAAGTTTCAACAACCCTCTGTTTACCTAACAATAAGTAGGAACGGTTGTTAGTCGACTGGTGGATTCCTTTTACGGGGCTAATAATCCCTTAAAACGTTAATCATAATTTGGTCACTCCAATCCACAACTGTTTGTGGGACACTGCTGTGCGCAATTGGCTGCCGCGGTTCGCTTACAAAATATACAAAATATTCACTTTACAGTATATTCTATGAAGCACTTTGAGATGTCTTGAAGACGTGATAAGGCACTATATCAAATGGATTATTATTATTATTAACTAAACCACAGTAGAGAGATGCAGCAGAGACCCACCAGGGAGCAAAGGTTGTTTTGAGCCCAGCTCTCTTTAGTTTTGCCACAGGCAAAAACAATGGAAATTTGAGAAGGGACACATCAGCCACCAGTGGTACTATTTTGAAGGAAAGTTTTATTAAAGTGTTACAGAATGAGAGGAGTATTACTGACCACTATAATAATAATAATAATAATAATCCTTGCATTTGATATAGCGCTTTTCACGTCGGGAGGACGTCCCAAAGCGCTTCACAGAAGACACTGTAAAGTGAATTGACTGTATATTTGAGGGCGAACGCGGCAGCCAATTGCGCACAGCAATGTCCCACAAACAGTCGTAGATTGAAAATGACCAATTTATTATTGTTTTTGGTTTTGGAGGGATTATTATTAGGCTCTGTGTGGAGTAAGGAAACTTGCCCAAGGTTTCGCCCTCTGCCTGGAATTGAACTCAGGTCTCTCACTTGCAAAGCGAGTGCTCTAACCACTGAGGCACAGGACTCCACTAACCAGTAATAATCTTCGCACAATATAAAAGAGGTGTCAAAATTTGCAGTTATGTTAGAAACTGTCAGTTCCGGGAGGTGGATTGCATCAGAGTAGAATTGCCTGGGTCAGCACAAAGTATTTCTGGTTATCAAAACAAATTATGCTTTTATAGCGCCTTTCACGTCAGGAGGACGTCCCCAAAACAGCCTCACCCCATGTAAATCAGTTTAATCAATAGAGCATCCAGAATCTGGCAATTTGTTGAATTCGATCTTGACTTTGAAACCGAATTTCGGTAATTTCGTCAAATAATCTTTGAGAAAACCGGCTTCAAATAATTAAGATTTTAATTAAGAATTTCACAAATTGTGGATGCTCTGAAATGTTGTGTAAAAAAAAAACGACTGAATCTAAACCCAGGTGGAATGCCTCCTCCTACATTTGTTAAACATTGCAAGATATTCTCTTGAGTCCGGGTTCAACCGAACATTGCTATTTTACTGTCTGTTAAGCAAAAAAAAAAATTCTGTCGATGGTGGCTTGGTCAGATTGCAGCGTATCCAGGCTTGTGTTTTATAGATAGACTCTGGGAAGTCCAGTATCACAGGAGTGAAATGCAAATGTCCTGAGATGTAACATGGTGATCATAAGATTGCGCTCAGTCTCCCCCGGTCTGGGCAACTTCACGGACACTCAGAGCCGGAGCAGTTGTAGTTAAGTCATATTACTGCACAACTCCAACAGGTTGACCCCTCTGCTTTGTCCAATGTCGTAGAGATCTGAGAGGGCAGGGAGCTCGGGTGGGGGTGTGGGGGGGGGTGTGGGTGGTGAGTGAGGGAGGTAAGCAAACGTTTAGAAAGCTTCTGTCTAAATCTAAATGCAAGCCGTTAACTTTTGAGTTGATATCCTGAACTGGGCTGGGAGCTGGGGGGAGCTGGGTTGGACTAATTGCACTCCCTCCCTCCCTCCCTCCCTCCTCTTGCAACCTCTTATCTCTCTTTAAAGTTTTGGGGGAAAGTTCTGGTCAAGAGAAGAACAGCATGTTGCAGCTGACGTGAACGGGGAGGACAGGCTGTTTCATTCTCTGTGGTTTTCCCAATCATGGGAGGCAGAGGATGGTGTGAAGGCACAGGTGGAGGCACAGAGCAGAGGGCCAGGGGGCTGGGGAGCCAGAGAGGGCAGCCCTGGGGGCTGTTCGCGTTGCTATCCCTGTCGCTGTGGCTGTGGCTGGTGTCGGGGCTGGAAGGAAGCGCTTCACTTGGGGCTGGGACAGAGACAACGAGAGAAGCTGGATCAGAAGCCACAGGTGCAGAGAGGAGCCTAGACACTGGGACTGAGATCAGCGTCAGAGACCTGGGGCAACTCCAGACAGGAGCCACCGTCGGGTTAAGGCGCAGGAGACCAGCCCTGAGGCAACACAGGTGCCCACATCGCTGCTTTTGCATCTCTACCGCTGTGAACTGCTCAGGAGCTGGGATGAAAGCAATCCCACCTGCCCCGGATTGCCCCCCACACACCACCGTCCTGTGAGTAAACAACAACAGCAAATTACATTGCTACAGCCTCCTTCCTCCACCGCCTTCAGCCACTCTCGCTTTCCCTCCGCGGGATGAAACGATAATCCTTGCATTTGAATACAGCGCCTTAGCGGATCGCTGAGACGTCTCGAAGCGCTTCACAGGCTACGTATCGTGAAGTGTAGTGACTGTATTTTGTGGGCGAAACGGTGTACTTTGCGCAAAGCAGACAATTCACTTATATTCAGAATATATTTCTGTGAAGCTCTTTTGAGACGTCTCAACGGCACGATATCAAATGCAAGGATTATTAATATTATCATTATAGTTCTCAATGTGTAATCTCTTTAATCTTGGTTTAGTGACCCGGTGATCAGTCCCTTGTAACAAAGGGTTACCTTAGTCAATTGTTGAAACAACGCCCGAACTATTTTTTTTTTCGGGGGGTGGGGGTGGAAGACAAATTAATTAGATAGGTGCTTAAAAAGAGGAATATTAAAAAAGTGGTGGAGTGTGAGATTGGACCAAAGTGCCTGCAAAATAGACTGTCACTACACTTCAGAGTAAATCTTGTGAAGCACTTTAGTTGTCAGAAGGTTGTGGGTTCAAGCCATAGGGATGGTTCATAGTCTCGATGACATAGAGATGCAGCACAGGGGAGTCATGTTCATCGTTGGCGATGCTGCCTTTCAGAGGAGACGGTGAACCAAGGTCTTGTTGGGTGGACATTGCAAAAGCCCCAGGGCACAATCAGAAATAAAAGGGAGGTCGCCACGTTGTCTTGGCCAACAACCCTCCAGATCAATTGGCCGTCCTCATTGACTGTTTGGAGGATCTTGTTGACACTAACCATAGAATCGAAGAATTATACAGCACAGAAGGAGGCCATTCGGCCCATCATGTCTGTGCCGGCTCTTTGAAAAGAGCTATCCAATTCAATCCTACTCCCCCACGCTCTCCGCATTTGGAGGATCTTGCCGACACTAATGGCTGCCATGTTTCTCCACAAGAAATAGTCACTACATTTGTCAATCAAGATTTTCACAATGAGAGGTTCTTCCATAATAAGAAACTAAATCTTCGCATCTCACATGCACACGTACATATACACTCTACTCACACGCACATCCACTCCACACACATGCATATACACACCCAACCTCTCTGTCTGTCTCTCACATACCCTGGTTTGCTCTGTCCCTATCTCAACATACTGTAATTTTCACATTACTTGCATATATATATATATTGTCTTGTCGCTCATGTAATCTTTCTTTCTGTTTCTCTCGCACATATTCTTGTATGGCGAGGATGTGATTGACAGGTTGACTGTGCCCGGGAATCAGTTGCTGAAATTTATTTTCTCTTTGAATGAGGGAAAGTTGCAACATAGGAACAGGGGTGATCTAGATGTGATGGAATCCATTTCCAATCTTGATTGCAGCTTCTCCTCCGTCTGTCCTGAACACGGTGTGTTACTGTAATCAAGGGTAGATGGTTCACAATGTGCTGAGCACACCACGCAGCCTTAGTCCCTTCCAGTGCTTCTGCCCAGTTAACCATAACTCATTTGCATTGGTTCATGAGGCGTTGTGATATATTTCTGTTTCTAGCAATCGTGTGAGAGACAAAAAATCATGTGAGATGTTTTGTCTCTCAGACAGCAGCAAATACGCTTAAATTTGAAGACTTACCTCTTCAGTTTTCCCCTCCCCATCCTCTTCTGTCTGGCTCCTTGGAGGTTGGGTTAGGAGCGTAGGAACAGGAGTAGGCCATTCAGTCTTTAAGCCTGTTCCGGCATTCTATTGGATCATGGCTGATCAACTCCATCCCTTGATACTCTTTACTCAATGAAAATCTATCGACTTGTCTTGAAAATTTAAATTGATCCAGCATCCACAGCCGTTTGGGGGAGAGGGTTTCAGATTTCCACTACCCTTTGGGTGAAAAACTGCCTCTTGATTTCACTCCTAAATGGCCTGGCTCTAATTTGAAGATGATGCCCTTCTTCTGGATTCCCCACCAGAGGAAATAGTTTCTCTGTATCTACTCTATCGAATTCCTTTATCACATTAAACACCTCAATCAGATCACCTCTCAACCTTCTAAACTCAAGAGATTATTATTATTATTATTATAAGGGTTGAAGCTGCTGTGCTGTTAGACAGTTGAGTTATTGAGAGCAGCATTACGCTGTTGGGTTCGCTGTGAAGACATCTCTCGTGGGAGGTTGTGTGAATGGAATGTGTGGATTTTCGCTGCCCGTACTCAGACACATTGTTCCAGTGCTGATAATTTCACAGATGCCTGGATTTGAAGCCTGGGTCGATCCAAGTTTAACAATCCTTTTGAACGTGTGTCTTTTTTTGGCGGGGTGGGAAGAGTGGGAGGTTGGGATGGTGAGAACTCAGTGGTGGGGCAGGGAGGGTGGGGGAGAATCTTTCATGAGAATCTCCTTCGTGTTTATCTACGTGTTGGCTTCAGAGCTGTGGGATTCCGCAGGTTGTTAGCAGTTTCAAGCACAAGTGGATAAGATTTGCATTCCGGTGAGCTGCCTCTCGCTTGGGCAGCTGCTGTTAATGAGCTCTCTCCTCAGCAGCCCCCACAGCCTTGAGGGATTTGTTTATTTTTTTAAATCAATCTCTCTCGGCCCATCCTGGCCCATCCTGGCCCAGCCCTGAGGAGCTATCCTGCCAGAGAGCGAGTTCAATCACTGGTTTTTCAGTCTCACTGATTCACGGCGAGAGCACAGGACAGATGGATTATTCTTAAACTAATAATGTAATGAGATGGGAACCAGATTACAGAAATTGCCCCAATTAATAGGCTACAAAGACTGTTAGCCTTACAAAAAAAACAGTCACTACACGTGACTTTAATTACACGCAAAGCACGTTGCAATGGTTCAAGGTTATGTGTGCTATAAAAATACAAAATACACAGTCACTGCACTTTAGTAGTCCAGTACAGGAGTCCCGTAGTGTAATAATTAGCGCGCTCACCTCACAAGCGAGAGGACCTGTTGATATTTACTGACCCCCCACCCATGTCCCCAGCTGTTTGCATTTAAGTGAGTTAGTCACAAATTGTGACCAAAGCTTGAAATAAAGGAGCAAATAACGAGGGGGGAAAAAAGCCAATGTGTACTGTCTTCTATAGACTAACGTCGCCTGGCAACTGCTAGTCAGGACTTTCTATAAACCCACAGTCGAGAGAGAACAAGAGCGTAGTTTGGGGGGACGGGCAAGTGATTAAAACGAGTGACAGGAAAGGCAGCAGGGTGAGTAATTGAGTTCTTTACTGCCGTTTGGAAAAGGTTGGAGCTTGTTTATGCTTAGCTGTGGAGATCATGTCGGTTTTACTAATCGTCTTGTTAAAGTATCTTTACTAGAACTGGTGCTTCATTTTGGGTGGCCTGAATTTATAAGCGAAGCTATGCTGGAAGTCTGAAATAAAAACAGAAGTCGCTGAGTTTTAGGTTGATGAAGAAAGGTCATTAACTCACTTTCCTCTCTCCATAGATGCTGCCTGACCTGCTGACTGTTTCCGGTAACTTCGGAATTTATAAGCTCTTGTTTTGTGCATTGGTGAAATCCTGTCAACACTGTTTAATCTGGGCAGTCGAGCCTTGCTTGTAAATTTCAGATCTGTTTTATTATAAATATGGGCAAGTCTTTACGCTCACCTCCCATTGACTCAGTGGGAAAATGTATAGTCTTGTGTGGTACTGAGCCATAATGACCGTAGTCCTGTAATGAAGTGGTTAGAGCATTCACCTCGCAAGCGAGAGGATCTGGATTTGATTCCCAGGCAGGGCGAAACCTTAGGCAAGTTTCCTTATTCCAAATGCCTCTGTTTACCTAGCAGTAAGTAGGAACCCCGTTGTTATTCAATTGGCAGATTGCTTTCTGCAGGTAAGTGTGGTTAGCAAGTGGTCCTGTATTCTCAGATATTCTCTGACACCAGGTTATGCTGTTTAATACCTGAGTGTGGTTGCTGTGCGGGCAACAGCTTCTACCCTATAAACAAATTAACGCACCCAGATATTTACATTTTGTGAACGTCCATCTTCGGATACGAAGGGCAATCAACACTGAGACGTACGGAGCAGTGTAGGTCCTGGATTCAGTCTCTGGTCTGTGCAGAGTTTGCTGATTTCAACCAGTGAGGGAGCAACAATACGATTGATCAGACTTGAAGATACAGTATTCACCAACTGAAATGCACAGCCATTTCACCAGTGCATTCACCATGAGAGGAATTACCCCCAGGGTTGACCAGCTCCGAATAAGCAGGTTCTAGTCTCTATCTCCTATAACCATCTATCGGTCCAGTTATTTTTCATTCTTCAGTTAAATACTGAGCATCGAAGCTCAAAGCCTACCAATCGTTCTACTCTTTGATGTATAAATGAGAGTTTCCTACATTATATTTATAGCAGATCAGATATTTAGCTCATTAGCAGAATTGGGATGTGAGTGGCTCAGACTCAAGGCATTGAATACTAATGCTGCTATTATATAACAGGTCTGCCTACACCAGAAGTGACTCTATTCCCCTCTGGCACATATGAGTGTGGCTTTAGTGCGGCTGCAGCCTTTACATTTTTCCAGTTGTTTATTTCTCACAGGCAGATAACCTCAGAGAAATGCTTTTTTTCCTAAACAGCTGAGGATGGCTTTGCTCCCAACCTTGTTTTCCTGCTTCTGTCAACGTCATTCAGGTATATGTTGATCGAGGAAACAAATGATCCCAACAGGGCCATACATAAGCATTGATAGGATTGCACCATTCAGAGGGCACCTAGGTTGTTATGAGGGCTCTCTTAAGTGCAATGCTATTGATTGCAACAACAACAACAACAACTTGCATTTATGTAGCACTCCTCATGAAGGGTAGTGTCCCACAAGGTTTGAAAGCGGAAGGGACACTCCTTTAAGCACACTGTGCTGTGAATTGCTGAATAATTATGAATAAATGATGTGAAATGTTGCCTTGTTTGGAGGTTTAGAAGTCGCTGTGGAGAAATGTTGCTGTTTCTGTCTGACTATCTGAGCAGTGATGAGTAACTGCAGGGAGGATGAAGGCAATGTTTCGTGAACCGTTTCTCAAAGAAGAGAATTCCAGTCTGTTCTGTACACACATACCCAGCAGAGCAATTCGTCACCACTTACACACAGGCTCAATGAACAGGAAAAGCCTTCCTGAATATTATGGATCTAATTTGGGAGGTACATTAACAACCCATGTTATGTGCCCCGCATTAAGGATGCATAATAATAATAATTATTATTATTATTGACTTGCATTGACTGCTCTGCGCAATCAGCTGCCGCATTTCGACCACAAGTTACACAGTCAATCCACTTTACCGTATGTCCTCTCAATGATGTGATCAGACACTATATTAAATACAAGGATTATTATTATTATTATGGGAACATTCAGCCAGGGTTACCCAATCCTGCTGCAAAATGCTTGTGTGGAAATCAGGTGAGGACTGAATCAGGCTCTGCTGTGATGCTCCTCATGATGGAATGGCCTGCCATCACTAGCATTGGTTCACATGAGTACAAAGTATCAGACGGGAGATTGGGGCCCCTCAAAGAAGTCAACGGTTCAAGAGAGTAGGGATTGGGAGAAAATTAGCGTGGTCAAAAGCTAGACTAAACTGATTACCTCTTAAATAAATACTGTAGATAAGCATGCATGATCCTAGTCCTCAGTGAGACTCCTTTAAAATGGCTGTTCCAACTCCACCCTCCCAATTATTTATGGGATCTTTAGAGCTGTAGCAATGCAACTATTTTACCAAAATAACAATAATAATAATCCTTGTATTTGATATAACGCCTTATCCCATCCTCGAGATGTCTCAAAGCGCTTCACAGAATATACTGCAAAGTGAATTGACTGTATATTTTGTAGGTGAAATTTTGGGTATAATTTGTGGTCAAAAGGAAACATGCTATCAGGTGTCTGTTTAAACAAAGTAGAGCACAAAAGAGTTGGACTTTCTAAACTCTTTTAAACTCTGTCGAACCGCAGTATAATTTCAGGGTGTTAATTTGACACAGAGCAGAGGTGGGGAGATGTGATGGGTTGCTCCTGGTCCTATGAGCTTGTCTGCAGAGCAGAGAAATTGAGTTGTGATGAGCTTCCTTGATAACAATTCTTGTTTGTGTATTTTTGCAGGGATTTGTCCCACAATCTGATCAACGAGTTGCCTCCAGCGATCCTGTCCAACTTTGAGAGTCTGCAGAGACTGTAAGAGCCAGTTCTGTCTGTATTAGTCTGTAGCTTTAGCAGGTCTGTTCTGCGCCATTGTCCTTTAGCTGAAGAGCTCCTTATTGTGGAGAGAGTTGGGATCAGCTGCAGAAAAAACACCTCCCCGTCCACCCTTCCTGCACCCTGATGTCTACCAGATCATTGATTAAGAGGAGAGAGTTCGGGATGAGCACAATTCCACGAAAGGCTTCAGAGGAATAGTGCAACAAAATCAATACCCAATTATTGCAGCTCAGAGTTTGTAGATCTGAAAAGTCTTAACAGCTCAGCAAAGTCCAGCGGCTCAATCCATGACTGTTTGCTGCTGTGCACAATTGGCTGACGTGTTTCACCCACAAAATACACACTCAATCCACTTTACGATATATAGATGTGAGACGTCTCGACAATGTGATAAGGCACTGTATCAAATGCATATTAAATCAATTTTATTATTATTTATTATAATAAAGTCCAATTGTCTGAGTGTCTGAGTTTGGTGTGGGGGTGTGTAATCCGTATGCTTTGGGGATCTGGTTGAACTGAACCCACTGTTCTCTTCCCTGCAGGTATCTCCAGGGTAATTCCATTAGGGCTCTCGGCAATAAGGTATTTGCTGGAAGAAGATCACTCGTTATCCTGTAAGTCCACCTCTCTTTCAGAAGACCTTCTCCAACGAAAAGTGTGTGAGTTTGCTGACCAGTTTGTGTTTCACAGGGATTTGAGCAACAATACAATTACTACTGTTGAAGATGGGATATTTAATGATTTAATGGGATTACGTTCCATGTAAGTTTGTTTTTCTTGTCAAATATGATTTAAATTTTTTTTGCAGAATGTTCTTATCAAAGTGGGGGATGAAATAGAAAGGGTCAGCACCCAGCAGTCTGGGATTAGATACAGCACAAGTTAGATACATAGTAAAGCTCCTCTATAGTGTAGAGTCTACACTGTCCCATCCATCAGTCACATTTCACTCTCTACAGCACATATTGGATATAGAATAAAGCTTATTGAACTCCGCCACAGTTGGGACACTCACATGGCAAACTCACAACCAACAGAGACTTTTAATTTCTATCAATCTGGAATTCAGCTCCCAGTTGTACCCGCATGGTATAACCTAGTGAGACATTTGCAACCTGCTCAATGTAACAATGTAGGACAAGGTAATGAGGAAAGTGGCCATCTTGCGAGAACCCAGTAGTGTTCTTGTTGTTGTGGAACAGTTCTCAAATATCTGACCTCATTATCCGGGAGTTTGGGGTAAATCTGTAGCAACGCACTTTAGTGCTTCACATTGGAGAGCCTTGAACCTGTTGATGGGGGGATCGGGTTGGGGGGGGGGAATTAGGAGGAGGAAGGCTTATCAATACAGAGGGTGGCTGGGGGGAGGGAGGTGGACGAGGGAAGGGTTCAATCTTCTTGGGAGCTGACTTTGGTGTTCCCTTTGATCAGAAAGCTTGGTTGGAACCAGTTTGTTTGTGGCTGTGACCTGTCTTGGCTGAAGGTCTGGATCCAACACAGAGAAGCCATTGTGTTGGACAGAGATGAGATCTGGTGTGCCTGGCCTTCTGCCGCCGCCAACACCACCCTGGTCAACGTGGATTTCACACAGATGCCCTGTGGTAAGAAGAGCTTTCAGTCTCAATGTCTTGTCTCAACGCTGGCATATCAATTGTACCCAGACACGGGTCTTTCACCTGAGTGAACTAGGTTTGAATTCAGCCCAGAATGATGTGATGTGAAGCAAGTCTGTCTACTGTGACCTGCAACCCTGACCTTGACTTGTAACCTGCCTTTTCTTTGCACACATTGCAGTATATATTCCCGGTATATTTTTACATAAACAAAAAGAACCTTCAAGGAAATAAATAACAAACAACAAAATAGTAATAATTTGGTCACTCAATCCACGACTGTTTGTGGGACACTGCCGTAAGCAATTGGCTGCCACTTTTGCCCATAAAATACACAATAAAATATACTGTAAAGTCAATTCACTTTACAGTATATTCTGTGAAGCCCTTGGAGACGTCTCGAAGGCGTGCTAAGACGCTATATCAAATGCAAGGATTATTATTATATATTATGTTGAACTTTGTTATGCAGTACTACTGATCTGCCATCAAGTGGCGATAGCGAGGATGAACAAAGATTGGTTCTCACAGTAGAGCAGTTCCATCTGCTGTGTCCTCCACTCCCCGACAGATAGGCATCTGCTCCTGTCACCAGGATTGTAACAAGTTAACAAGTCTTTAGAAATGTAGAGGTATTAACGGAACGCGACTACACGCGAATGAAGAAAATCTGTTCAGCTAAACCACTTGAAGTACCACTGACACATTTAATAATAATAACAATCATAATCATTGCATTTGATATAGGACTTTTCACATCTTCTCGACGTCTCAAAGCGCTTCACAGAATGTGCTGTAAAGTGAATTGACTGAAAATTTGTGGGCCAAACACGGCAGCCAATTGCGCACAGCAGCGTCCCCACAAACAGTCGTGGATTGAAAATGACCAATTTATTATTGTTTTGTTTTGGAGGGATTATTATTAGACGTGTGGAGTAAGGAAATTTGCCCAAGGTTTCGCCCTCTGCCTAGAATTGAACCCGGTGTCTCGCTTGCAAGGTGAGTGCTCTAACCACTGAACTACAGGATTTTCTATCTCTGCACTGCCCCGAGGCTAGTATCTAATATCAGGCTCTGTGCATCGTTCTTCACCTCCCAGTGCACTATCCACTCATCCAATTCCCTCCTATCATAAGCTACAGACATACTACAGAGTGTTTCCTACTGTTAGTGAGGGCTCTGTTAACCTGCATACTATGAGCAGAAAGCACCCTACCTATTATTGAAAGAATATAGTCATGATATTTGATATGGTGGCTTTTGTTCTTGGTAGACGTCTCAAAGTGCTTCACAGGATTTACTATATGTGAGGTGACTGTGTATTTGTATTGGCCTGGACAGGCTTCACTCCAGTTAACAGGAAGGAAAGAGTTGGAAGTTCATTTCACGTTGCTAAGAGAGTTCTGGAATTGGGTTATTCGAGATGATAATAATAATAATAATCCTTGCATTTGATATAGCACCTTATCACGTCTTTGAGACGTCTCAAAATGCTTCACACAGTAGACCATAAAGTGAATTGACTGCATTTTGTAGTTGAAACGCAGCAGCCAATTGTGCACAGCGGTTTCCCACAAACAGTCGTGGATTGAGTGACCAAATTTTTTTGGAGGGATGATAGTTGGGAGTAGTCGGTACCTCAGAGAGACTAACCCTCTGCTATGTTTTGCAGCTGATCACTTTGTCTCTTGTGTGGGCGATCGTGCATCTGCGTGGGATCCAGCGATGATCTACTCGTCCATCGATCCCTCCGCCCACAACCGGCGCTCCTGCCACGCCGCCTGCCGCAGAGGGGGTCACACTCGCTACAGTCTGGACGTGCGGGGCTACTGCCTGTGTGGCTCCCCCCGGGGACGGACATCCCCCTCACCAGAAACGGCACGATGCTCATCCGTGTGCTCCAACCCGGTGCCAGCGAGGGCGTGCGGACGGAGCGTGGTGCGCTCGGTGTACGAAGTGCGGCTCGGCCTCATGGCGACCGGACGTTGCGTCTACAGCCTTTACGAGCCGGTGGTCCTGACGCTGGCCGGCTCGGGCCTCATCAGCCAGTACATGTGGGACTTTGGGGACGGCTCCGTGGCTTGGAACACCAGCTCGAGGTCCGCCCAGTACAAGTACGGGTTACCGGGCCGGTACTGGGTCCGAGTCCAGGCCTTCACCTCGTTCGAGGTGCTTTCGCTCAGCCAGGAGCTTGTGGTCATCATGGTGATCGACGGCCGCGTGGGGCTGCAGTGCCCGGGGCTGGTGGAGGCAGGAGGCAGTGTGGATATCTGGCTCCAGACCTGGCAAGGAACCCAGATGTCTGCAGAGTGGAGAGTGACCTCCAGCAATGGCCATGAAGAGACCGGTGAGGATCTTGTACTTTTTCCTCCGATATTCCCTCTGACGTTCGACCCTCATTACTATAATCCTTGCATATGACACAGCGCCTTATCATGTCTTCAAGACGTCTCAAAGCGCTTCACAGAATAGACTGTAAAATGAATGGACTGTGTATCTTGTTGGCGAAACGTGGCAGCCAATTGCACACAACCATGTCGCACAAACAGTCGTGGATTGGGTGACCTGATTTTTTTTAAAAGGAATTATTACCCTCAGGAAAGCGATCCACCAATCTGGTTCCTACTTACTGCTCAGTAAACAGAGGCGGGTGGAATAAAGAAACTTGCCCGACGTTTCACTCTGCCCAGGAATCAAACCCAGGTCCTCTTGTTTGCTTGGCAAGTGCTCTAACCGCTGAGCTACAGGACTCCACTGTACTTATTACTTTCTTCATCTTCCTAATGTAAGAATCTCATTACTGCCTTCAGCACGTAAATCACTCAACTGTGGTTGTGTTGGGGCCAGAGCCATCCAGTTTGCCCTTCTGAGAGCAGCAACGTTGAATCATTGAATTTTACAGCACACCAGGAGTCCATATGGTTCTCTGTAAGAGTCACTCCACTTGACAGTATATTTTGTGAAGCTCTTTGAGATGTCTCGACGACGTGATAAGGCACTATATCAAATGTAAGGATTATTATTATTATTTATTTAAACCAGAGAGCACAGCTGATACTGGGTTTATAAATCATTTTGTAAATCAGTAAAAAAAAATCTGTGTTAGAGATTCAATGCTCTTGTTATGTAGACACCCCCCAACGGAGTACATATTCTGCCTCGCGCTCTCTCCCTTTCACCCTCGTGCAGTTTCCCCCCTCACTCTCTGTGGGTGTAGGTTTTGCTTTTAACACAGAGAGCATGAGTAACCCTTTTTTTTCCAATGGAGTTGCAGTCGTACTTGTTTTGGAAGTAATCTCATTAATGCCTTCAGCCCATTAATCACTCAACTCTGTTGTGTGGAGACCAGAGACATCCAGTTTACAATTGCTAAAACGTAATGCAAAGATGTCGACTAAATTGATCTCACAAACCTGCACCTGATCCTATTACTTAAAATCTGTAACAGCTGCCCCCCAGAAATCATCCAGTGCCCTAGCAGTCTGAAATCCTCTTGCTTTGCCTATTTCTCAAGCTACCTGTTAATATATCAGGCATACTCTGCTTGTGGCTGGCTGTGTGTAAACCTGAGATTCTATCCAACACCTAACTCCTCAAATCCCTTTGGAAGACCTCTGCCCTGCTCGTTCTTTGTCGCTGCAAGGGTGCTATTTTGTTTTAAACTTTAAGAAAGAAACTGGATTTTGAAGCTGTTTAGGTTAAAGCAGCTTTTACCCAGGGCAACACTGTGGCGCTGAGCTCAGGAATGAATAGACTGGCAGCGGTTGGAGACTCTTATTAACTAGAATGCAATTTCAATAGGGATTTTATCAGCCTCGTAACTGACGTGGAAGGGGCACTTATAAACCCCACTGCCTGATTAAAAAAAAAAGTTCTGTGTTCAACAGCAACAGCCACTTCAGAATAACTCGCTCGCTCTGCAAGAATCCTGGCCGGGCGAGGATTGGTGGGGGGGAGGCGGGAGGGAGGGAGGGAGGAAGGAGAGGGGTTCAGCAATGACGTTCTCCTCAGGAACCGAAGAGAGAGTGTCGTCTGCTGGAGATTCAGAGCAGAGTTTTAGTTTATTCTGTCCCTGGCAAAATGAAGGAAAAGAGACTAGTTAGCAAGGCGGAAGAGAAGTTGAGTCGATCAGGATGGTGAGCGCTGCTCTCCTGACTACCACAGCGCAATGGATCCTCACTGGAGAGATGGAGCTGAGCGTCTGAGGTTGGCAACATGTGGCAGGTCGTGACCGTCAAGGCTGAGGAAAGACAGCAGAGGAGGCAGGACAAGAGACCAGTGAATGCTGGACAAATGTCTCTCCAAGCTTGACCTCTGTGAGGTGCCGCTGGATAGTGCTCCTGCTCTTTGAAGTTTTGTTTTTGGCTGCGATTTGGTTTCCTAACTTGCTCCTGACTGAATGAAACGCTGAAGTGGATGTGCAGAGATGTTGCCCTGGCTGCAACTCTGTCTGCTGTTGAGCATCCGGCCCACACAGACCTCGGGTGAGTGACCTTTCAAACCATTCATCTTGGAGGAGGAAGGCACAGCACTTCAGGGAGAAGCGGGGAGATATCTGCAGCCACCACCTCTCCTCTCCTCCTGCTCCCTGCATTTAAACTCGGAGCACTTTGTTTCACAATTAGAAAAGGGAAGGGCGAAAAGTCAAAGGTACTCGAGTGAGGTGGGGGAGCAAATTTTACTGTGATTAAAAAAAAAAGAAAGGGAGTTAGCTCGGAGAAAGATTCTGAGCTGCCAGGGCAAATAAACAGTAGGAAATTTTCAACTGTGAGATAGGTAAGTTGCATAAGCACACCACATTCTCACAAGTGGTCAAAAGCACTCTTGGACCAGTAGGGAAATTAAAACAAGACGTTTTTGTAAATAAATATAATCATATTCTAATCCTGGCATTTGATATAGCGCCTTATCATGTCTTCGAGACGTCTCAAAGCGCTTCACAGAATATAATGTAAAGTGAATCGACTGTATATTTTGTGGGCGGAACACAACAGCCAATTGCACACAGCAATTGTCCCACAAACAGTCGTGGATTGGGTGACCAAATTTTTTTTAAGGGATTATTACCCCCGGAAAAGCATCCGCCAATCAACTAACAACCAGGTTCCTACTATACTGTTAGGTAAACAGAGACATGTGTAAGGAAACTTGACTAACGTTTCGCCCTCCAGGGAATCAAACCCAGATGCTCTCGCTTGCAAGGCGAGGGCTCTAACCACTAAGCGACTGGACTCCAACTTAACACATTGGACGTAAATATAAAAAAAGCATGAAGTGGATTATTGAAAATAGAGATAACAGAAACATTGACCTGTGTGTGTGTGGGTGTATGTGTGAGCATATTTCTCTAACTCTATGTATTTCTCTATCTCTTTGAATGATGATTACCATATTACCAATTTCCAGCATTCCTGTAAAAAAAAATCTATGGTGTAGTAACTACATCCTTATTGGAATAAGCTCTTTGTTCCGTGCCTCGCTACTCGGTCTGGGTTAGCAGCTGTGCCCTTTGTTGGCCGAGTTTATTGGAATGGAAGATGGACAGTACCGGTCGCCTCGGAAACAGGGAGATTTCCCGCACGCCTGGAAAAAGACGCCTTCTCTCCCCGAGGAAGTCTTTGCAGCCAGTGCCGGGGCTGTTGCCGGGAGACTGCGATGCAAGTGTGGGAGAGGCATTCGCTTCACAGGCACGCACACCACTGCTGGCATTTACACAGGGTCCAACTGCACCTTGGATCCTTTGAGCAGGAGTGTGGAGGGAGTCAGAGGAATGTTTGCTGGCAGAGTTGCCCAGCCCCACACCCTTTGGAACTCCATCCCACATTCCCTTCGCCTCGCTCCCTCCCTTGCCTCCTTCAAGGCATGTCTCAAGACCCTGCTCATTGACCCACTTTCAGCCACTATCCTCCCAGCCCTCCACCTCCCTGATTCCACCCCCCCCACACCCTGCTCGGGTGCAAATCCCTGACTGTCCCGTGCGATGGGACGTCCTCCCGCCGTGAAAGGGGCTGCACAAGTGTAATATTGTATTGTATTTTGTATGTTGTTATTGTTGTTAAATGGGCACACAGTGGGAATGGGACTATGCACTGCCTGCTGAGCACCACACATCCTCTCACCACTCAAGTCACGCCATAAGGGGGAGACACAGGGAGAGAGAGAGAGAGGGGTTACGGCAGGCCATGCCTCCATTTACCCTTTTTTAGTCCATCAGGTTCTCAGGGAAAGACTTTGTGAGAAGGGCCAGAGATGGGAAGTGTAAAATGGCGTTGGAAAACAACTCCCATCTCTTAACGAATGCCCCGTCCTTTCTTGCAGATGACAGCACCTGTCCCCAAGGTGGTCACACCTACGTGAGAAACGGCCACTGCTACTGGCTGAGTCAGGTGAAGGAATCATGGCGCAGGGCTCAACAGCTCTGTCAGCAGACGCCCGGCACAGACCTGGTCAGCGTCAACCACCAAGATGTTCAGAATTTCATCCAGCGCTACTTTTCCACGTGAGTGACTATCCTGAGATCCAAATATTACAAAAAAAAGGAGATTCTCGCCCCTCTGAGCTCTTGTTGTGTGTATGTGGGTGTGTTTGTGTGGGTGTGTGCGTGGGTGGGTGTGTGTCAGGGTGGTCTCGAATTGACAGTGCGACAAGGGCTGGCTTTGTCTCCTGCGTTGGGAATAGCGGCATCAGCAGGGCTCTGGAACTCTCTCCCCCAGTGCCTTCGCCTTGCCTCCTCCCTTTCCTCCTTCAAGGCCGGTCTCAAGACCTTTCTCTTTGACCGTGCCTTCAGCTCCACTCTCGACTCTCTACCCCCTCCTCGCTCCCTCCCTTCCCTCCCCTCACCCTGACCATTTCCCCCCTCCTCGCTCCCTCCCTTCCCTCCCCTCACCCTGACCATTTCCCCCTCCTCGCTCCCTCCTTTCCCTCCCCTCACCCTGACCATTTCCCCCCTCCTCGCTCCCTCCTTTCCCTCCCCTCACCCTGACCATTTCCCCCCTGCTCGGGTCCTGACCCAACTGTCCGGCGCCTTGGGACGTCCTCCCGACGTGAAAGGCGCTCAATAAATGGAATCTTGTTGTTGTTGTTGTTGGTGCTTCTGGTCTCTATCCAGTGACCCTTGTATGTGCCAGTGGGCGAGCGTGGGTTGGAAGTTGGTACTTCTGAGGGACAATAAAGTTTCCTAATTTAAGAATCTCTTGAGAGATTTCATTGATACGCCAAGAGAGACCCGAGGGATAGTGGGCATGGAGGTTTATTGTAAGATTCTATTGTTTGTGTGGTTCTATGGGTGTTCGTTCTTCATGATCGCTTTCCAACGTAGGATCTTTGCACAACATTTCCCTGGCCGGTTGCCCATTGCCTGGGTATTTCTGTGTGTTTTGTTTATAATTAAAATCCTGGTTTGGAATGTAGCAACGAATAAAAGGTCACGGGAAAAATAGCGAGATTGTTGGGTCACCAACCCCTGCGCCGCCTGATTAAACACAACATTGAGGATTAAACCACATGCTGCCTGTCACAGGCTAACCCATTAAATGTCACTTAAATACCATTTGGGAAAGATTTCCAAAGCTCCTGGTAACACTGGTTCCTGTGGTAACAATGGATGCTACATGCTGAGGTCAACAGCCTGCGTGAACTGGCAGAAGAATGTGATGGGTTGTCTACTCACGCAGCGATAATAATACGTCTTGCACTTGATAAAGGGCTTTGTTACATCAAAACATCTCAAAGCACTTCACAGAGCTTTTCTATAAATTATAGTGATTGTATTTGCAGGTGAATGCAACTGCTGATTTGAGCACAGTAACAGCCACAAAGTGAATGGCCACATTTCTTTTTCTCTGAGGGGGGATTGTTGGCCAGGACACTGAGAGAAACTCTATTTTCCTTTCAAGTAATGGCGTGGGACTTTAAATGTCCACCTGAACAGGCAGTCTGGACCTCAATTCAGTGTCTCCGAAAGCTGGTATCTCCGACGGTATCTCCCAAGCTTTGGGTGTCTAGCTGGGTTATCAGCTCAAAGTCTCAATGTTGGGCTTGAGGCGAGAGTGCTACCTACTGAGCCAGGCTGATGACAACAACAACAACTTGCGTTTACACAGCGTCCCTCACGCAGGGCAGCGTCCCAGAGCGCTTGACAGTGGTGGAGCACAACGCCAAGCCAGGGAGAGGGGCAGGTGACCGTAGGCACGGTCGAATAGGAAGGTCTTCAGGTGCGACCTAAAGATGGGGAAGGAAGGGGCAAGGCGGAGGGATAGAGGAAGAGTGTTCCAGAGTTTCGGGCTGTAGTGGCCGAAACCGCGGACACCGATGATGGAACGGTGACACCTGTGATCTGTGGGTGAGGTGCGTGTCTTATGGCAAAGACCATTAAAAATGTTGATCCTCTGGACACTAATCCTAAAGTATCAGAGACCAGAAATTCTTGCTTTACTGTGAAATTTCAACTTTAAGTTGAGTCTTAATTAGGGAGCCATTTCCTCCGCTCCAGGGTGAATGAGGCCTGGATTGGTCTCAGCTGGACAGAGGCTGAAGGGACGTATCACTGGGTGGATGGCAGCAGAACCGACTCTTTCCAAAACTGGGCATCGTCCAAGGAGCTGACCGGTGACTGTGTTTTGGTGATGCTGAACAAAGGCGGTGTCTGGAAGCAGATGCCATGCAATGGCAGGAGGCATTTCATATGTGAAAAGCAGGCCGGCTGTGAGTATGTGGCTGATGGGCAGGTTTCGCTGAGATGTGCCGGGACTGATTCTATTTCCATATGCCCGTGTGTCAATCCATCTGTCAATGGTAAAACTTACTTTGAATGAGTTGTTGAGTTCCAGCTGAATCTGTCACTCGCATGCACTCTTGAACTCTCTTGCATGTGCTTTTTGCATCCATTCTCTTGCTCACTTGTGCTCACAACAATGCCTCCGGATGTACCAAGTAGAACAAGAGGACATAGGTTTACAGTTGCAAAGGGCAATTTCAAGACAGAAACCAGGAAGTATTTCTTTACCCAGAGGGCAGTTAACAACTGAAATGTGTTGCCGGGTAGGATGGCTGGAGCCGGGAAGCTGGATTTGTGTTTTAAAAACCTACTTGATGTTGTGATGGGAAGCCAGGAGGTTGGATACTCTGGAAGGGTGAGATCAAACGGGCCGAAGGGATTTCTTCATTCCAAATGATCTTGCGATCCCTTTCATTTGCTCACTCTGTGGCACTTGTGCACGTGTTTTTTTTCTATTTTGAGTGTAGCCTAATGCGAGATTCCAGCAGAAATGCCTTTGATAGGATTTATAAGAAACCTGAAGGCTATAGAGCACAGTAGAGTGGGGAATGTGCACATTTCCCCTATGTTGTAGGAAGTGCTGTAATGAGCCTGGACTCTTTCGTATGGTTTTACGGTGGGGTGGGGTGGGGGGGTGGAATGCCAATCCACTGGGATGTCAGAGCTAGTTACATGACACAACAACTTGCATTCATATAGCGCCCCTTATGCAGGGTAGAGTCCCAGATCACTTGAATTACATACAGCACAGAAACAGGCTTGTTGGTGCTGGTGACTGAGCCCCCTCCTAATTCCCTCTCCTGTACCCCTCGATTCCTTTCTCCCTTATTTATGCGATAGTTTCCTTTTAGACACGTTGATGATTCTGCTTCAACCTCAAACTCTGGCAGCGAGTTTCACATTCTTCTTCTGTTTTGACAAACAATGTTTTTTTCTGAACGTCAGATAAAGACAGCAAACACTAACTTGTACTTTTGGAATACTCAGACCCTATACAGAATGTCAATTACTTCCTCACCGGATTGCCTGTCTTCAGCGGAAACTACCCCGTGAGGAACACAACGGTCCTCAGCGCTCCATCCTCACCAGGAACAGCTACCATTGAGGTAAAGCTCAGCAAATAAACACAGTGGCCGCTAATCTGCGGTATTTCTTAATCCTTGATCCCTGAATAAGGAACTCAAGGGTTGCAAATGAGGTTTGGTTCCCAGGAACTGGAAGTGCAGACATCGCAATAACCCAGGGGAACTCTGCTCCGACATGATCTGCTTTGGGAGCAGAGATCCCGCAGGTCAATGGGAATTCATACGGCAAATTAGTCCCTTGTGTGTCTAAATCACCAGCAGTAAAAAAAACTTTAGCTGCAGTTAGTGTCATGATACAGAGAGCCACTGAGCTGCTTCCTCTACGCTGGATGTTACAGAGTGAGCTGATGAACAGTGCCCCCACAATCTGTTTCACTGTAAGTTGGTGCTCGACAGGTGCAGTCTCAATCGTCATAGGGTTACTGCCCTGATGCTTGAAAGGCTTGCTCTACTCTCAGAGGTGTCATCTTTCAGATAAGACAATAAAACCAAAGCTCCAGCAGACTGCTTGGGAGGCATTAAAAATCCCATTATATTGTTCCAAAAGAGGAGGAAGTTTCTCCCAGTATCCTGGCCATTATCCCTCTAGATTCATTGGCCATTCACCTCATGGCTGTTTTCTGGTGCAAATGGCTGCTGTGTTTGCCTGCACAAAAGAGACACTGCAGCAATTTTTGAAATGTTTGGATGCGATAAGATATCATAAACTATCACACAATTTACTCGCTTCTCCGGCAGATTAGCAGTGCGTAAACCTCTCACCGTCCACCACCATCAGTTTCTCTATTTAGGTATAGTTTGTGCTTGTGTGCCATATTAAATGATGTGTTTCTCTCTCTCTCTGTCTCTCACTCTCTGTCTCTCTCTCTCTCTCAGCTCATGCTATTTCCTGGTCTGTGGTTCAGTCACTCGGGTTTGCTGACCTCGATTGAGTTTGTAGTCCAGGCTTTGAAGAGGAGCACTCAGGTGCGTTTCCAGATATTCAGGCCCTACTGCACTCCAAGCCTGTACCTCATCCCTCCAGGTAAGAGTGTTATCCCATTGAATGAGACGCTCCCACTTGAAGCGCTCCGGGACGCTACCCTGGTTGAAGGGCGCTATATGAATGCGCGTTGTTGTTGTTGAGACAATCATGGCAGCATGACCCGGCAACAACTTGCATTTATACAGAGCGCTCTTCACATAGAGTAACATCTCCGAGTGCTTTACGGTGATGGGGACGGATGGTGAGCTGGGGAAAGGGCAGAGGAGGGAACAGGGAGTTGAAGACAGATAGAGAGGCAGCGAGATGGTGCGTCTAGAGAGGGAGTTCCAGAGGGTAGGGGCATAGAATCAAACTCACCACCGACAACAACGTGCATTTATGTAGCGCCCTTCACTTGGTGTAGGGTCCCGAAGCGCTTCACAGTGGCGGAGTCTGACAACGAGACAAGGGGGAGAGCGATTTGTTTTACATATGCAGAGTGACAGTGGCTAGGAAGAATTTCCACTGTTCAAAACAAATTGTGCTTCAGGTAACCAGCCTTACAGTGCGCTCCCTGGTGACGATTTGCAGGGAGCTTTGAGATGTCCAGTTGATGTGTAAAGCTCTATATCGAATGCAAGGATTATTCATTTTATTACTATTATTATGATGATGATGTGATGACAGAGCAACTTAACTGTTACTGATAATGTTCTTAGCCACATCAGCGGCAGCAGCAGCAGCAATAGGGCTTATTCTCTTCTCTCTTCTGTCACTGACGCTGAGCTGATGTGCTTGTACTTGTGCTCCCCAGGCTGTGAGTCCCTGCGGACACCCTTTGCCAGCTGTGACACGCAGCCCCTGTGTAACACCACTGGGGGCTGTATGAGCGGACAGCAGTGGTGCCACCTGAGAGAAGGATGTCTTCCTGTCTCCAGTCCCTGCAGCTCGTACGCCTTTGAGGGGATCACGTCTAACATCCTGCCCATAGCTAACCCGCCCAGGTACAAGGGGACCCAACCGTACTACTCCCAGGTGGCTGATATACCCCTGACGCTCAGCTCGGAACTCAGCAGCACACACGTAAACGTGAGTTACACTGACCCGCGCAGTCTCTGCACTCCACTTCCCCCGACCTGGAGACAAATGTCTGTCAACTTACTTTGTTCAGAACGATCCTTGCTCAAAAGGAAAACCTTTTACCAATTCTTCTCCGTTTTTTGCTCCTTTCGCTGCGCCTGTCAAAGTGATGCAGCCTTTGTCACGTGATAGCGAGTTGGTGGGTGGTGGGGTGGGTTGTGGGGGGCTGCGGGCTTAGCAGGAAGAGTCTCTCACTTTCTGGTCGGCTCAATGGATTACACAGTCCTGATGGAGATAGAACTCTAACAGCCAATGGTGGGGAGGGGTGGGGTGGTGGGGGGAAGGGGAGAATGGGGGATGACTGTGATGACAGCAGCCGATTGTAAAGTTGCCTTGTATGGACTCTGCTCTTCTCCATTGGCAGCTGAGGAGCTGAGACCGGGAGCTTGTGGCTGCCACGTCTGCCTCTGTATGAAGTCTCCTGAATGTTTTGTCCAGTTGTCTAACCCAATCGATGCTGTGTTTCCGATCGGTTTGTGCAGCGGAGTAACCGGTGGGGTTGTTCCTTCAGGTGCTGCTGGCAGAGAAAGATGTCACCGTCTACCCAGACGACGTAATTGGGATCCAGCACGATGCCGGGCCGGGCTGTCTGCTTGGCTGCCAGTCGAGCTCCAAGTCCCCGTGGCGACAGAGCTACATCAGCCTGGAGCAGCAGAGCTGGGTGGAGATGTCGCTCACCGGCTTCCAGCCGGCGTGGCTCAGCGCCAAGTGGGTGGACAGCGTGGTTTGCGACGTGAGGGTCCTGTACACGGAGGAGTTGCGGAGTTTTGCCGTCACTCCTCTCCTCAGCACTGGGCAGACGCAGGCAGGGACGTACACGTACTCGGTCACCGTGGCAAACAAGGTCAGCTCCGTGACCCAGTCCTGCCGGGTGGAGGTTCGGTCGAAGATCACCGGTTTGCAGATCATCTTCCCGCGGCCACTTCACGGCAGGCTTCAGGTCCCGACCAACAGCTCGACTGTCGTGGTGATCAAAATCCTCTCCGGCAGCAACGCCACGGCGTCCTGGGGAGTTCCCATCCGGCGGTCGGGGGTCCGATTCGAGAGTGGGTGCCCCCCCGACGTTCCGCGGTTCGCGCCTGCGTGCCGCAGGGAGACGGGAGACACCTGGTTCGCCCACGCCCACCTGACCCCCACCGACCGCCGTCTCCGGACCCTGAGCGTGGCCGTCAGCAACGACATCAGCTCCCAGAACCTGTCGGTGCTGGTCCAGGCTCACGATGCCATCGGGGGTCTCCGCATCGTGCCCCCCGGCCCCAGGCGCATGCTTGTGGACGCTTCACAGGTGCGCGCCTCGGCTAGCGCTCTGGGACCCTACCCTGCATGAGGGGCCCAATATAAATGCAGGTTGTTGTTGTTGAAGCACGACGCTATTCTGCTTTGAGCAATAAGTTGGTCAGAATGGCTAATTTTCTTAACCCACTCTCCCCCAAGTAACTCGGTGGTCAAATGCCCCACGTGCTGTTATGCCTAGTAACATGGTCCCAGGGTCCCAGGGCCTCGCATTTATCACATCTAGGGTCAACTACACAACTCCCTGCTTGTCGGTCTCCCCCAACTCTCTCCACAAGCTGCAGATCATCCAGAACTCTGCAGCTCGTCTCTTCTCCCGCACCAGGCTCCGTGACCCTATCACCAGCACCCTTGCCTGGCTCCCAGCCCCCAGAGGATAGAGTTCAAAATCCTCGTCCTCACCTTCAAAGCTCCCCCACCCACCCCCCCCCACTCACCGCACCCACGCTTTTGCTCCTGCCTACCTCTCCAACCTGCTAACCTCAAATCAACCTGCTCCACATCCCTTGCCCACCATCGGCTGTCGGACCTCAGCATCTCTGTCCCCACCTTCTGGAACTTCATCCCACATTCCCTTTGCCTCGGTCCCTCCCTTGCCTCCTTCAAGCCAGGTCTGAACCCTCCTCTTCGACCACTCCTTCGATTCACCCTCCTACCCTCCCTGATCCCAACCCCCTGCTCAGGTCCAAACTGTCCACAGCTCCATGGGAAGCCCTCCCGATGTGAAAAGTGCTATACAAATATATTTTGTTGTTGTTTTCTCCATAATTCTTAATTCCCCCTTACTTCTCAAGTACCTATCTGCCTTTAGACCCTCCCAATTTCCATGCGTAGATGGGACGCATGTAACTTTTGTTTGGTTTGGATCCTCTTTAAGATGGGGATGATTTTCCGCGTGTGTCAGACACTTGGCTGACAAAACAAAACGTAGAATTTGAATAAAATTGTCAGAGTTGATGGGGAGACGGCCTGGAAGCTCTCTGGGTTCTGTGACTGGACCTTTCTGTAACGAACGTTCGTCACTTGCAGCTATTTTCACCGGCAGTGACACGGGGCACCTCCGTCACATACACCTGGGTAATTGATGACCTGACGGTCTTCGCGTACACTGGGCAAACATACAGTGTGATCTTCAAGAGAGCTGCAACCTACAGGCTGAAGGTGAGAGCAGCAAATAGCCTGAGCCACAGGCACCGAGTTCCTGAAATGAGTGAGACACTGCCACGGAAAGAGGTGGCTCAGATGAGGCCTGAAATGAATTGGTTTGTTCTGGTTTGTTGCAGCTAACAGCGGTGAATCCCGTGAGCAACCAGACAGTGGAGACTGACCTGATAGCGGATACCATGTACCCCATGGTAGATGCCGAGTTTGTTGGCGTGTCTAATGTGATCCCCGTCAATATGTCTCGGACATTCACTTTCAGCATCAGAGTGGACATCTTGGCGGAGGTTACTTTCCGGTGAGAGAGTTGTAGTCACTGTCCACAAAGTCCTCAAAGTCCTCTTACTCCCACCTCCCCCATGAAAATGATGGCGCTCACACCCACCAATCCTCTAGACGTCTAAATACAGTGAAACACTTGTACTAAATGCAATTAAGTACTTCTAAATACAATTATCATCATGCTTCCCCATGTTTCAGTTGTTGGTCAGTGCAATGTAGAGAGGAAAACATGGGGGTAACAGGACTTCGTGGACACACTGTACGTTGGACTGTGCATTGTGCATGGAGGATGGTAGTGGGGATGTTCTTGGGGGATTAGGATTATTATTATCATATTATTTGGATCAAATGAGCCAAAGGGCCTTCGTTATCCAACTTTTGTGGTCTTGTCTGTTCTTTAATAGGTGGAACTTTGGTGATGGCACTGTTCCTGTGGCTCATTCGAGGAGACCTCCATACGACCCACAGTTACCAGGGACTGAGCGAGTGCACCTGCTGGATAATGTGACCTGGATGTACACCAAGTCTGGTAAACATCATCTCTAGAGGCTTTTGACAAGTTTGTACTTTCTAAAAAAAACTTCAGAACACCATTTAATAATAATAATAATAATCCTTGCATTTGATATAGCGCTTCTCACGTCGGGAGGACGTCCCAAAGCGCTTCACAGAATATACTGTAAAGTGAATTGACTGTATATTTGTGGGCGAACGCGGCAGCCAATTGCACACAGCAATGTCCCACAAACAGTCGTAGATTGAAAATGACCAATTTTTATTATTGTTTTGGTTTTGGAGGGATTATTATTAGGCTCTGTGTGGAGTAAGGAAACTTGCCCGAGGTTTCGCCCTCTGCCTGGGATTGAACTCAGGTCTCTCACTTGCAAAGCGAGTGCTTTAACCACAGAGCTACAGGACTCCTAATTTACCCAGCAGTAAGTAAGAACCCGGTTGTTAGTCGATTGGCAGATCGCTTTCTGAGGAGTAATAATCCCTTCAAAAAAAAAAATAATAATAATTTGGTCGCTCACTCCACGACTGTTTGTGCGACACTGCTGTGTGCAATTGACCACCGCGTTTGGCACACAAAATGCACAGTCACTACACTTTACAGTATATTCTGCGAAGCTCTTTGAGATGTCTCGAAGCCGTGATAAGGCGCTGTATCAAATGCAAGGCTGATTATTATACAACATGCTTTCAAGAACAAATTAGATAGGTTTCTGTTAGACTATAATATCTTGGAATACAGTTTATAGTTTGGCTTCATGAGATGTACAAACGACTGGCAGAATGGTGGAAGGCAAACTGGATGGACCTTGGTCTTCTTTCATCAAGCAATTCTTGTGTTCTTATGTTCAATGTAATATCTGATGATAGTTGTAGCCATTGAAAATATTCAGCCTTCACCTTGCTGAATACCCGGGCACTCTGTAACCTGTATTCTGGCCAATTACACGGTGATACAATGGCACGGGGCTTCATTTGCTACGAGTGGGGAAAGGAAAAATGGTTCAATTTAAGCGGGGGCGAAGAGAGAAAACCAAGGATTTTCAATTGCTCACTGGGCGACGACTCGAGAGGCGAAAATGTTCCACTGATGTAGTGTAGTGCTTCTTTCTCGCTCTTCCTTTTTCTCTACTTCTTCCAGTTTGCCACATTTTCTTTACCTTTCTGTATTTCCCATCCTTTTCCGTTTGCTCAGCCTGAATTTCCTCTCTCACTGCGTCATACTGAAAAGTCAACGCTAGCCAATGCACTGTAGAAAAAAAATACATGTGGAGTTATCTTTCCTTGGGCCAGTGTTGTGTGTGTGTGTGTGTTTGTGCGCTTGTGTGTGTGTGCGTGTGTGTGCGTGTGTGTGTGTGCATGTCAGCCCCATGGTACATTGACTGGAACTGGAAACTTAAAAATATTTTCGTCTGCGTTAGGTGACTACAATTTGGAAGTGGAAACTCGTAATCGTTGGGCATTCACTAAGAAGTGTCTGTCTGTCTACGCGCGGAGCCCATTGTCGGATCTGAAGTGTGTCCAGACCCCAGAGTTCCCTTACATCGATGGCAACGTTGATTTTGAAGCCTTCCCTCACCCCTCGCCCTTTGGGATCACGTACACCTGGGACTTCAATGACCAGTCACCCCACCCTGTCACAGTGGGGAGGAATTCCACGGTGCAGCACAGGTTTCAGAGAAGCGGAGTGTACAATGTCACACTCTGGGCTAACAATACAATCAGCGCCATCAGTACGCACGTGCTGGTGTCTGTTGTGGAGCGCATCTCAGGTCTTGCGGTCTCAACCAACGGGCCGAATGAGCTGGGGGTTGCAACGCTGGTCAAAGGGAAAGTGTCACAGGGTACAAACATCGTTTGGAGCTTTGATATGGGGGATGGCTACATATTCCGAAATCTACCGAAGAGCAATGTTTCTTACATCTATGCCGCAGAGGGGAATTATAAGGTGACGGTGTCCAGCAGCAACATGGTAAACTCGGTCAATCGCTCAGTTGACGTGAACGTTTACGCTCTGAGAATAATGGAGGTGATGCCTTCAGGCTGCCTGGTGTCAGGGCAGAACAGCTTCTTCAAGGCTCGGATCTCGGGGAGCCAGAATAATATTAAATTCTCCTGGAACTTTGGAGACGGGGGTCCCACCATTGGCATCCAGGGTAATTCATCCATCGTTCATGCCTACAGCTTGGCTGGAAACTACACCATCAGGATTAATGTTAGCAGCCCTTTCAACACCGCATATAGCCAGGCTGGAGTCTGCATAGAAAGACTCATTGATTCCGTCCAGCTCGTTGCAAGCAACAAATCTGTTCGGTTGAATGAACTGGTGCAGTTTATTGCAGAAGTGGTGCCAAGTGAAGACAACCAACATCAGTACACTTACCTCTGGGATTTTGGGATCGGGGAATCTCCCATATTGGGCAATGGAGCAGTGTCGTCCTTATATAAAGAGGTTGGTGTTTACCTCGCCACGGTCTGTGTTAGCAACAGAATTGACAGCAAAAGCGAATCTTGCTCGGTGGTTGTACAAGAAAGTGTTGGAAAGTTTTCTGTTTCCCACGATGGCTCGAACCAAACCACTCTCTCCTTGAACAAGACTTACAGATTTAAGCTTGACGTGGTGTCAGGCACCAATGTCACATTCACCTGGGATTTTGGTGACGACACTTCTGCCAGACTGGGTCAAAATCCGTCGCATGCCTATAGCAACAGTGGTGTGTTTACTGTAAGTGCGATAGGCACAAACCTCGTCAGTCGCATGGAAAGTTATTTAAACGTCATGGTCCTGACGCCCATTACGGAACTGAAGATCAACACCGACCGATTGATAGTAGAAATTGGCAAAGAGGTCACCTTCACAGCCACCCTGTCTGGGGGAGATCAGGTCTGTTTCTTCTGGGCTGTTTGTAGAGGTTGCATTCGCCAGGAGGGAACCTCGTTGTTCAAGCACAGGTTTCAGGGTCTTGGTATCTATGATGTTCTGCTGACAGCGAGAAACTACGTCAGTGAAGAAAGGGACATGATTTCCCTTCAAGCCCAAGAAAAGATGCTGGATTTGGAGATCTACAGTGAAGACCTGGTTCAGGACAGTTACTGTGCTACCAAGGAAGATTGCAAGCTTCTCGCACGCGTTGCCTCTGGCTCGAACATGACCTACGGCTGGCTGATTAGCCAGGGTCCTGCTACACGTCTTCGAGGTCGCGGGTCATCAATGGTGTTTCACCCAGAAGCAGCTGGGGATTACTTGGCAATTGTCCTGGCCGAGAATGGCCTTGGAGCAGTCAACCAAAGCAAAAGGATTTTCGTCCAAGAACGCATCAGTGGTGTAAAGGTGACTGGAACGGCAGAAAGTGTAGCTATCGGAATACCCGTAAACCTAAGTGTGTCTGTAATCTCAGGCACTGACTTGCTATACCAATGGTTCTTAGGAACAGATGAAAATATACTTACAACCAGCATCTCCTCCATCTCTTATATTTACCTATCATTGGGAACAGTAGTTGTAAACGTGACTGTCAGCAACGTGCTGGGCAGTGCCGATGGTTCCATGGCTTTACGGGTCCAAGAGGCTGTTTCTAGGGTGAGTTATACTCTGCTTCGAGCTGTGCCTCCGTTTTATGTGCCATCCAATGCTACTGCACGTTACCAGGGGCATGCGGGCAGAGGCAGCGATATTACCTGGCAGTGGAGCCTACCAGAGGACATGGGAAGTGAGGTCCTGAATGGAAGTGAGATCACATACACATTCAAGCGTGCAGCTGTATATCCCTTGACTCTCAACGCCTCCAATGAAGTCAGCTGGGAGTCGGTCAGTCATAACATCACAGTTCAAGACTGTGTCCGAGGGTTGATGATCCGGGCAGACAAGGCCGTGGCACGAGTTGGTGATCCCGTGATCTTCACCATTAGTGTCCAGAGGGGCACGAGCGTGTGGTATTCCCTGTACTTCCCCACCTTCAACGTCAGCGTGTTTCTTCAGGGCGATACCTACGAGATGGTGTTCCCTGCTGTTGGAGAAAACACTGTGACGGCAACAGCGTGGAACAACGTAAGCAGTGAGGTGAAGTTCACTCGCATTGTGGTTGTGGAGGAGATCACAGGGTTGCACTGGGTAAGCTGCTGTCCGGCTGCGGTGGAAGTCAACAAGGAGCGGACTTTCACGGCTGAAGTCCGGGCTGGGTTGGAGGTAATTTACAGATGGGACTTCCAACTCCCAGGTTCTACAGACTATCACCTCTCTGGTCAAAGCGTGTCCTACACGCCCCATAGGGAAGGTGCGTTGACCGTACATGTTAAGGCTTCCAATGCATACAGCACTCTATCATTAATGGAAGTGATTCGAGTGCAGTTCCCTGTTGCAGAAGCAGAACTGTGGAGCAACGGCACAGACCTTTACGTCAACCAGACGGTCATGTTCCGGGTTACCATTGCCGGCGGGAGTGACGTTTACTACCGGTGGAGCTTCGGAAATTCCCAGAATGTGTACGTCAACCAGAACAGCACGGCTCTTTACCATTACACAACTCCCGATGATTACGCAGTGGAGGTCACGGCTTACAACAACATTAGCTTCTTTGTGACGCGGCTCGGAGTTACTGTGCGCAAGCCTGAGTGTGTGATGCCCGAAGTTCAACTGGTGGAGCCTCCGCATACTATCTTCAGGGCTCGCGTGAACTACTTTGAGGCCAGCGTTGATCTGAAGGGTTGCACACTGTACAAGACACACTACCTGTGGGAAGCGTTCAGAGCCTCTAGTTGCGAAGAAGCGCAAGCAGTGGATCGCGTGTTCCTTGGAAACGTGGACACAAGCAAACCTCTGCTGGTGCTGCCCAAACTGTTGCTGAACACCAGCACCTACTGTCTTCAGTTCACAGTGTCCCTGCACCGAACACCACTGTTGAGGAGCGTCTCTTTCAGGATCCGTGTGTTACAAAGCAAACTCGTCCCTGTTATTGGTGGAGGATCCAGGAGAGCCTGGGCGGCCAGCCAGGACCTGTTACTTGCCGGCTCCAAATCCTACGATCCTGACACCAAGACGAGCGAGGAAGCGCTTCTGATGTATCGATGGACTTGTGAATCTGAGGTAAATGCTAAAAAAAACATAGAATTTTTCAATACAAGCGGAGGCCATTTCGTGCACAAAAATATAGTCAATTCACTTTACAGTATATTCTGTGAAGCGCTTTGAGACGTCTCGAAGACGTGATAAGGCGCTGTGTCAAAATGCAAGGATTATTATCATCATTATCCTGTATTCCAATTAGAAATATCATACATTGAAAATGTATGCTTCACTTACTTGCAAAAGAGTCCTGCAGCTCAGTGGTTAGAGCACTCGCTTTGCAAGCGAGAGACCTGAGTTCAATTCCAGGCAGAGGGCGAAACCTTGGGCAAGTTTCCTTACTCCACACAGAGCCTAATAATAATCCCTCCAAAACCAAAAACAATAATAAATTGGTCATTTTCAATCTACGACTGTTTGTGGGGCATTGCTGTGCGCAATTGGCTGCCGCGTTCGCCCACAAATATACAGTCGATTCACTTTACAGTGTGTTCTGTGAAGCGCTTTGGGACGTCCTCCCGACGTGAAAAGCGCTATATCAAATGCAAGGATTATTATTATTAAGAACATGTAACAGCTTCTTGTATGAGTGTTGGGTCGCTGTTTATTAACGGTATTGTGGTGACTGTAGCACTCCCGGACGGTAGCCCGCACAAAGGGCGCTATACAAATGCAAGTTGTTGTTGTTGTCTCCAGATCCTCTCCTCTCCTCCCTGCCTATCTCCCGCCTCTCAGACCAAGGCTACTCTCACGATTCCCAGGAAGACCCTCCTGCCCGGCAACACGTATGTGTTCACTCTGACTGTCAGTAAATGGGGCAAAGAAGCCGCCTCCGCCGTTCAAAGAGTAAGTCACATCCATAGCGCGCGACCCATTACTTATGTGACCCAGAATAATGTCCAACGTGTTAGGAGTCACCGAAGAAAAATAAGAGGTAGGAATATCCAAACTTCTAAAGTGCTTCATTTCTGTCAAGTGTAGAGATTACCAGGAGGTATATTCGCCCACAAAATATACAGTCAATTCACTCTTCAGTATATCCTGTGAAGCGCTTTGAGACGTCTATAACACGACGTGGAGTGGAGTCGTGTAGCTTAAAAGTTAGAGCACTCGCCTTTCAAGCGAGAGACTTGGGTTTGATTCCCGCAGGGCGAAACCTTGGGCAAGTTTCCTTACTCCACACACACGCCTGATAATAATCCCTCAAGAGAAAAACAGTAATGATTGGTCACTCAATCCACGACTGTTTGTGGGACACTGCTGTGCGCAATTGGCTGCCGCGTTTCGCCCACAAATATACAGTCAATTCACTTTACAGCAGATCCTGTGAAGCGCTTTGAGACGTCTAGAAGACGTAATAAGGCGCTATATTAAATGCAACGATGATTATTATCATCATTATTTTTGTAGGCAAACACTGCAGCAAGTTCCCACTAACGGCAACAAAGTGAACGACTAATTTACCTTTAGGGTTATTAGCCAGGACGGACCCCAAGCTCCCTTTTGTATTTCAGCTAGTGTCATGGTATCGTTAACGACCGCCCAAACAGGCAGATAAAGTCTCATCTGAATAACGGAACCTGCACCAATTGCAACAGCTCACTGCATCGGATGTCCTAATTCCTGAAGACAAAGCTGCAGCATTTGATCACCTCCGATGTGATTTTTCAGGTCCTGATACAAGCCGAGAGGGTCCCGTGTGTCCTGCTGGAGTGCATCTCGTGCAACGCGCTTTCCAGCTACAGAGTGAGCAGGAGCATTCACGTCACACTGGCTGGACAGTGTGAAAACTGCAGCAGCAACACCTCTGTGAGATAATTGTCCAAACAATTTGCAATGTTCTTTCTGTCCCCCCAGCCCCAGTTGGAGATGTATTACAAGCATGACTCTATACATGTCTGTGTGTGTGTGTGCGCGTGTGTGTGTTTATTAGTGTGTCTGTGTGGGTGTTTTATGTGTGTGTGTATGTGTGTGTGCGCAGGGGATTTTGTGTGCGTGTGGAAGAGAGCATTGCTGAAGACACCAACCGTGCTGAGATGACATTTGCTTGACTTGTGAGTTACCCCTCTCCATTTCTCTCGCACCCTGTTGTGTTTATTTGCAGCACAAATGGACGGTCCAGAGCTCAGATGGCTTCCCTCTGACCTTGGATAACCAAACCACCTCCACAGGAGACTCGAATCCTGACCTGGTTATCCGGCAGGGAGTGCTGCGCAATGGAGTCAACTACACTTTCACCTTGAGTGTCATGGACCCAGAGAAGCACAGCTCTGGCTTCTCCAGCATCATGCTGACCCCTAACTACCCACCCAGTGGAGGGGTCTGCACTGTGAAACCAGACACTGTCTTCTACTTGCTGGAAACTGTGATCAGCGTTAACTGCACAGGTAACCACAACAACAACTGGCATTTTATAGTGCCCTTCACACCAGACGGAGTCTCGTAGCGCTTCACAGGATATACTGTAAAGTGAATGGACTGCACAGTATATTCTGTGGGTACAAGATTGCAAAAGAGGTATGGATTAAGAAGGCATGTGCATTCAGATGCTAATAATAATAATAATAATCCCTGCATTTGATATAGCGCCTTATCACATTGTTGAGACGTATCAAAGTGCTTCACAGAATATACTGTAAATTGAATTGACTGTATATTTTGTGGGTGAAATACAGCAGCCAAATTATGAATAATATCAATGAATATTGCGAATAACTAATTATTAATAGCGATCAATAATATCTGCATTTGGATATGTGATTCCACTTATCGGCTTTCATGTCGTTCAGGATGGCTGGATGAGGATGGAGGCTTTGATCAGCTGATTTACTCGCTGATAGCAATGAGCTGCTTGGACCGTTCTGATGCCTGCCACCAGTACCACCTGTACCGGGGTATCAGGTCCTCCTTCAGTGCGTTAGTGCCAGCGGGAACCCAGGGCAACACCTCAGCAGTCAGCATTGTGGTGGAGGTGGAAGATCTGCTGGGTGCCAAAACTACAGCTGTGAACAGGTAACACAGGGAATGGTCCATCATTATAGAGCTTTGAGCTTTGCCATGACATCTGGTGTTTCATCCATAACCTGCTGTGTGACTGTAATAAGTGATCAACCACAACACTACTACACCACACTACACCTGGTGCTCTTTGTTTCTAATTCATTCTTTTCCTTGTGAATATTTGTCCTCTCAAGAAAGGACTTACAGTGTTCCACCTTTGGGCTCGGGGTGGGGGTGTTGGGGGAAAGAGGTTTGCCTCACTTGTTAGAGGTTCAGAGGTGACCAAGTTAACAGGGCAACTGATTAGTTTATAAATAAGACCAGATGATCTTTTCGAAGGTGAACCGGTCACATTATTAAAACTTTAACTAGAACATGGCCACCATCTTTCATGACTTCCACTCTGGGTCTCCACTGCTGGGACGCTACCCTGCGTTAGGAGCGCTATATAAATGCAAGTTGTTGTTGTTGCCTCCCAAGGAGAATGTATTTTACTCCTTAGCTTTCAGTTAAGCCCAGTCCCACCACCATGTGAGTCCTGGACAGTACTGCTCCACACCAACACCTCTCTCACTACGTCCGTTATTGAGAAGGTTGCGTGAGGCCCTGAAAGGAGCAGGCTCTCAACAGCAGCACCTCGACACTTGACAATAACAACTGTAAAGCTCTTTGAGATGTTTGCAATGTTGAAGGCACTATAAAAACGCAAGTGCTTTCCTTTTTTTTATTGTGTTGTTTCCTCTAGCCCTTTCCTCCTTTCCTCCACACACACAACAGGGACAGGCTCCCGAGGGAGACACTGGAAGCAGAAAATGTTTGTTTTAAGAACAAATTAGATAGATTTCTGCTGGAAAATAAAATCTCGGGATACAGCGTATAGTTTGGGACACGATATGTCAAGTGATTGCTAGAATGGTAGAAGGCGAACTAGATAGACCTTGGTCTTCTTTCACCTGACAAATTCTTGTGTTCTCATGTTCTTACACACAGGACGCTGACGGTGCTAATGCCAGAATTGCCGTCAGGATTCCAGAACGTGACCGACTGGTTGAAAAGCAAGAGCCAGCGGGAGCTGTGGGGGCTGGTGCAACAGGGCAACCCCAACCAGGTCATCCCTTACTCCATCGCTCTCCTCAGCGCTCTGAATCAGGTAAGGATTCACTGAAGTGTGTTCGAGGGCATTTCTGTCCCTCTTCCGAACTCGAGATGTCTATCTTCCTGTTGCTCCAGGTAAGCAGACAGCGGTGACTATACTGCTTCTCCACGGATGGGAATAAATTCCAAACCCTTGATATTAATATAATAATAATAGTTCCATTTGATATAGCATCTTATCACATCGTCAAGCCGTCTCACAGGATATACTGTGAGGTGGTTTGACTGTGTATTTTGTGGACGAAACATTAAACATAATATCCCTCTGGGTGAAGAATTTCTTTCTAACCTCTCCCCTACATTTTCTGATAATAACCTTGAGAATCTGCCTAACCTCCTCGCCATCACGCCCCCCCACCCACCCCATACCCTCACCAGACCCAGGTTTAACATTTAGCATGGTAGAGCGGGTATAAGTGAGTGGTGGGGGCTCTGGAACTCTATCCCCCAGTGCCTTCGCCGCTTCCTCCCTTTCCTCCTTCAAGGCCGGTCTCAAGACTTTTCAGCTCCCCTCTCGACTCTCTACCCCCTCCTCGCTCCCTCCCTTCCCTCCCCTCACCCTGACCATTCTCCCCTGCTCGGGTCCTGACCCAACTGTCCAGCACCTTGGGACGTCCTCCCGACATGAAAGGCGCTCAATAAATGGAATCTTGTTGTTGTTGTTGTTGTGTGGCACAGACTAGAGGGGCTGAATGGCCCATTTGCATGTCACATCATGCATGTTTAACTCCACGTAACATTTCTGGTTTGGCACTTGGCTTTCAGAACAACGGGGTTAGTGAGCAGGACGTGTACGAGAGGATCTCGATCCGCAGTAATGTAACGCTTGCGCTGACGTCCCTACATCTAACCACCGTGGAAGACGTGACCCAGCTGAGCGCGGCCATGGCACAGTGTGCGGTATGTAACCAGCTCCTGCCTCGTCTCTTAACACCGAGTGGGACAGACCCGTGTCTGGCTACAGAGATTCGCACCGCCCCGATATAGGGTATTTTCAGGATATTTGGCAAAATGATGCGTTTTCAAAGAGAACAGCAGGCAGGTGGGGGGTTTGCGTGCAGCCTGAAACCCAGAGATACAGATGGAAGGACAGGCAATGGCGTGCAGACTAGGTTGTAGCAGAGAGAGAGGGGATAGTGCACATGATGACACATGATAAATGGAGAACACGCTGGGTTTGCAGTCGACAGACATAGTGTGAAAGGTGAGGTGCGACAGACAGGCAGGCAGGCAGACAGAGAATAATGCCACTCAGGCTGGGGTGTATCAGACAAACAGCTGGGGGACATGGAAGGAAGTCATGTGTTACTACTCTACATTTAGAGAGGTTTCTACACTGTGGAGATTTTGTCCATTGAGGCCCGTTTCTCCTGCAGGCTTTTCCCGAGGAGCTTGTCGGTGAGGAGAGCCTGAGGGAGAGCCTGGCGATGAGCGGGAGGATGATTGACATCATTGGTAACCAGACGGGCCAGGGGACGGCAACACCCACAGCGGCTGGGACAAACATCTTGAGACTCCTGGGTACCTGGCGCACTCACTCGCTCCCTCGCTTGCTCATTGCCCACACTCTGACCTCTGACATGTTGACAAGAGTCAATGGGCACCTGCAACAAGAGCAACACAAATAAAGACCCCTCATTGCCCAGGTGCCAACCCAAGCACAACCCATTCCTCAGTGGTGGGCAAGATCCGGAAATCTTCCCACGAGGAGGGGAGACAGAGAACTGCTGCCCTTTTCTTTTCCCGTCTACCTCCTCATGGAATGGCCAAACCAGATCTCTTGCTCCCTTTTCCTTCACCATCTCTCACCTTCCACCAAAGCTGAGATCCCAAACTGGCTTTGGGTTATGAAGCCACGTAACTTGGGCATGTTGGAATCTCCACCGTGGGTGATGGTTTTTTAGATATTGCTGATGGACCAGGGTCAAGGCACATAAATAGCAGCTGTGTTTGTGCCAAAAATCTTCTGTGTTGGTCAGCTGGGTGTCTGACACGTGCGTCAAGCCAGACTGGGTGGTCTCTTGTCAACAGTGCCATGGAGTACTGCAGACCAGCCTGGATCAGGAGACAACTTATTGAGACCGCCGCAGAGAATGGACTCAATTCTAAGAACATTGAATGTATCACCTTGAAGCCAGCTTCATCCTAATGACACCCCAGTTATTCTCTCTTCCCACTCCCAAACCCCCCCACTCCCCACCCTACAGTTACTTAACCTGACAGGAATTGCTCTGAAGCACTTTTGAGAAGTAATAATAATATAACAATCCTTGCATTTGGCACAGCGCCTGATCACGTCTTCTAGATGTCTCAAAGCGCTTCACAAGATAGATTGTAAAGTGAATTGACTGTGTATTTGGGGGCGAAAGTAATAAAGCTCTTTCCTTCTCTGTGCAGGAGGGGCGTTGGCAGCGGTAGACGGGTCTCAGGAGGACGTGGAGCCCCCGGCAGGTGGTGGGATCACGTCCGCCTCCGTCTTCCAGCTGACAAACCAGCTGATGAAGTCGCTGATGCGCTCGCGGGTGCTGAACGAGGAGCCGCTGTCTCTCTCCGCCTCGGGGATCGAGGTGCACGGCAAGCGCACAAACCCGCTGAACCTGCTGTGCGCCCGGTTCGGCCGCGGTTGCCCCTTCCACGTCCCCGACGCCCTGTCCGGCCAGCTCTCCGGCCACCGCGAGGTGGTCCAGGTGCTGATGAACATCGGGGTTAACCCCTTCCTGGCCGGTTCCATCGGCCACTACAGCGTCTCCACCCGCGTGGCGTCCATGGAGTTCACCACGCCCGGCGGGACGCGCATCCCGATCAACGACCTGCCCGGCGACCAGTCTATTCAGGTCATATTGGCGAACAACAGTGCCAGGCGTCCGGGGCACAGCAGCACCGCCATGTCCATCGTTGCCGGAGGGTGGGTGAACTTTACCGTCAGGCCTGTCAACAGCAACCGAGCGGCGGGGCTCCATATTCAGCTGACGCTCACCGCACTGGGTAAGTGTTAGCGCGCAACAAACAGATACCCTGAAGCACGGCGATGGGTTTCTGCACGTGTCAGACACCCAAAGGCAAACCAAAAAATTGAATTGACACGCAAGATATTTAAAAATGCTTCGAATTCACTCGAATTGAGGAGCGAGATTTTTTTTGAGAACTGCAACCAAAAAAAAAAAGGTCTTCCAAATTAAGAGAAGGGAGTTTCTCCCAGTGTCCTGGCCAACCATCGCCCAGATAAAATCACTCGCTGCCTTCAATGGCTGTTGCTGTGTCAAATTGACCGCCGCGTTTGCCTACGAGTACATAGTCGCTACGCTTTCACAGTAAAATCATGTGTTCAGACGTCTCGATGACGTGATAAGGCACTACCATCAAATACAAGAATCGTCATTTTTATGATAAACCCGAATTGAAGAGTTTGCCTCAATTCTGTGCGGCCTTTCATTTGAAGACAAATTGGTTTCACTGACCAAGATTAGGGTGGAATTGATAGTTCCCGGGAATCCATGTTGGCCTTTGCTCCACACTGTGGTGATTCTCCCCACTCCACTACCTGATGCCTCCGCTCAGCTGGCTCTGGCCTCCTGCTCGTCCCTCGTCCCCTATGCCTCACCATCGACAGCCGTGCTTTCAGCCATTGCCACCCCGAAACTTTGGAACTCACTCAATCCCTCCGCCCAGGATGCTGCTTAATTTCCAAATCTTTTGGAATCTTCCTGTTTAGATTCCGGAGGCGATCGGGACCCGAGTCCTTTCGTGCACATCTGCGTTTCTTCTTTCGAGGAGCCGCTGTTGAACACGACGAAGGAAATTTCTCAGCCAAACAGCGGCAGACACGCCAGCGATGAGCACACAGTCTTCCTGTCGCCCAAGTCAGTATTAATGCCACGTCGTGTGATTGCCAGGGCTCAGTCACAGCGGGCAGAAATCCACCAGTGCTGAGTGACAATCGATTTATCATTGCCACACACAACACACACGCGCACGCAAGCACACACCACGTCTATATCACGCTCCATCACAGCAGCAACTTCCAACAGAAAGAGCAACAACAATAGCAATATCTTGCGCTTATTGTGTCGTGTTTTCACAGAGGGTAACATCCCTCAATGCTTTACAGAGAACAGAGTGGGAACCCCAGCAGGACATAATGGGGTAAGGAAGGAGATGACTGAAAGAGCAGTAAATGGGGAGGCAGAAGCCGAGGCAGATGGATTTTGAGAGAGAGTTCCAGAGAGCAAGGGCTTATTGTCTCAAAGCCTGTGTCTTTCAATGCAGCAGGTGGTGGCAGAACAGTGGATCCTTTGGGTCTCGGGCTGAGTGTCCTCTTTTTAGCTCTATTCTTTACTCTAGCGTGGATAGTGTGGTTGACTGCCCTAATGTGCTGCATTCCTGCTTATTCCAGGCTTTACGACACTACAGCACCATACAACATCAACGTGTCGAGCCGCTTTTCGTCCGTGCCCGTGAATGTGTCTGTCACTGTGTACACCTCACTCTGCCAGTATTTTGACCTTGAGCAACTGCGGTGGAGGACAAATGGGATGGTGTCCACGCACAGGACCACACCAGGAGAGGCAGTGTGTCTCACTCGGCACCTCACGGTCTTCGGGGCGAGCATGTTTGTCTCTCCAGACGCTGTAGAGTTTCTCCCTCCTGTACGTACTCTATGTTTCTGCTCCCTGAATTCTGACAGTAAGCGTCAAATTTTGTGGCTTCCATTAGGGTCCAGAGGAGGTTTTACACCACAAGATTCTACTGAACTGAATCAATCCATTGGGTGTGGGGATGTCTTGGGCGGGGGAGGATGGGTGGGTTGGTAGTACCACCATTTGTGAGTCTGCAGCTGTAGAGTATGAGTAGAAAGATTGTCACAGGTTCTCATTCCCTGGGACCCAAGGACGTGGAATATGTTAGTCAGTTAATTCAACTGTAAATGTGGTTAATAGACATTTTTTGGTGTTGTGACTTTGAGCACAATAGTAGCGTTGAAGTTGCGGTATTCTTTTAACAAATTGAGAGGTTCATGACGTTGATAACTGGATGAAAGTGATTCCAACTCAGCCGGTAAGATAATAATAATCCTTGCATTTGATACAGCACCTCATCATGTCTTCAAGACATCTCAAAGCACTTCACAGAATATACTGTAGAATGAATTGACTATTTTGTGGATGTAACTATGAGGACTGAGTTAGATCGGTGTCTTAGTGGGCATTTGATGCGTGATTCAAAACTGGCCCTTAGTTGGGATGACACATGTTTGCAATGCTCCTGTGATTGCCTCTTATCCTGGTACCTTTGCTTTTACTGGTGGGGTCTTTTTGCAGGCAGACCGGCCGGCACAGAACCTGATTGTGGTGATCACCTGCGCCTTAGTGTTTGCCGTCTATGTAGTGATGGCCCTGATTGCCCATAAGTTGGATCACATTGACATCAACAGTGTTGGCATCGTCCCTGTGTGTGGGCAGCACGGGCGCTACAAGTATGGCATAATGGTGAAAACTGGCTGGTGCAAGAACTCAGGTAATCAACACACACACTCAGACTCCCTTTCCTCAACCCTTGGTACAATGAATCATATCTTTTATAGCTAGCTGCCCACATATGTGATATGTACTTTGAAACCAAGCCACACTATTAAAACAACTTGAACTTGTAAAACGCACGTAGAATGAACAGATCAGGAAGTTTCCTGCTTTGACCCTTGGTCTGTGCTTTTTTTGGGGGGGGGTGTGGGGGTGCAGCCGAGTGTCTGACACATGCGGAAACCCATCACCGTGCTTTCAGAGTATCCAAACCAAGCTGAGAAATCCGTGCATCCCACCTACACAAGGGAATCCCAGAGATAGATTGTTGCGATGGAATGCGCGCCCTCTCCCTGGAGAGACGTATCCTGCTTCACCTGATTCCGGAAAGTATTAGGGAAATATTTAAAAACAAATAATAATATTATTATAACAGAAAGTATTATTATCTGGGCTGAGGTTGCTGGTCTCAGCTGGGCTGACAGTGGGGGTTGGCCTGGCTCTTTACAGGAAGAGCAAAGCATGTTGCACCTGAGTGGTGAAGTGGGGATGGGCTTGACGAGGTTTACCTATAAAGCATACTCTCGTAGCTGTTCTCCTGTTATTCCTGTCCTGCAGGGACCACGGCACATGTAGGTATCAGTCTGTATGGATTGAACAAGAGTGGATCCCGGCACTTGGGCAAGGAAGGCGCCTTCCAGAGGAACAGTCTGGACGTCTTTCAGATCGAGACCGACACGATCCTGGGAGAGATTTGGAAAATCCGAATCTGGCATGATAACACAGGTGGGTTTGGCGGAAAACTGACAGAGGCAATAAGTGTAGCTTCCTGAGGAATTGAGTTTAGTTTCTGGATACTATGTGGAGGACACAAGGCAATCCTGGTGTAGAAACATAGCTACACGTTTCGAATGGAAATCTTTCAGGGCAGTTCTTAACCTCTGGTTAAAAATAAGGATTGGAGTGGGGTGGGGGTGGGGGGGGGGAATTAGTCAAATTGGAATATAAAAATGGGTCATAGAATCATAGAATAAGGGAATTTACAGCGCAGAAGGAGGCCATTCGGCCCATTAAGTCTACACAGGCTCTCAGAGTAAGTCGTTCTTTCAGTCTTCAGCCTTACCCTATCCCCATAGCCTTTCACAAGCACCTTCAGACACTCGTACGCTTTAATCTTCATACACTCAGATATTTTCAGGTTGGCAGTGGCACAGACTTGACAGTCCACTTGTACGTTGAGAAAAACTATGTTTCTAATGGCAACCTTTTTCAAAAATTGCTCTTCCAGTTAAAGTGTGCTGAACGGTTTGTGTCTGTGCCATGTTGATGATGTTTGCTGTGTTGTTCTGCGCGCTGTTTGGGTCTGTGTTGCCCTCTGCAGGTCTGGACCCGTCCTGGCACTTGGAGCACGTCATTGTTTGGGACAAGCAGACAGACAGCATGTACTTCTTCCTGGTGCGCGATTGGCTCTCGGTGGAGAACGAGAAGAACGAGGGGATGGTGGAAAAGGAGGTGCTGGCAGCTTGTGAGTACCCCACAGCATCGTTAGATAAACAGTCATTCCTAGTATCTGGCCTAACAACAGCGTCACCTGGCTCAGTTGGTAGCGCTCTCGCCTCCGAGACAGGCGCTATCGTGGGTTCAAGTCTCACATGGGAACTTTGAACTCACAGTCTCGGCTGACGCTCCAGTGTAGTTCTGGGGGAGCACTGCATTGTTGGAGGTGCCGTCCTTCAGATGAGAGGTTAAACTGAGGTCCCATCTGCTTGTTCAGGTGGATCTTTAAAGATCCCACGGCACTATTCAAAGAGAGAAGGGAGTTTGGTCGCTCAGTTAATGCTTATTTAGGGGACATTCAAGGCTCAAATTAGCTGCCATGTTCAACTGCAAATACACAGTCATTACACTTCACGGTAAAATCCCCATGAAGCGCTTTAAGATGTCTCAGGGCTATGATAAGGTGCTGTATGAAATGCAAAGATTATTATATCATAACTTTATACCTTTAGGCAACACCTTTCATGTAGGAGAATGTCTCAAGAGCATTTCACAGAGACAGAGTGAGAGCTAAAACAAGGTGGGAGATGGCGATAGCGGGGCGGCGGTGGTGGTGTGGGTATGGGGGCTACAAGGGAGGTGGCCGAAGAGCGATGAGTGCCTGTTTTTATGTTAATTGCTGTTGAATCAGTGAGCTGCTTTCAGTGCTGTCGTGGGGCTCCGTTCATCATCTGTGAGAACAGGATGGTTGGATAGGAATGAGCTTTTCTGAGAGTAGTGCAACCGCTCACCATCATCTGTTGTGTCTGTGTGTCTGTCTATGCATCTGTCTGTGCATCTGTCTGTGTTTTTGTCCCAGGCCCCCAAGAGCTGCGCAGTTTTTCCCGTATTTTCCTCTCCCAGTTAAAGCGAGGAATGTCGGAAAAGCACATCTGGCTGTCGGTCTGGGATCGTCTGCCGCGGAGTCGCTTCACCCGAGTCCAGCGGGTCACGTGCTGCACTCTGCTCCTGTACCTGTTCCTCGCCGCTGTCACTGCGTGGTATGGAGCCGTTGGAGTCAAAAGTAAAAGGTCTGAAACCCTCACTGAGCTATCTGTGGTGTGAGAGTCGAATGGATTAATCTCCCAACAACAATAATGAAATTTATGCAGCAACTTTCACATCAGAAGGACGTCCCCAGGCACTGGACACTTAAGGGTTTGCACCCAAGTTGGGGGTTGGAATCCAGAGGGTTGGAGCCTAGTGGGGGGTGGGAGTGTGACTCAAAGCACAGTCAAAGAGGAAGGTCTTGAGACAGGCCTTGAAGGAATCAAGGGAAGGAAGGGTGGAGTGGGGGTGGGTGAGTGGGGGGGGCGAGGTGGAGAGATTCCAGGACAGAGTTCCAGAGGTGGGGGCAGAAAAACTGAAAGCTGAAGCACGTTCTCCACACGCCCTACGTTGTGATCGCTGGACACCCTACTCCTCCCCAAGGTGAAACGGACCCTATAAGGCTCACTTTGCACTGCGGAACGTCCATTAACGAGAAAAGGGAATATAGCTTTCAGAAGAGAATTAGAAAGGTATTTAACAAGGAAATATTGGCAGGGCTCTGGGGGAAGAGTGGGACTAGTTGGTAGCTCTTTCAAAGAGCCGACACAGGCATGGGCTGAATGGCCTCTTTCTGTGCTGTAAGATTCTATAATTCTATGTACACTCACCCTGTGGCTTCTACAGTCTTAAGCAAGCTGCTCCCGTGTTGTTAGACGAGCGAAATCATCCTCTTCGCTTCAAGTCCCCCTCCTTGCCCATCTCACCAATGGCCTTCCACCTCTCGGCCCCCACCCTCTGGAACTCCATCCCACAGTCCCTCCTGATATGAAAGGCGCTGTACAAATGTCATTTGTTATTGCTGTTGTGAGCTGTGAATTCCCAGAGTCCATGCAGTGAGCATCAGCTCACTGATTGCAAATGGTCACCAGATGGTACATAAGTTACCTCTCGATTAAACGTTCAAATGTCCTGACGTTGGGTGGTCATTACTGTGCAGCATTTCAAGTTGAATTAATTATTTTAATTTAAAACGCAACATGAGCGATAAATTGAAAAGTAAATGACTTCAGCAACTGTGAGCGGTTGAACGCAATTTCTGTCTGGGTTTCGGGTGTAAGGAGTGACACGTTTCAGCTTCACTGTTAGTTTTGTGCGGCAAGTTATAGCCTGAGAATTCCCCATAGGGAGGGGAAGCGGGTGGGGGAGATATCCCACTTGCTGCTCGAGCCCCTCCCAGCAGCCAACCATCGGTCCGCGGGGGAGGGGGGAAGTCAACAACAACAGCTTGCATTTATATAGCGCGTCTCACACCCCAGAGCGCTTAATCGTGGCAGAGCATGACTCTGAGTTGGGGTGGGTGGGTGGGGGAGGAGGTGACTGTAGGCATGGTCGAATAGGAACGTCTTCAGGCACGACCTGAGAATAGGGAAGGAAGGGGCACGGCGGAGCGGATAGAGGAAGAGTGTTCTAGAGTTTTGTGGTGTAGTGGCTGAAAGCGTGGCCGCTACGGTGGAACGGAGGGCACGGGGGACCATGCAGGAGGCCGGAGCTAGGCTTACAGAGGCAGCGGGTTGTGTGTTAGGAGTAAGCAGATCGGAGAGGAGGGAGGTGCCAGGGCATGAAGGGATTTGAAATCGAATGTGAGGATATTGAAATCGACCTGTTCGGTGATGGGAAGCCAGTGGAGCCTGGTCTCGGAGAGAGGGAAGCTATAAAAAAAAGACTGGGAGGAATGTGAGGCAATGGGTCTGACGGCTGGTGCTTTGCAGAGTGCCCGTGGTGTACTTGGCTTCTGTTACTGGGGAAAACGTGGCTGTTGGAATCGTCGTGGCTCTCGTCGTGTTTCCGGTCCACCTGCTCTTCACGCTCCTCTTCAGAAGAACCCGCAGCAAAGTAAGAATCGGGGCTTCCCGCGAGATGTGCCCTGATCTTCACGTGTGGAATTCTGTCGCTTGGTAACTGGAGAGCTTGGCGAGTAATCGTGTGGGAAGCGATTTGATCTGTCGCATTGATCACACGCTCCTCGCAGTAGCTCGTGCTGTGCAAATATCAGTATGTTGCTGTTAGTGATTCCCACTCCACCGCACACACTGCTGATTCCCAACACACAGCCAAGGTAGCATTGCCAAGCAATAGTCACAGTCTGTGTCCCACTGTGTGCCAAGTTAATCATCATCCTTGCATTTTGATATAAATAAATAATAATCCTTGCATTTGATATAGTTCTTTTCGCGTCTTCGAGACGTCTCCAAGTGCTGCATAGAATATATTGTAAAGTGAATTGACTATATTTGTGGGCAAAACGCGGCAGCCAATTGCGCACAGCAGTGTCCCACAAATAGTCGTGGATGGAAGTGACCAATTTTTTTATTTTTTTTCTTGAGGGATTATTATCAGGCGTGTGGAGTAAGGAAACTTGCCCAAGGTTTCGCCCTGCCGGGAATCGAACCCAGGTCTCTCGCTTGCAAGGCGAGTGCTGTAACCGCTGAGCTATAGAATTCCTGATATAGCATTTCTATATGCTATATCATTGATACAGCATTTTGATATAGCACCCTTGTCTCGTCTTTGAGACTTCTCAAAGCACTTCATGGAATACATTGTACTGTAAAGTGAATTTGATTGTATATTTTGTGGGTGAAAGGTTACTGTGGAAGATCCAGACCCTCCTGCCATCGAGGCACAGACTGTGGAAATGGACATTTATTTGGACCCTTTGGAGTTGGGCAGCTCTTCCTTTCTTTCCATCCCTGATGGACAGGATTCAGTCATGGACGTCAACTCTGACAGTTGTGTAAGTACAATAGGACCTCACTGATTAGCTACTGTGACAGGGCTTTGAGACAATGGTTAGTCTATGTCCAATCTGACCCCCTCCTTCCCCTCTTTTAGATCACGACTGAAGGCTTTCCTCTTCGGCCATGCTTACGGTCACCTCCTCCCTCACCCCGGCTCGCGGTCAGGCTCCGCCTCCGAGATGCTGCCCCACATGAAGGGCGCTGTATAAAATGCAAATACATGTTGTTGTTGTTCTAATGTAATGTTCGCTGTCAGAGTTCACAGGTCACTCTTTCCCGAGCTACATGACCTGGGTTTACCAGCAACAACAACAACTTTCCTGTATATAGCGCTCTTCACGCCGGATGGCATTTTTATATATAGCACCGATCCATTCACTGTTTGCTCAACATTAAAATGCAACAACTTGTCAGCAATGACAGGACAAAAAGTAATATCTGAAGGACAGTGAATTGCCCGGCTTTAATGTCTTATTTTATGTCTGCACAGGAATCCCTTGGGAGTAAAAAGCTGGACTCTGACTTGGGAATTCCTTCCCAGTTGGGCAGGCAGAGGTACTGATATTTTATCTTCTTTTTATGACTGAGTGAGCTGGGTTCTGTGGCGTTAGAGATGGAGGGAAATATAACTGAGCCGTGTCAGCCTGGCTCAGCTGATTAACACTCTCACCTCAGGGTCTGAACACTATGGGTTCCAGTCTTCCAGTCCCACATCTGGACGTTGCTCTCCTAGTCTGGGCTGACGTTAAAACTGAGGTCCCGTTTGTGAGACGTTGCTGTGTACAAACTGGCTGCTGCATTTCTCAACCAACACATTCACTACACCATGGAAAGTTTGTGGCATTAGAGGCGCTAACTCAAATGCCATTATTATTTTATTGATAAATATTGATGCAATATATGAGCTGGTTGTTTGTGAAACACTGACTGTTCAGCACTTTGGGACGTCCTCCCGATGTGAAAGGCGCTATACAAATGTAATTTTCTGGTTGTTGTTGTTGTTAGTGCCCCCAATCTCTCTGGTCATTTCCAGATAACATCCCCTGTGTGCAGTGCTCTGTATTGTCACTCTCAGTGCCTTTGTGAGCTCTTATCCTGGAGTTTTCTCTTCGGGGTGGGGGGTGGGGGGGGGGCGAGCGAGAGAGGAGGGTGACATTTTTCATGGTCTTAACCTTGAAATTACTAACCTTAATATTTAAGATCATGTAAAATGTTGGGAAGATCCTCAAATCCTTTTTCTTAAAAAAAACTTTAGCTTAACCTGGACTTTTTTTTCGAATTGAAGAATATTTTGCACCACCTGAACTTTTAAGATAACAGTCTTATGGTTAGGAACATGTGGAATTTTTTCATGGCTCTGATGGGAGGACTTGCTCTTTAGACCCAGCTTCTGGTTAGTTGCTGATGACCCTTTGATGGCTGGAAAATATACAAAATATACAGTCAATTCACTTCACAGTATATTGTGTGAAGCGCTTTGAGACGTCTCGAAGACGTGATAAGGCGCAATATCAAATGCAGGGATTATTATTAATATATTATCATATTCTTCAAACTGACAGCTTCCTTAAGTACTGGCCGTCGTGCGACAGTATATTTGATCTCCCGGATCTCCTGAACAATGACTCCTCCTTCGCCCAGAATAAAGTTCTCAAGCGGAAGAAAGCCTTGCATAAGCTGGGGATCGAAGAGTCACCAACTTCGGATGAAGATCCGCTCTCCTTCTCCATTTCAGACTCTGACGATAGCAGGAGCCTTAAACACAATCAGCTGACAATGTCAGGTAAGAGAACAAGAAGAATACATTCCGACAGATTTGCCTTTGTATCTAATAATAATAATACTAATCCAACAGAACGTCTTGTCACCTCAGTGAGATTGAACATATTGTAAAGTGGATTGACATTCTATTATATCCTCTGTGATTGGATGGGGAAATCCCTTCATCCCTTCAAAGTCCTTAGCCTTGGATGAGTAGTGGGTTTATGCTGTGCGCAAGCATGTATTGTATTGTGCTGCATTAGTGGACTGAACATACTTTGCTGAAGCTCAGAGGTTGTTTTTTAAATTCTTCGCATCTTGTCATAGAACATCGAACAGTTCAGCTGAATACAGCGATTGCTCCATAGAATATCATTCAGGGAAGAGCAACGAGGCTGATTTAAGCCTTGATTTTTAGGAAGGATGATGAGAGTGTGATGAGTCATCTCTTTGCATTGCATTGCACTGTCCTAGCCCCGCATTTCTCAATTGCTGGTGAACATAATGCTGGGTGAGCTATCTATTTCCTTGAGCACGGAGTCCTATAAAAGTCTCACTCAAGTTCAAACCCTTCACTGGCAAAAAAAAAGTTCTGTGCAGTAAAACTAAATCCATGCTTGGAAATACTATTTACATATACAATAGATTAGCACAGGTCAGAGTGTGATTCAAGAACAAGGCTTCAGATAACATCAATAAAGAGTTTGCTGTTGCTGTAATACACATCAGCTACTGTGGATTTTCAGTTTGGAGTTTCATTTTAGGAACATAGGAACAGGAGGAGGCCATTCAGCCCTTCGAGCCTGTTCCACCATTTAATTAGATCATGGCTGATCTGTACCTCAACTAATCCTTTCAATTCCAGTTTATCAGTCAGTCTGACAGTGGCCCGGCTGTAAACCCAAGTCTTAGCTCTGTGTTGTTTTTTCCAGATGAAGATCTCATGAAGAGTATCGCCGCAGAGGTCTCGAAGAATGATGGGTCAGACATTGTGACAACGGACAGCGGGCGATTCTCTCCCAGGGCAGAGGCAGATCTGATCTCAGAAATGTGCGTGTTTAGCAAAGCTATAAACCGAGATTTAATGCACATTTGGGGCACAAATTCCACCTGGGTCTAGATTTACACTATTAGCGTAGTAAACCAGAGGGTGGAGAAATTGGCAAAGTGGTGGATTCAGTTTTAACTTTGAACCTGTTTTTCAGTATTTTGTAGAGTAAACTTATTTAAAAAGTTAAACTTTACTTAAGAATTTGACACATTCTGAAAGCTCCTTCAAAATCTGTCTCAAACGAAACCCACCACACTCCCAACCCCGCTCCCCCTTACCCACCACCCCTCTTAATTTCAACCCCACACCCCCACCCCAGCCCTTAACTGTCCAGCGCCTTGGGACATCCTTCAAACATGAAAGTCCCTCCCTCTATAAATGTAATTTGTTGTGGTTGTTGAAATGTTACCCAAATAGAGTGAATCTAGACCCAGGTGAAATTTCTACCCAATTGTCAGTTGATATTCCCAAAAAGTGCTAAATACGAATCATAAAAGCCACCAAAGTGTGAAAAGGCCGGAGAGTGAGACAATCGGCCAGTTTGTCCTCTGGACATTTTTGTTCGAAAACTCTCAATTAGCTGTTTCGTGATCATCGCAAACCACTTTGCGTCACTTCAGCCGCCCACGAAATATACAGTCAATTCACTTTGCAGTATATCCTGTGAAACGCTTTGAGAACGTCTCGAAGATGTGATCAGGAGCATATCAAATGCAAGGACTATTATTATTATTATTACTATCTAAACTGTCGCTCCTCACCTGGATGTTGTTGTTTCAGTTTGCAGGGCTCCTGCAGTACGTGGTCTGATTCGTGCGAGAAGCTGCCACGCAAGGGAATCCTGCAAAAGTCCTTCTCTTTTGTTTCAACAGGATCGACAGCCAGCAGCTTCCTGGCCAGCCTGGACACCACCCCCAAACCCAGCTCAGCCTTTTCCACTCGAATAGGTGAGGTGCTGCTGCCCTTTACGCACTGACATGTTCACTTTAAACAGCTTGCCTTTAAATGATAGTGTCTTCACATAAAATCAAGCGTCTCAGAGAGCTTCACAAAAGAAACAGGAGGAGGCTATTCAGCCCCTTGAGCCCGTCCCACCATTATATAATATCATGGCTGATCTGTACCTCAAGTCCAGTTACTGACCCTTGCCCCTTATCGCTTAATATCCTGACCTAACAAATCTCTATCTACCTTTGTTTTTGAAGATTTGTAGAGAGAAAATAATAGAGAAAGAGATTCATTAGAAATGAAGTGAACTGTGTAGGAAAATTTGCCAGCAAAGTCCAAAGCCTTTGTCTTCATATTCTGGTCACACGGATCTACTGAACATTACCTATGCTTCTCATCAATTTTAAGATGTGGATCATGTCTTCCCCCCCCACCCTCTGCCCCCTCCCTCCCCCAACCCCCCACCCCACCGCAACTTTTTCTGTATTCACGTTCTGCTTCCTAACATTCCAGAAAGGCTTGGGACACTGTCCTTTTCAGAAACTTTATACACATAATGAGTGCTCTGGATATCCTCCTCATTCTGCGCAGTCACTGTTTGAACTTGAGCCATGATCTTCAGTTCTTTGTCTCCTGTGCAAGCAGCGGACTTGTCTGTCTGCATTTTCTACCCTTGTTCTTCATTTCGTTTGCTTGTTAGCAGTTTTATTTTATGCCTAGCCCAGGCGGGAAGAAAGAATTACTGAAATGTTAAGGTGATGATGTTTAGTTTCACGTGAAAATAAGTTTGTGAAATATTTAATGACAACACACTTGCACCTTGATTGACTGACTTAATCCGTGTCAACTGTTAACCATTATTTGTTGTTTGTAGAGGGGGATTTTTTGTCGAAAAACAAATGGATTATTCTCTTGCCTCTTGTTCTTTCCCCTCCCCTTGGCTCGGCATCCGGCTCTGCCACTGTTAATCGCTCCGAGACTCCATCTGGGGTGAAGTCGCTATATAAGAATACAAGAACATAAGAATTTGCTGGGCAAAAGAAGACCAAGGTCCATCTAGTTTGCCCTCCACCAACCTGGCAGTTGCTTGACATCTTATGTCCCAAACGATATACTGTGTCCTGAGATATTATTTTCTATTGTATTATGTAAATGCAAATTATTGTTGTTGAAGAGGGAGAAGAATAGGAGTCTTTTGGACTTTTGCAAAGAATTGCTTTTGGACTTGGGATGTCCTCCCAACGTGAAAGGCGCTGTAATTTTGTATTGTATTTGGATTTCATTGTCTGTTTTCATGATGTGAGGTGCGTCGAGCGGCTGGAACTGATGCAGTTATGTCTGCTAATAAGTGTCTTCCATTTGGTACAGGCGTCTCTAAGAGCCCAAAGAAGTGGCTTTTCCCGCACTGGGTCCTTTATGTAACGTACTTGGTGTGTTTCCTGCTCATCGCAGCGTCTGTTGGTGTGACCGTCACTTACGGAAGGCTGTTCCACAACAATGTGGTGCTAATGTGGCTTATTTCTGCCTTTTCCTCCTTCCTGACCTTGTTCTTCGTCTTGGAACCCATCAAGGTAAGAGCATTCGTTTGGAAACATAAGAGAGAGGAAACAAAGCACTCACCCGATACTCACTTTGTGTATTGTAATTTTTTTATTTGAATGGAGTCTGCCATCTACACAATGCAGATGGTAATTTATATAACAATAATAATCCTTGCATTTGATATAGTACCTTATCACATCATTGCGATGCCTCAAAGCGCTTCACAGAATCCATGGAGAATAATATTCAATGAAACCGAGAGAGAATTATTTTTCAATTTAATGAAATATAAGTTTAATTGATCGACATTGATGGAGAAGTGTTTATTACGGGTAAGTTCAAGATTTTAAAGATTTGGGATATTGGAAACAATATAACATTATGAAAGATGCGTAAACCCTTGGACTGACTATTCAAGAATCCTGACAAGGTTTACTGACATAGAAAAGTAAATCTGTGACTGATTGTTTGTGTGTGCAGGTGTTATGTGAGGCCCTCCTGCTCGCTCTGGTTACCAAGCCAGTAGACCCTGATGAGGATGATAATTTGGTCGAGGAGCCTCTGATCAAGAAAATGTCCGAAAAAATCAGTAAGGTTCGACCACCATACGGTTACGGACTGCTTCAGGCCAAAGAGGAAGCGCGCAAAGTGAGAGCCTTGCACACGATTATGAAGGTAAGGGAAATTCTGACAAAAGCACAACACAGAAGATCAGTCCTTTGAGGAGGTCTCTTTACTGAGTGCTCCTATGACCGGTGAAAGCACTGTGCAACATTCATTTAAGTATCAGTGGGTTGCTTTGGCAGTGCGAGTACGGCTGTTAGTCGATTTGACGGATCGCTTTTCCGGAGATAATAAACCCCTCCAAAAAAATACTAATAATTATTATTTATTCAAGACTGGGGTAGATAGATTTCTTATTGCAAAAGGGATTAAGGGATATGGGGATAAGGCAGGGTTAGGTTATTAGCTGGAATTAGATTAGAAGATCAGCCATGATTGAATGGCAGGGCAGACTCGAAGGGCCGAATGGCCTATTCCTGCTCCTATATGTTATGTTATAATCTGGTCACTCAATCCACGACTGTTTGTGGGACGCTGCTGTGCGCAATTGACTGCCATGTTTCGCCCACAAAATATACAGTCAACTCAATTTACAGTATATTCTATGAAGCGCTTTGAGACGTCGTGAAGACGTGATAAGACGATATATCAAATGCAAGGATTATTATTATTTGATTCTGAACTCTAGCCCACTCTTCCCTATGTTTTACAGCAATCTCCAAGGCATGACTGAAAAGCCCTGACTAACTATATATACTTACTTACTTAAGCTTTTGCTTAAATCTGTGACTGATTGTGTTTGTGTGTGCAGGTGTTTTGTGAAGCCCTCCTGCTCGCTCTGGTTACCAAGCCAGTAGACCCTGATGAGGATGATAACTAACTATAATTACTTACTTAAGCTGTTGCCAGTGAACTTCCTTTTGTAATATTGGCTTCTTGTGTGTTTTTCTTTCATAGAACTGCATTGTGCACACTCTTTTCCTGCTGTTGGTGCTTATCATTAACTACCAGGGATATTTCCAAAACACCAACGCCCGACTGCTGCATGCTAGTGTTCGACAGTCTGTCGTTGGGAGGACCCAGCCTGGACCCAACTTTTCTGCCATCAAGGGGTTGGTGGAATTCAAGAACATCTTGCGCTCTCTTTTGCCCCTATAACTGATGTGCTGTCCCTGACATCTCATCATCATGTTCAAGCGCACATTAAACATGATGATGAGACTGGCACTGTTTGAAAAGAGAAAAGGAGTTTCTCCTGGTGTCCTGACCAACAATCCTCCAGACAGATTTGTTATTCACTGTTAATAGGACTTCGCTGTGTGCAAATAGATTTCACGTTTGTCCACACATTACAGTCACTAGACTTGTCAGCAATTACCTGTGAAGCGTTTTGAGATGTTTATTAGAATCATAGAATATTACTGCTCAGAAGGAGGCCATTCGGCCCATCGTGCCCGTGCCAGCTCTTTGGAAGAACTACCCAATCAGTCCCACTTCCCCGCACTTTCCCCAAACCCCTGCAAATTTTTCCTTTTCAAGTACCCATCTAATTCCTTTTTTGAAAGTTTAAGAATCATTATTATTAAAGTTGCTATTATCAAATGCAAGGATCATTATTATTGTTTGTGTTTTGCTACTTTCCAGTTTGGAAGAATAGTGTCTGCTGTTGTGGTTCTTTAACAGGGTGGGTGATTTCTGGCAGTGGGCGGAGGTTGTGTTACTGCCACATCTGTACAGTAACCCTGGACTGACACCGGTTGGAGCAGCTCGGCTAAGGCAGCTCCGATCCAAAGAGGGTATGAATGTGTTTAACAAGGCGATCTGGGAACTTCAGCAGGACACTGCGGGAGGTTTCCCTGACCTCAATGGGAGAATTCTTCTGCACTTGTCAGAAATTTTGATTTATGATAATAATATTAATAATAATAAGTTCTATCTCCACACCAGCAATGGACGCTCAAAATTGGAGCCCGGTGCACTGCTGTAAATTGTAAAGTAACTCATCGTACTTCAAAACAGTTGATTCTGCATTAAATGCAATTATCATCATTGCCTTCTAAATACATAACTCAATGTGGTGAAAGTTGGAAAATGTGTCATTTCTGTTGCTTCCCTGTCCTAGGGTATTGTCGGCATTTGCCTTCCAATGTGATTCTTGGCAATAAACCTTCCGGCACCAGTGTCTGTGGCCTCTTCAGCCTCCTGAGAGCAGACACCCCAAACCTGGGGACTGGGTGGTGGGCTGACACCAGCACTGCCAATCGCAGTTGGGTTTATCTGTCACACAAGTTAACAGGGTAAGAATAAACACAATACGTTTGATTTCACACCAACTCAAATGCTTCAGTCAAAATGGTCTTTAAAATATCCTTTCACATAAAGTTGCTGGTAGTTGCCAACAGCATTGCCTTTGTTGCCTATTTTGAATCCATCCATTGCTCTGTATCTAACCTGTACTTGTACTGTACTTGGGAGTGTATGCTGGAACAGTGTAGAGCGAATTCATTGTATATCTAACACAGGCTATACTGACCTTCAAGTAGTTAATTTGGACAGTGTAGAGACCATTACTCACCATCTATTTCACCTACAAAAGATACAGTCAATTCACTTTACAGTATATTCTATGAAGCACTTTGAGACGTCTCAGTGACGTGATAAGGCGCTATAACAAACGCAAGGATAATTATTATTATTCTAACCCATGGACTACCCGACCTGGGAGTTATCTTGTTGAGGTCACAAGGCAATCCTCTGAATGAGGTTTTTGTTCCTGTGTTTGCAGTATCAGGTACCTGGGAGAGATGGGGCTTTATGACAGCGGAGGATATACACAGGAACTCGGCAACAACTTTGGAGAAAGCAGCAGCATTCTGTGGGATTTACGCAAAAACAACTGGATCGATCCGATGTAAGTAACGTTCCAAGGAATAGCTCTTTTATTACAATTATTTTGGCTTGTGGAGATTTGGAATTGGGCCTGAATTAATATCAACAGACAACTTTAATTCACCGATAAGAATCTTTTACTACGGCTTTGTAAATGGGGATCATTTTAGCACTCAGTGAATCGCACACCCTGGGGGTTGTACTTCCAATAGTTGCCCATTCATTTCAAATCTCACACTCTGTCAGGCTCAGTAATCAGACAAAATAAAACAAAAGAACACACAAGGAGTGACTTGTGATGCACAAGAACACAACAACAACAAATGACATTTGTATAGCTCCTTTCACGTCAGGAGGTTGGCCCAAAGCACTCGACAGTCAAGGAGGTACACCCGAACTGGGGGGCTGGGATCAGGAGGGTGGAGGTCAAGGAAGGTGGGGAGTAGAAGGGTGACCGAAGGCCGAAGAGGAAGCACGGGCTTTGAAGGTGGCAAGGGAGGGGGCGAGGCGAAGGGACTGTGGGATTGAGCTCCAAAAGGGTGGATGCGGACCAAGTTGGTTGCGTCTTTATTTTCCCTCAGTTACTGAGCCCTGTTTTATCCCTCTCACAGGACCAGAGCTGTGTTTGTGGAGTTCACTCAGTACAATCACAATGTGGATCTACACGTGGTGCTCACGCTGCTGCTGGAGTTCCCAGCTGTGGGATCAGTGGCGTCGACTGTTGACATTAAACCTATTACCATGATGCGCTCGAGCCAGGGCGCTAACCTGCAGCTGGTGATGATGGTAAGTGCTGTGTAGCAACTCACAGACTGAACTCTTACCAACGAGACTATTTCAATAAAACACAAAAACGCCAGAGCTCTTTCTGTAAAGGAAGATGCTTATAGAATAATAATCCTTACATTTGATATAGCGCTTTATCACATCGTTCAGACAACAACAACAGCAGCAAGATTACATTTGTATAGCGCCTTTCACGTCGGGAGGACGTCGCAAGGTGCTGAGACGCCTCAAAGCGATTCACAGAATACACAGTAAATTGAATTGACTGTATACTTTATGGGCAAAACACGGCAGCCAATTGCCCACAGCAGTGTCCCCCAAACAGTCATGCATTGAGTGTCCAAATTTTGTTTAATCATTCCGTTCAGATAACTTTAATCTGCAAACATTTCTCGTCTACGTTAACTTTATTAATGGAGTCCTGTAGCTCAGCAGTTAGAGCCGTTGCTTCACAAGCGAGAGACCTGGGTTTGATTCCCAGCAGGGTGAAATGTTGGGCAACTTTCCTTACTCCACATGCCTCTGTTTGTACCTAGCAGTAAGTAGGAACCCGGTTGTTAGTCAATTGATAAATCGCTTTTCCGGGGGTAATAATTCCTTAAAAAAATCTGCTGAGATTGGCATCTGGTGTCAGAGGGAGGAGGTTCCCTTTGGAACTTGACACACTTGACCACTATTCATCTACTGAGTTCTTTCTTGCACAGCTTAACTGCTCAGCTAACATATGATAATAATAATTACGATTATGATTAACATGTTGCTGCTGGTTCTGCTATTAACTGTTTCCTCCCATCCGCCCTGTGTCCAGGTGTTGCTGCTCCTCTTCAGTCTGGGTTTTCTGTTTGGAGAGGGCTGCGACCTGAGGAGAGAGCGGTTGGCATATTTCACAGAAGGCTGGAGGTATCTTCAACTCCTGATCATCCTCCTGTGCGTGTTGACCTCCGCGCTCCACTTCGGTCGCCTCTCGTCAGCCGACGTACAGTTTGAACACTACAAGCAGAACCCGTGGGTCTTCACCAACTTCTACCACGTGGCATTCTTGGCGGAGGTGGTCACTGACCTCAGTGCTGTTCTGCTAACCATTCTGACTATGAAGGTAAACAGTGCAAGCTTGGGGTGGCCACATTTGTTTTCTCCCCTCCCTCCCCATCTTCAATTCCCACCTAAAGACCTTCCTTTTTGATCGTGCTTGCGGTCATCTCCCACTCCCCTCTCCCCTTGGCTCGGCATCAGACTCTGCCACTGTCAAGCACTCCGCAATGCTACTCCGCATGAAGGGCGTTATATAAATGCAAGTCGTCATCGTTGTCGTTGTTGTTACACTGAGTAAATCTTACCTTTCCAGGTTTTACTTCTTGAATTGCTGTGTTTTACTGTGAATTACTTTGGCCTTCTTTCAAGATTTAATTATTAAGATTTAAATTCATACAAATATTTATAAAAAATATAAAAAGGGGGAAACGAGGAGTCAAAGCCTTACAATTGCACTTGTGTTTGTGCGCTGAGCAGTGATGAACATTATTGCCTATAGTCTTGCGTTGGGGCATTAACTAAATTGTGGCTTATACTGTTTTATCTGCAGATTGTCCGGCAGCTGCGGTTTGTCCGTAGATGGTGTACATTTGGGAAGGCGATTGAGCATGCGTTGCAGGAGCTGGTGGCTGCCGTCCTGATGTTCTTCTTGCTTGTTCTGGTCTACGCACAATGTGGCTATATGGTGTGTGTCAGAACCTTTTATAGTGCAACACAGGAGCACTGCACCACAACCTGATCTACTCGTGCGTGCACCATACTGTGGGACACAGTGCGGAAGGTGTGGAGGCCACACTCTGGGGCAATACTGCTCCCGTATCTAGGGAGACTCTCTCCCAACATCTGTCTCACACTGCTTCACAGAAAGGTCTTGCTGTTTGACAGCTGATGATTCCCTACTTTACCCTCCATCCTCTTTCTCTCTCTATCTTTTGTTTGTTTGTTGATGCTCTGTTCTTTCCTTTCTTGCCTCACATTGTGGAGGTTGGCTGGTAACTCCCTCCCTGCCCTTTGTACACCTTGGCCAGCGGGTGGAAGTCACTCAACGCAGGCTCATGTGATTCGATTTTTAATTCTCACCCCCTCGCCTTATACGCTCAATGTTTCCTTATCCATTGTCATACTCTCCAATGCCATAGACTGTGGAGAATAGCAAAGGAAAACTCATACAGGGGCTTAAGTACTCAAACGCCACTGGCCCATTTTTAAAATAATTCAGTTTAAACAGTTCACACCATGAAACAAAATAATAAAAATAATAATAACAATAATCCTTGCATTTGATATAGCCCATTTTTTTGAGACATCTCAAAATGCTTCACAGGATATACTGTAAGGTGAATTGACTATATTTTGTGGGCGAAACGTGGCAGCCAATTGCGCACAGCAGTGTGCCACAAACAGTCGTGGATTGAGTGACCAAATTATTATTTTTTTAAAAATGATTGAATGGGCTGTTTATACCTCAACCATTCTTCTCTTCTATTTCTTTCAGATGTTTTCCCCGGGACTGGAGGACTTCAAGACTTTCAGGCGTTCTCTTCTGTCTCTGATAGCATTGCTCCGCGGACTGGTGACGCTGCAGCGTGCAGTCCAGCAGTATCCTGCATCTGGGTCCATTTACTTCATCAGCTACCTGGCCTGCCTACTGTGGATTATGGCTCGGCTCTTCAGCGCCATCATCATTCACAGCTACAAGGTGGTCCGAGCAGAGATGTACCGACCCGCCATCGAGCCACAGGACTACGAGATGATAGAGTTCTTCATCAAAAGGTTCAAGCTTTGGATTGGCCTCAGCAAAGCAAAGGAGGTAACTGCCTTGTTGCTCAGGGTTGATGTCTCAGCGTTTCGCCCATAAAATATAGTCAATTCACTTTACAGTATATTTTGTGAAGCTCTTTGAGACATCTCAAAGACATGATGAGGCCTACATCAAATCCAAGGATTATTACTAATAATAACTAATCGTGGTAGTAATAACTATTACTAATTGTGGAGTCCTGTAGCTCAGTGGTTAGAGCACTCGCTTTGCAAGTGAGAGACCTGAGTTCAATTCCAGGCAGAGGGCGAAACCTTGGGCAAGTTTCCTTACTCCACACAGAGCCTAATAATAAATGCATCAAATGCAAGGATTATTATGAGCATTAACTACTGGGTAGACTTTAGACACAGGCAGCGACTGCGCATCAATTGCTGTGCACAGCTTCAGATACAGGACAGTACTGGTTATAGCTTCAGATACAGGACAGGTATCTTGAAATCTTTCAATTAGGAAAATCTAGTTTATTGTGTTCATCTGCCTCAACAACCTCAACTTTACAACAACAATTTTAAGATGTTATTAAACTAAAGCAACAGTCAGATATGATCTTAGCTCCTCTTTCACCGCATTTCGTGGAGTCCTGTAGCTCAGTGGTTAGAGCACTCGCTTTACAAGTGAGAGACCTGAGTTCAATTCCAGGCACAGGGCGAAACCTTGGGCAAGTTTCCTTACTCCACACAGAGCCTAATAATAATCCCTCCAAAACAAAAAACAATAATAAATTGGTCATTTTCAATCTACGACTGTTTGTGGGACATTGCTGTGTGCAATTGGCTGCCGCGTTCGCCCACAAATATACAGTCAATTCACTTTACAGTGTATTCTGTGAAGCGCTTTAGGACGTCCTCCCGACGTGAAAAGCGCTATATCAAATGCAAGGATTATTATTATTATTTATTAGTAATTAATGCAAATTGTAATTGTTTAGCCCGCAAGATACATTTAACAATATATTCTGTGATATATCAGAGATATAAAAATTATATCAAATGCAAGGATTATTATCATTATTATTGTATTCTGACCTGGATGAGTTATTGTGTAACTCGGTGCTCAATGCAAACGGTACATCAGAGAAGTTAAATGAATTGTGTTGCTAGTCTTCCTGGCTTTAGTTGTTAGCCTTATTAAGTGAAAATCCTCGTCTCGCTTCTTTATTTCATTGCAGTTTCGTCACAAGGTCAAATTTGATGGAATGGAATCTCTACCGTCACGGTCCTCCCGAAATTCCAAACTCTCCCGATTTCCCTCAGTCAGCGCTGACTCCCATTATTCTGATTCCTCCATCTCGTCTGGATCCATGCGCTCCGTAGATCTAAATATCCCAGAGAGCCCAGCCGGAGTGGCCTACGATGTACAACTTTATCTGGATCGACTCTTGCCCACGGTTAACAGCCTCCTCGGTCAGTTTGACCGGGTTAATAAAGTTACCTATGACTTGTATCAGATTGAGGCTGGTTTGGAGTCGGTCCAATGCAAAATTAACACGAGGAAACAGAGCCAGGTGAGCAGAGAAATGGTTAATGTGCAGAAAAGGATGAACCATCCAGCTACCATGCAGCTTGTGCTGCCAAGGACTTATAGCACGTTTTCTGAATCTGCTGTCTCTGGCCTGCGCCCGAGCAAAGGCCAGGATTGTGAAAACCCAGCAGAGAAGAGCGAGCCAACACAACAGTCCTCAGTGGGACCTAGTCGAGCCTCTGGCAGAAGAGCCTGGCAATCTGGACCACCCCTGTCAGCAGACTTGAGCCAGAGGCATTCGCCGGCCTCGAACCCTGCAGCAAAACCAAGGCCGAAGAGTGAAGACGGGAAGGACCGAGCAACGAACATGCATCAGGCGCCAATTAAGAGGAGAGCTTGGCAGATGGAGAGTGCTGGGGGAGCCCACCACTGATTGCAGGTAACAGGCAGGAGGATACACTGTAATCCACATGTCTGTACTGACTTCAACCAAATGTGAAATGAAAAGCATAAAGACGGTAAATTTAGTCATAGATAAGGAGGGTTTTTATAGTCCATGTGATACGAGCCAGGATTGACCTTGGCCTTGTGCGTGTTGGATTTGGGCTACTTTGAAATTCCTCTCACACTGCTTCCAAACCACAAACGTGACGTGGTATTCTATAATTCCAGTTACACATTTTGGTTCAGAAATGTTCTCATTCGTCGTTTTAAACAAGTCACCCATTAATGTCTACTGGTACATCATCAATATTGCTTGCTTTCCCTACTCTGACTTGATATAGAAGGTAAAGATTTTAGCTTATTGGGTAGTCCAAACAAGTCCTGCTTTTTTTTTGTTGCAACAGACCGAATCGTGTTTTGTAACACATTCCCTGACTGAATGATGCTGCACAACATTTATAACACATCCCCTCCACCTGCTCTCATTGACCGACTGACTGACAATGCGAGAGAGTCACACCATTGATCACAAGTGGCGCTGTTAACCACAAGTGGCAAATGAAGCTGAGTCAATTAAATCATTTATAAAGGAATCAGAGAGAATTAGGATATCGAAAGTGCGTGGGGAAGAGCAGACAAATGGGATTAGGACAGATAAATAGAGGATTTAACTGACTGGATTGATGGCCTTTTGTGCTAAGATTTGAATAGTTTTTTCACTGATTGATGATCAGCGTGTGAGACACTTATTATGCTTATAATGTTGTGACTACAAAGTGAGATGGAAATTAGTACAATGGAAAACAAGGACTGAGTACAGCATCGTCTGACCTGAAAGAAGAGGGCATCAGAATTTAACAGACAGCAAAGAAAATAAACAGAGAAAAACAATGAAGGTAAAAGCAAAGCAATAAAAGAAATGGTTTCAACGGGAGCTAGGAGCAGTGAAGAAAAAAATCAACAACCGATCAAGCGAAATATTCAGTGAAACAAGATACTGTATTAATAATAATAATCCTTGCATTTGATATAGCGCTTTTCACGTCGGGAGGACGTCCCAAAGCGCTTCACAGAACACACTGTAAAGTGAATTGACTGTATATTTGTGGGCGAACGCGGCAGCCAATTGCGCACAGCAATGTCCCACAAACAGTCGTAGATTGAAAATGACCAATTTATTATTGTTTTGTTTTTTGGAGGGATTATTATTAGGCTCTGTGTGGAGTAAGGAAACTTGCCCAAGGTTTCGCCCTCTGCCTGGAACTGAACTCAGGGCTCTCACTTGTAAAGCGAGTGCTCTAACCACTGAGCTACAGGACTCCACAAAATGCGGTGAAAGAGGAGCTGAGATCATATCTGACTGTTGCTTTAGTTTAATAACATCTTAAAATTGTTGTTGTTGTAAAGTTGAGGTTGTTGAGGCGGATGAACACAATAAACTGGATTTTCCTAATTGAAAATTTCATTTATTGCTCCTTTCTTTCCAAGATACCTGTCCTGTATTTGAAGCTGTGCACAGCAGTTGATGCGCAGTCGCTGCCCGTGTCTAAAGTCTACCCAGTAGTTAATGCTCATAATAATCCTTGTATTTGATATAGCGCCTTACCCTGTCATCGAGATGTCTCAAAGCGTATCACATAACACGTCGTAAATGGATTGACCGTGTATTTTGTGGGCGAAACATGGCCTGCAGCTGTCCCTGTGCGAAACATTCATGGAGTGACCGCATTTTTTTTTGGAAAGATTTATCACCCCCGGGAAAGCAACCCACCAATCGACTGAACACCCGGGCTGCTGCTTATCACTTGGTAAACAGGCGCGTGGAGTCAGGAAACTTCACCCCGGCCAGGAATACGAAAGAGGTGCTCTCGCTCACCAGGCGAGGACGCCAACAACTACACTCACGGGACCGCACTTTATCTGACGTCGTGCATAGTAAACTGTCCCTGAGTGTGAAGCTGTGCCCAGGGTGGGTGGTGTGGGGGGTTGGGGAGTGGGTGGTGTGGGGGGTTTGGGAGTGAGGGGGTGGATGGTGTGGGTGGATTTGGGAAGTGGGGGATGGGTGGTGTGGGGAGGGGTGGTGTGGGGGGGGTTGGGGAGTGGGTGGGGGGGGTTGGGTGGTGTGGGGGGGGGGTTGGGGAGTGGGTGGTGTGGGGTTGGGGAGTGGGGGGTCGGTGGTGTGGGGGGGGTTGGGGAGTGGGGGGGTGGGTGATGGGGGGTTGGGGAGTGGGTGATGTGGGGGGGGTTGGGGAGTGGGTGGTGTGGGGAGGGGTGGTGTGGGGTGTGGGGAGGGGTGGTGTGGGGGGGGTTGGGTGGTGTGTGGGGGGTTGGGGAGTGGGGGGGTGGGGAGTGGGGGGTGTGGTGGGGGGGGCTGGGGTGGGGGGGTTGGGGTGGGGGGGGTTGGGGTGTGGGGGGGGTTGGGTGGTGTGCGGGGAGTTGGGGAGTGGGGGGTGGGTGGTGTGGGGGGGGGTTGGGGAGTGGGGGGGGTGGTGTTGGGAGGGGTTGGGGAGGAGGTAGTGGGTGGTGTGAGGGGGAGTGGGGGGGCGCGGTGTGGGGGAGTGTGCTCTGGCAGTGGTAGCCAGTGCGCAGGCGCGCTGAGTGGATCCGCGCAGCTTCCGCGCTGCCCTGTCCCGGCATGCCCGGCGCTGCCCTGTCCCGGCATGCCCGGCGCGGGGGAGCGGGTGACGGTTTCCCTGGAGACGGCGACCGATGAAGACCCGGGCGGCCCGCGGGCCTGAGCCGGGGCCTGGGCCTGGGGTCGACACTGAGCCGTGTCAAAGCCGGGCCGGCTGGGCGGCCAACTGGCTGCTCTTCTCCCTGGTGTCTGCCGTGTACCTGCGGACCCTACACCCGTCTGTTCCGGGCGGGGACTCGGGTCAGTGCGCGGGGTGTGGGCGGACAGGGAGGTCGGGCCGCCCGGGGGCACTCACTCACTCACTCACTCACTCACTGCTGTGGGACTCGCAGCGAAAAGCCCACAAAGAGGAGTGGGGGGGGGGAGGGTGTGGGAGAGGAGTGGGCGGGGGGGTGTGGGAGTGGGGGGGGGTGGGAGAGGAGTGGGGGGTGGGCAGAGGAGTGGGGGGGGGGGAGAGGAGTGGGGGTGGGACAGGAGTGGGGGGGGTGGGAGAGGAGTGGGGGTGGGCAGAGGAGTGGGTGGGGGGCAGAGGAGTGTGGGGCGGAGGGAGGGAGAGGATCTCTTTAATAATAGTAATAATCTGTGTACCCACAAAATATACGGTCAACTCACTTTACAGTGCGTCCCTATCCCTGCGAAGCGCTTGGAGACGTCTCGAAGACGTGATGAGGCGCTGTGTCAAATGCCGGGATTGGTATTAGTATTGGATATAAGCGCTTTGTCACACTGTCGAGACGCCTCCGAGCGCTTCACAGCGTGTACTCTAAAGCGGATGATCTGTATTTTGTGGGTGAAACGCAGCAGACGGTTTGTGCACAGCAATGTCCCCCGTCCCCCCATCCAACAGCCATGGACTGAGCGACCAATTTTACTTGTGTTGTGCCAGGACACCGGGGGAGGTTACCTTCGGTTTGAATAGTGTCAGGGGATCTTTAACATCCACCTGAACCGGCAGACGGGACCTCGGTTTAATGTCTCATCTGAAGGAGCTGAATTGGCACTGGGTTTGGTGAATGGAAGGTGGGAATCGAGACCTTCCACCATGGGGGTCTCGCTACTCCGATACCTGAGCCAAGCAGGTCCACGGTGACACTGGTGACTGTGTAATCCGATTCTGTTTACGTTGACAGTACTTGCAGGGGCAGAGCGGTCACTGTGATTCTTCCCACTTGCTTCCTGTTTAATCCTGCAAGCCAAAGCATTAATGGGTAGGGTGGTCCTCGCTGGACAAAGCAACGAAAAGTTAGCCAGATGCTCGTCGCAATATATTGCTATTAGATGTCTATCCAGCCTTGGCTGTTTCGCCCACAAATATACGATCAATTCACTTTACAGCATAATCTGTGAAGAGCTTGGAGACGTCTTGAAGACGTGAAAATCGCTATATCAAATGCAAGGATTATTATTATAGAGCAAGAAGACTACAGAACAGAAAGGAAAAATAATAAATAAAAGTGTGATTAATTATTTTGTCAATGTGAACCCAATGCAAGGGCAGTTTATTTTTTTGTACCCAGTTTGTGTTCTATTATATAATAATAAAAAATAAATCCTTGCATTTAATGTAGTGCTTTTCATGTCGTCTAGATGTTTCAAAGCTCTTCACAGAATGCAAAGTGAATTGACTGTATATTTTGTGGGCGAAACGCAGCAGCCAATTGCGCACAGCAGTGCCCCACAAACAGTCGTGGATTGAGTGACCAAATTATTATTGTTTTTTCTTGAGGGATTATTATCAGGAGTGCGGAGTAAGGATACTTGCCCAAGGTTTCGTCTTGGGAGTAGGTATCGGGAATTGAACCCAGGCCTCTCGCTTGCAAGGCGAGTGCTCTAACCCCTGAACTACAGGACACCTCACTTCATACCTGTGCATCACCAACTCAGCACTTATTGAGTGACAATAAAGGGCGGAATCAGGCTCCTTATTGTGGCCAGTTTCAGAGCAATAAAGAGAAACTCCTTTAGTCAGCGTAGAGGGCTATGTTGGTGTGTGATGTTTGTGGGGTGGGGAATAACAACCAGCTGGTTTTGGAAGAAGTAAATGATGCATTCTTTTTTCAATAGGTGAGCTGATCACTGCTGCATGTGAGCTCGGAGTAAGTGTATTTTGCATTTGTTAACTGAACAAGCTTGAATAGCTAAAATGGACTTTCAAGCCTGCTGTAACATTTAATTTTACTCTATTTTAATTCAGTTCACTGAACATACTAACGTGAGCATTTGTTGTGGAAACTTATCAATATTTCTTTAAATTTTTTATTTCCCATCCCCCTTTTTCTAACTTGGTAACCTTCTGTCTCTCCTTTTCATACTGAGAGAGCACAACGAGCAACATAGTTTCTGCTGACATCACTTTGTAGTCAGTTATTTACCAAATACAACTGTCTTGTCACAAAATATTTATGGAGGTAGTTCATTGGGTTAAATTGGGATGTTTCTCCCCCAATTCATGCACTTTCCAGTAGTGATCACCAGATGGCAATCCAGGCTTTAGATCATCTAACTCCATACATACCAGTCATTGAACCTGAACCCTCCCTGCTCTGTACGGCTCAACACCACAGTTACCCACTGAATTGTCACAGGATTTGTTTTTAATTTTAAACAGTTTATCAGTTTTAAATTGCCCCTGCTTCTTTCAAAATGGTAGCTGAATGTGCCTCTACCAAATCATCCCATAACTCAACAGGTTTGTTTCTGAAGGACTGAAAAGTGGGCGAACCTGTCAGCAGTGAATAATAATAATAATAATCCTTGTATTTAATATAGCGCCTTATCACGTCTTCGAGACGTCTCAAAGCGCTTCACAGAATATACTGTAGTGAATTGAATTGTGAATTGACTATATTGTGGACGAAACTCCCACAAAATATACGTGTCTTCCTGTATGATGGCTTCCTGTGAAGTGATAAGTAACCTGTGCGGGAATTCTGTTTGTTTTCAATTCCAGTTGCTATAAATGTTTAATGAGAGCTTTTATTTCTGTTTCACTGGCAGGTGGCACATCCTCCCGGTTATCCCTTGTTCACTCTTTTGGCAAAACTGGCAATAACGTTTGTCCCACTGGGATCAGTTGCATTCAGAGTGAATTTGCTCAATGCGATGCTTGGGGCAGCTACGGCATCTTTGCTATTTCACACAGTTCTCAGGTTAGTTTAATTGACGTGGCTGTTGCATTTGGACCCTTTTATGAAGCTACAGTTTAAACTGCGCATGCTTGAGTCAGGGCAACTGGCTTTACTGGACAAAAAGTCCAAAGTGAGTTGTTCCCGAGTTTCAATTTGGCTGAAAACCAAACAGCATTTTAGCTAGGAAATCTCATCATTTGATGTTTCCATCTTATCTCTGCCCCTTTCCCCTCCTCTCCATCTCTGATCTTCTGGTGAATTCTTCCCCGTTCTCTGTGTCTGACCATTCAATGTGTTCTTTCATCTGTATCTTTGTCTCTTAATACTATCCTTTGCAAAAGTAGCATTCATATGTGCAACTCTGTTTTGTTCGCATACCCTCAATTATATGGCTTTTTTGTCATATATTAATAGTGTTATTATTATCAGACACCTGTAGCTGACCAAAGAAAATTCTACATATGATTACACTTTATTGTATTTAAATCCGAGTGATGAGGCTGATTTAAGACAAGTCTCTTACAAACAGGGGTAGGAATCTATTTGCAGATAATTTTCAATTCAATGTCGTGCATTTCCAGATTGTCTGGTTCATGTGCTGGAGGCATACTCGCGGGCGGGCTGTTTGCGTTCTCCCAGCTGGCATGGCGGTGGTCCACAGCAGCGGAGGTGTTCAGCCTAAACAATTTCTTTGTGGGTGTCCTGATGGTCCTCGTGGTCAGCTTCAGCACAGCACCTACAGCACAAGAAAGGTCAAAGGTAAAGAAAAAAAGCCTAAAGCAGGGCTCTGGATGCGTCAAATGCAAGGATTATTATATTATATATTGTTGTTGATTCTAGCATTTGCAGCAGGTGATTGGAGTGAAGCTTGCTTTGCAGTGTGAGAATGTGAATTACATATCCTGGGATGTTCTGTGTTTTGTTAAGCAGCTTGTTCTCTTCTGTTAAAGCTCCATCAGGTTCATGAGTAGCAAGACAAAAGATCTTTTTGTCTCTGGAAATTTATTTGTACTCTACTTTGAACAAACGCTAGGATTTGGGACAGCTTACATGTCTATACGATGCTATATGCTCCTGATTGCCTGTAAATCTCTCCAACACATAGAAACACAGAGATAATTCACAAAAACATTCTTGTTGTTGTTCTCTTGACCTATACTTAATCCTTTTTAAGGTAGGGTGCTCAAAATTAAATACCAAATGTGGCCTCACCAGTGAATCTCTATGAGGATAGTGTTTCTTCTCTTGAGTTAGTTAAAACTGGAGTTTTGGTGCCTGGGTCAGATAGCGACCCGAGACCTAATTCTCATGCTTTCCTTCAGATTTCCAGGCTGGGTGCATTCTGCTGTGGCCTGAGCCTGTGCAATCAGCACACTATCATTCTCTACTTGATGTGCATCATTCCCTGGGTTTTATTCAGACTGCAGCAAAAGAAGGTACAACATTGACCAAGTACGACACAGGTTCTGTAAGATCCAATATTAATCAACTGTAACATGTTCATATAACTATTTGTGCGTGTCTTATTTTCATTTGTGTGAATATATTTTCCCATGTCTGTGTAAATGTATACAAATGGAGGAATATGTTCATGTATCTACACAAACATTTATCTGTGTGTGTGCGCACACTCATATTTGCTTCTATGCATATGTGTGGAAGTATTGAGGTGTGTATATTTACTATATATAATATACATATGCTAATTATTGTCTGTGAACATACATGTCTACTCATGTCTGGCTATGCATGTATGTCACGTTAATTGTTTTTCAATTGTTTGTCAGTAACAATCCTATTTTGAACACAGGAACTCTCTCTGGTAGCCCTGGTGTGGTTAGGCCTGTGCTTCAGCGCTGGCTTACTCCCGTACCTGTACCTTCCCATCTCATCCTACCTCAACCAAGCTCGCTGGACCTGGGGAGATCAGACCACCTTGAGAGGCTTTATCACCCATCTCTTACGGGAGGAGTACGGGACATTCAACTTGGTAAAATGGCTACTATTTTGTCTCAATAACTGATATTTCTTGGATGTACTGCAGGTCTCATGCTGGGCCAGCTTTGCTTCAAAGGGTTTCCATTGAAGCATTTCCTTCTCCTGTGGTGTCTGGGCTATGGCTGTGGGGTCTTTGCTGAGATGTTCTTTGCCTAAGCTTTTGGTTGTAGACCACCAAAGCACAATCTTATTTTAGAGAGAATCTCCAGATGGGTAGGTGGGGAAACAGCCTACTGCCACAAGACTGCCTTCCTCCTGAGTTTATTTCTTTATGAACAGACGTGAGCACCTGATGGATGACTTCTGCTGGCTCTGAAAGTGAAGTAGATTAATTGATAAACGTTAACAGTTTTAAGCAAAAGATTTAGCAACTGGATGGGAACTTGGCTGGCCATCCAACTTTCCACAATAATGATAATAATAATCCTTGCATTTGATATAGCGCCTTATCACGTCTCTAGACATCTCAAAGCGCTTCACAGAATCTACTGTAAAGTGAATTGACTCTGTTTTGTGGGCGAAACAAGGTTCAAAGCAGCTCTAAGATTGGACATTGAAATCCCATGTGACTGCATCTCTGGATACAACTTCTACTTCCTTTGAATGTGAACAAGACTGAGGCCCTCCTGATTGACTCGCTCCAGCGCCTCAGCACCTCAGGCTCTGGCAACAACAACCTCCATGGTTGCACACTACAACTCACCAGCCAGTCAGGAACCTGGGTGTCTTGTTCGACCCTCAACTGTCTTTTCTTCCCTACATCCAAGCCATGACCCGCTCAGCCTTCTCTCATCTCCGTAACATCGCCCAACTCCGCCACTACCTCAACCCTCAGGCCGCTGAAACTCTTGTTCATGACTTCATCATCTCCAGGCTCAACTATGCAAATGTTCTGCTTGTCGGCCTTCCCAACTCCTCCCTCCACAGGCTGCAGATAATCTAGAACTCTGCAGCCCGTGTCCTCTCCCGCACCAAACTCCGTGACCCCATCTCCCCGACTCTCGCCCGACTCCATTGGCTCACTATCCTTCAGAGGATCCAATTTAAGATCCTGGTCCTCACATACAAAGCCCTCCATGGCCTCGCCCCACCCTACCTCTTCCACCTCTTAACCCCCACCAACCCGCCCGTTCCATCCGCTCAGCCGGCTCTGACTGCTCCACGTCCCCCAACCCACCCGCCCCACCATTGGCAGGAGAGCCTTCAGCCATTCTGCCCCCAATCTCTGGAATTCTATCCCCCAGTCACTCCGCCTCGGCCCCTCCTTAGCTTTCTTCAAGTCCTGCCTCAAGACCCTCCTGACCATGCAATCGGCCCACCCTCCCCTCCTTTACCCCCCCAACCACAACTCGGGTCTGAAATGCTGTACTCTGTCCAGCGCCTTGGGACGTCCTCCCAACGTGAAAAGCACTATACAAATGTAATGTTGTTGTTGTTGTTGATTGGAACTTTGGGAGAAACGTGTGAACAAGTGTGAGGCTTATTTTTGCATATTTTTGATTCTGTTCCTAGGCCAAATCTGAGTCAGGCTCGGGGATGCTTCAGATGTGCAGGTGAGTGATGGCGGGAGCTTGGGTTAAACTTTCCTGTCCTTTTTATCTTCGAAAACCAAGAGACAGTAGATTGCAAATAATTCTGTTCTCCTGACTGTCCATGTTCTCGCCCCCTCACTCTCTATTTTGAAAACCTGTCTAAAGAATCACTGCACCTTCAACCACCTTCCTCTACCCTCTTATCTCCCTTACAGCTTGGACACAGACTTTGTAAAGTATTTTGAGATATTCTGCCTATGTGAAAGACGCTATAAAAGTGTATTTTGATCAGATTCAGAATGCCAATATGCTCATCCATGGGTGAGAAGGTCCTTCTCATGGGAGAGTGGCTATATTAAAGCGCGTAATAATAATCTTTGCGGAGAGGATGGGCAGCAGGCAACCAGAGAAGGAGGGAGATTACACATGCCAATTTGTAAAACAGATTAAAAAAATATTCCTTTCTGCGCACACCTGTCTGCAACGATCAGACTGGGAACCAAGCTTCTGATAATGATGGGGAAGTGGCTTTTATTGGAGACACAGAGGTATGAGAGAAAAAGGAAATAGTAAATGGAATAAGTAATGAATGAAAATATTGACTACTTACTTTTGTATTTCTCTGTTCTCTACAGTTATCAGATGACACAAATGAAGAGGGAACTCACAGCTGCAGGGCCAGCACTAGCACTTGCAGCTGTCCTGCGCCACGGCTTCAGAAGGTATATTACAATCCAGAATATCCACTTGTAAAAAGCTAGAGTACAACAACTTGCATTTATGTAGCACCCTTCACCTGGACGGCATCTCGAATCGCTAGAGTAGAAGCAGGTATATAGGAGAGGTGCCTGAAGATTGGGAAGAAGGCAAACGTAATACCTATATATGATAGGTCTTAGGGGTGAGTCTACGGACTGTACCAATATGTTTGATGCCCGCAGTGTGTAAAAGTTTTAGAAGGAGTAATGAAGAATCTAAAAACGTACAGAACAATAAGGAGTCAACATGTCTTAATGGAAGGAAAGTTTCTGACTAATTAAGTTTCACAATACAATATTATATCTGTATAGTGCCTTTCACATTGGGAGTACGTCCCAAGGCGCTGATAGATGATAGATCATTCATGAATTTAATAGATCTGGCAGGTAAGAGGAACTCAGCAGATATCTATTCAGATTATTATTCAAAGCCTTTGTCAAAGTACCATAAAATACACAAAAATGCATTAAGATTGGAGGAACTTCTATATTGGTGTTCATTGTTGGGGCCACTGTTCTCAAATTACTAATTAGTTAAATTTACTGCGCAAACCAAATTGAGTTACTAATAAAGGGTACAGAATAGATTGGCTAGCTGGGCTAAAATGTGTCCGAGACCTGTGGCATCCCACTAATTCCCATCTTCCATTGCAATTGTACTCCAAGAACTACTATCCTTTGTTTCTTGATCCAGGCAATTGTTGATCCAACTTAGAAGTTCTCCCTTATTTTGTGTTTTTCAACTTTGTAAATCAATATGATAAATGTAAGGTCACAAGACTGGGACAGAATACATAAACGTAATGATATACTTACAGGACGGAACCCAGCAGAACGAACTTGGGTACCTTTTTTATTAAGTTTTCAAACTTCAGTGCAGTGAGCAGCAGCAGTGACAGCAAGAAAGGTAAACAGGAATTTAGTGTGTGTAGCTGAGGTATAGAGCCCAAGTCACAGGATGTAATAGCAGGAGACAGTTCGGATATTTATGCATGTTGATTAGAAAAATCCCACTCTTCCCTTTCCTCCCTCTCATACGGCCTTCATATCCATGTTTAATATTCGTCTTCAGCCTATTAGGAGATGTGCTCACTTTGGAGTGTGGTTGTTTTGAGAACAGCTAATTGTGATTGCTGACTAAATTAGTGATTTGTTGCAGGTCTCCTCAGGGTTCCGTCCTTTGGCTGTTCACAGTCATGCTCTGCTTGTACTCTCTGTTCTTTTCGTGGAGAGCTAATTTGGATATCACCAAACCTCTCTTCCTAGGAGTGGTGAGTCAACTGATTAACTTAACATCAATTTGATTTATTAATGGAATAATACCAATTCATTTTTCATTTCCTTGTATCATACACAACGAGAATTTGATGCTTTGAAATTTTTCAATTTAGCAAGAGAGCAGTTGGGTTTTGGGTGCAAATTAATTGGAAATAAAAACTATTTGATTAGATGATTGCATTGTTATAAGCCATTTCCAGGTTATCTTAAAATGCAAAATATATGACTGGGATTAAACAGCCAACCATGAGGTTAGAGCACAAGTCACGCGATGTAATAGCATAAAATATTGTCACCTCGCCCTCCCCCTTGCTCAGTGTCGTACTCCGCTATTAATTAAACATTAAATTATTAATGTAGTTTGGGGATGATTATTAAATGATCTTCAGGTGCAAGAAAGTATCTGTATTTCTGCAGTTACACAGAGCACTGACAAACTGGAGTATTGTCTCTTGAGCACTCCAGGCTTTTGAAAGATGTGCAATACTTTCTTTAGAGTAATTCCAGCACCAATTCATCCAAATAATAGCTGGGGTGAAGGGAATATGAGAGGCTGAGTAAAGATGGATTACATTCCCTATAGTTGAGGAGATTATGTGGTGAATTGATTGAAATGTTCGAAGAGATGGTGTAGAGGGAGCTAACGTATCTGACCTAAAGTACTTGATAGTTTAGATGACATTTTACTCTATGTGCCTCGTGCAGTGGCTTATAGCGACATTCTCCAGCATTAATATCCCTCATTTTATGGAATCCAAAATAATTTTTACAAAATGCTCAAAACATTGCTCATTCCGCTCTTAAAAATCAACACTGCAAATTGGTCATGAAAAGTGTAACTGATCAAATGCTGGTAAAGTTGTGATGGACAGGAGAACTTGATTAATAATAACATTGATTTAACATATGTTTTATTGCTGGTGCTTTTCAATTTGCAGGTAGAAAGGTTCTGGCTGCAGAGCAATCTAGTGGTGTGTGCTCTATCAGGCTGTGGTCTGGCTTCAGTCTGCTCCACGCTGCAGAGATTAATTGGAGTCAAAGAGATTGGTGAACGGGCTGAGTGGCTGACAGCCATTGTCCTCATTGCACTTCAACTGCATTTCAACTTCAGGTGTGGAATGGCTTTCAGCAACATCTGTCATTATAGAAACTAAATATAAGCCTCTCCTTGTATTAAGTGGAAATCGACAACAACTTGCATTTATACAGCTACCCCTCACACAGGGCAGTGTCCCAGAGCGCTTGACAGTGGCGCAGCACGATGCTGAGCTGGGGGCAGCGGGAGGTCACTGTAGGCAGGGTCGAATAGGAAGGTCTTCAGGTGGAAAGGCGGAGGGATAGAGGAAGAGCGTTCCAGAGTTTTGGGGCATAATGGCTGAAACTCTGAACTTTGAAGGTGTGACTGTGATCCGAATATTTGTACCAATGATGATTATTATTTTGTTACATGAATGGCATCTCTAAGGTGTATTATCCAGGAGACTGGACATACCCCACCCTAACAATCTGAAAATATCCCTTAACCTCTATTCTCTACTCTCTTCAACTATCTATTAATCCATGTTGCCACTTTCCATTTAAGCAAAAGTAATGTAATTGGATCTTTAGCCTCCACGTTAACAGGCTGATGGTACTTTGGCTTAACGTCTCATCCAAAGGGCAACACCACCCAACAGTGTCCACATCACTCCTGTCCACATCCAACCAAATATACAAGCATCAGAAAACTCTGTTGCATACTGTGTGTGTTCAAGCAATGTTCTTGTTTGTTTAGGAACTGTAACCAAAGTAGTAATTACGTTGTTGATAAGTTTGCAAGAAACATCTTGGAGAGCATGGATTCGAACGCTATTATCCTGATGAGGGGAGACCTGCCAGGAAACTCTTTACGGTACCTTCACTATTGTGAAGGACAGAGACCAAACATCAGCCTGGTGGATCAGGAGGTAAAGCAACTTACTCTCTTAACACCTTGACAAGTAATGGTGTCAGATTTGTGGTCCAAGTTATGATTATCACATTGAATGGGCACGTTGGTCAATGTATTGCTTTCCTGAAATCCGGAAGTGGAACCCCCTTGTTCAGTGTACATGTCATAGAAGCTGCGACGAGGGATGTCTGAGATTTTATGAAGCAGTGTTGAGGCTGAAAGGAGGATCTTTGTCATTAAAATCCTGGTCCTCACCTTCAAAGCCCTCCATGGTCTTGCTCCCCCCTGCCTCTCCGACCCTACCATCCTGTTCGCTCCCTCCGCACAGAGGCCTCTGGCCTGCTTCATGTCCCCCGCCTTGCTCGCCTCAGTATCGGTGGGCGGGCCTTCCGCTATTCTGCACCCACCTTCTGGAACTCCATCTCGCAGTCTTTCCGTCTTGCCTCCTCCCTCCCCACCTTCAATACCCACCTCAAGACCCTCCTTTCAATCTCCCTGCTTTCCCCCCCCACCACCCTGCCCTCTTCCCTCCCCCACCCCAACCCTGAGCTCAGGTCCATGACTGCCTATCCAGCACCTTGGGACGTCCTCCCGACATGAAAGGTGCTATATAAATGTAGTTTTGTTGTTGTTGTTAAAAGTCATCGAAAGGCCTGAGCCTTTATAAAATTAGGAGGTAGTTTTTCACCCAAAGGTTAATGGAAATCTGGAATTCTACCCCACAAGGCTGTGGATGCTGGATCCATTCACATCTTCAAGACTCAGCTGGATAGCTATTTGTTAGGTCAGGGTATTAAGAGATATGGGACAAGGGCGGATAATTGGACTTGAGGTACAGATCAGCCGCGATTTTATAGAATAGCGGAACAGGCTTGAGGGGCTGAATGGCCTACTCCTGCTTCTATGTTTAGAATTTAAAAATTGTTTTAATGAAGCTTCAGAAATACTGCATGAAAAAATGTGATTTTAAAAGTATGGCTAGATTAACAACAGGACATGAAGAAAGCGAGAAGTTAATGTGTAGCTGTGCGCCATTTTAACTAGGACAAACCTTTATTTCTTAGAGCAACCAGGCAGAAAGTTGCACAATATAATACTTTGAAGTGTTACGAGGAAATGTCATTGACGGTATAAATGGGTTCAGCAGAAAACTTTCTTGAATTGAATTTTGTCGATTCTTGAACAGAGGACAGACCAAGGGGATAATGTTATTTTCTCTCTGAAGCCCATTAACTGACCAGAGTATATTTCTGTGTGTGATGATGTGATCATCTTATCTCGTTACTCTTGCGTGAGTCCACAGCTGAAAACATGATTTGCTTCCTTGGAATTAAACAAAATAAGAAGTTAAATAACCAGTGAAAAATAAAAATGGTTTGTTAGCAGTGACTTCAGTGTGTTTTAATGACCTTATCTCCTTCTGCAGTTCATTTCAAATGTAATGATCAGTATAATAACCAATTTTCACAGCTGACTCAATAGATATCCAACATTAAGAACCAATTTGTATTTTTAATCTACAGATGATGACTTATGAATGGTACTTGCCTAAACTAGCAAAGCATCTGCCTGGAGTACACTTCCCAGGAAATCGGTGGCAACCTATGGAAGAAACGTTTTCTGATGGAACTATTACATTTAATCTACACCGTTTCCTCAATGAAAACAAACAGTAAGCGTTTGATACCAGCTTGTAGCTTCGTGGTTAGAGCACTTGCCTCGCAAGCGAGACACCTGGGTTTGTTTCCCGGCAGGGCGAAACATTGAGCAAGTTTCCTTACTCCACACGCCTCTGTTTAGCTAGCAGTAAGTAGTAACCCGGTTGAAAAATTATTTTCCGAGGCTAATAATTCCTTTAAAAAAATCCACGACTGTTTGTGGGACGCTGCTGTGCGCAATTAGCTGCCAGTTTCGCCCACAGAATGCACAGTCAATTCACTTTACAGTCTATTCTGTGAAGCGCTTTGAGAAGTCTCGAAGACGTGATAAGGCCCAATATCAAATGCAAGGATTATTATGTATTTTCTGTCTAGGAGCTCAGCAGCGAATGTTCTTCATTCTTCACTACATTCTGTGAATGTGTCAGGGACTCCCTGCTCAGCTCATGTGGCCACGATGCACAATCCACTTGCTCTGAGAAACTCCCATTTATCAGTTTTGGATCATTGCACCTAATGGCACAGTCGAGACCTTATTGACAGCATAGAGTAATAAGTAATGAGTATCTCCTACTGTGTGATTAGGATTTAACCTCCAGTAGATATGGTCAGATTTTAGTTGAGTAGTTTCATAAACATGCACTTACCTCAATTTTTAAATATTTAGAATTGATTTCTATTCTTGTGTTACAATTAAACTGTTTGTAGTGTTTAAATGCTGGAGCCTGTTTGGGGCTCTATCCAATATCTTAATAATAATAATAATATCTTAACTGCATACTACTGATAGAAAGATAATCTGCCTGTTTTTACAGCAAAGAAATATTTGTGTGCATAGGACTGCATGAGGGTGATCCTACCTGGAAATGGAGTTATTCTCTGTGGCCCTGGGGATGTTGTGAGAAACTTGTGCCTTCAAAAACAATTTTCAGGCCAGAAGATTGGATTCGGGTCACGAGTAACATGTACAACTGGACAGAGAAGTACGGAAGGTAGGCCTCGCTCTAGACTTTGCCTGGCACGGCTCTGCAGTCTGTTTCTGTGTGGATGTATGAAGAGCAGAGTGGGGAAGGAGAAGCGGAGGAATGGACACAGTTTGTTTTGGAGCGTGATGGTAGGGGCAGGTTAGGTGTGTGATGGGATGTTTTTCTATTTCAGCTTTGATCCTTTGTTGTGGGAAGCTGTAGCAAATGAAGAGATGTGGCAAGCAAGGTAACTCCTCCAAAATATTTTTTACAATTCTCTCTGTTTATACTCTCCGCTGAGAATCAGTGACAAAAGGGGCAAAGTTACAGAACATTTGGGCTTTTTAAGATGACTGAACGTTGCCCTCTGTGGTACATGAAGTTGCCTCTCCTGGGGGTGACGTTTCAGTTTTCTCCGAATCTAGAAACAAACTTAATTTGTGAGATGCTGTTGAGAGAAGAAGTAATGTCACTGAGAGCTTGTTGATGGGTTGGCATAAGGTTATTTTATTATTGACCAAATAGCATAATTTCCCTTTTAAAACGTCAATCTGGGTGTGAAATATTAAAATCTTTGCCATGTGTAAGATCAGAAACGAGGGTGAGTCTGTCTTTCGGCCCATCTACAAAAGAAAAAAAGACTTTACACACCACATGTGCATTCAGCCTTCAGAAAAATGTGAACAGGGACAGTAACAGGAATTACGAACTAACTGAATGGTTTGGGAGTCATGGAGTCTTTAATCAGATCAAAAAGAAAACTGCATGTTATTTGAAGTTTGACCGATTCCATGGGGGTTTGTGTTGTTTCAGGATGAAGACCCCTTTTTTTATTTTTGAGTTGGCAGAAAGGCCAAACCAAGCTGAATCAGCAACAGCTCAGCTCTACACATACGCTTACCAGGTAAGGCACTTCTACTTAATCTTATAACTATCACACCATTTATACAACTTCAGATTCAAAGTGTATTCAGCCATTCTGTCTCCGCTCTCTGGAACTCCAACCCTCCGTGCCTTTAAAACTCTTTAAGACCAACCTTTCTTCCCCCCCCCGCCCACCACCCCCATTAGCTGAACACATGGTTACATCAGAGTCTAATCAGACAGTGTAAATTATCCTTGCTGTATTCAGATATTTATAATAATAATATTAAATAAATTCAATAAAACTACTTCAGTTAATCTAATTACTTTCTCTCAGTTATACCAGGAGATGGTGAAGACAGAAGAACATCCAGTCAATTGGCACAAAAACTACGCCATAGCATGTGAAAGAATGCTACGTATCCATGCCCAAGCTGATGTTGCTGTTGACCCAGATTTTCTACTGTCAGAAACGATTAAACATTTCTCACTCTATGTGGAAAAAACAGAGGACGATCCTCAGAAGGATGCGATTACACAGATGGTGAGCCACCTCAAGTCAGAGCTACAGAGAATGAGAAAGCTGAGCAAAGGTTGACCGAAGGATTCTAAACTCATTAAAGGAAAAGGTTCAGTGGAGCTGGGAATGGAGGCAGAGAAGAGAGATAATTTTTCAACATGAATCGATGGCCTCTGAACACATGGTTACATCAGAGTCAAATCAGACAGATCACCAAGTCTGAAGCAAGTCTGGTCCGATTGACAGGAATGCTCAGCCATAACCAGGGCCACTCTGGTCTGTCTCATACTGTCTGACTCCTGCTATTCAAAGTACAGAATTTTTTTTGATCTTCTCATTTTGATCTTCTCATTCTAGAGAACAGCCCTGCAGGTAACAACAAGCCTTGGGTAATGTCATGACAGCTGTCATAAATAAAAGCTTCTGCTTTTACCCCTTGCAGCGTTCCTTTCTGTGGTCAGTGATCCTGTTCCAGCTGCTCTCAGGCTCGGGGCCAGTGCATTTTTCCAGTAAAACAGCGATGATTTCTTCGGTCTAGCATTTCATTTTGCTGTACAGCTTCTCTTCCACATAAGACATCTGTTCAAGAAGCCACTTTCTCCTGCAGTCGTCCACTGTTAACAGAAGTGTCATTTCCTGAAAGACGTCACTGATGGAAATCTTTAAAAATAAATGAAACAACGTCAAACACTGTCCGTGAACATTCAAAAGGTTCTTAAGCATTAGGGAAGCTTAAATATTAGAAGTAAGATTATACATTACCTCTTCAAAATGAAACCTTCGGAACATGCCAATGCTGATTTTATTTTCTAGCCCAATTTTGGCTTGGAACTTAGTTATCCCTAGTTTTATTATTCCTGTAAAAAACAATATGATATTTAGCAAACTTCTCAATTAATCTGCTCTTTAAGTGCAGCATAAACAGCAGCAGCATCCACATTTGGTAAGGAATTCATAACTAATAGTGTTCCTGTCAAACCTTGAAATTCTACTGTCTCCGGGCAGTGGAAATGAAACAACTAACAAGTTAAAAAATACTCTTCCCACAAGATTACCATAATCTCAAGTATTCCAACAACAGAGTATGTGGCACAATTTTCTGCACCATCATTTCTGCTTCAGGACTTAAAAATAACAAACAAGCACCATTGCCACTATGGTGGTATATTAATATTTCTGTAAAATTCCAAGATTTCTAGTAATATTGTTCAATTAATTCTGAAGGAGTGTGATTTGCAAATCCATCTTTGAGAACTGGGAGGTTAACCTAGAACAAGTGAACTGACCTTGCATTCTGGTGCTGCAACCCATTAATAAAACCCAGTTATAGTGTGAATTATACCAAAACTATAGAACAGATTCACACTTGTACAGTTCTACAACAACAATAAAATGACATTTGTAAAGAGCGTTTCCCATCGGGAGGACGTTGCAAGGTGTTGGACAGACGAGAGTTATGGACCCGAGCTGGGGGTCAGGGTGGTACAGGGTGGAGGGCAGGAGGGGGGGAAGGAGGAAGATGAGGGTTTTATGGGGCAAGATTTTGAACAAAAATTAATATTCAGTAGTATAAAATTAATGCTCACTTTGAATATGTTAAACACAGACTGTAGATTTCTTACCATAATGCATCATCATCATTGTCACCTCTTTGCCAAATCCCTTTCCTCTGTAACTGGGTTCTGAAAGAGAAAACCACCATTCACTGTCTGACAAAAAAAAATGTATTAATAGGGAGGGAAGGAAGGAAGGCTTTTGCCAATACTAAATAGTAAATACTAATTAAATTCTTGACAACATGAAATGTAACACCACCATTGAGCAAGGTGTACAACTGCCTCACTGATCAGCTGGTGCTCCAGATGACTGGTGCGGTGTATCGAGCTAACTTTAGCACATTCACTCACCTGCAATCATGATTTCAATTTCAGCCACAGTTGGATCTTCAGGATCTGTGAGGAACAAATTCACGTCTCCCACCATGCAATCCTCTTCTGTACTAGAATCATTCGCCCTTTTCATCCGGTCCAGTATGATGAAGGTGCATTCTGTCAAACGTGCAAATCCAAATGGTGTTAAAGCTACAAAAACAACAAACTTCAATACTTTCAAAAATCAACATTTTGATTTTTTTTTAAAAAAAGGATTGTCCAATGGATTGTGGAACATTATCATGAAGCACAATTATTAAAAAGTCATTTTAAAATATGCAGTCACCATCAGTACAGTGGGCTATTTCCAGCAGCCTGAATGAATGAGGCCAAAGGGTTCAATACTATGTTGCTGGAACCACAACAGCAAATGATATCTGTACAGCGCGTTTCCCAAGGCGATGGACGGTCAGGGATCCGCAGACACTGGCTACAGTAACAGCCGCATATCCATTCCGATTCCAGTTGAACCAAGTTATCCTATGTTGCACCAATTAGTTGCAAATTAATATTCCTTACTATCAGCATCCTCCCGCCAGCTTCTCTGCATTTCATACTCCTGCTGCAGGGTCAGTGGTTCTGAGGCCGTAAGTTTCTGTAACTCTTCTGATTTCATCCATTCGTGATACCTGTGTAACAATTGGCAATATGGGCAAAAATATCACAACTTGCATATATATCTATAGCGCCTTCACGCTATATTATTGTCCAGAATCTCGGAGCGCTTTGTGAACAACTAATTAAGGATAAATCCAAAATGTTCAGAATGAAAACAGAAAGACCGTCCAACAAAAAGGAGAACATGAAAGCACCAAATTTCTTCCCAATGGAAAATGGAGAGCGAGGGAGTGAGTGTGGGAGTGTATTTTGGAAGCGAGTTTCAGAGAGTGGGGCAAAAATGGCTGAAAGCTCACCCCATGATGGTAGGACCGTAGGCATGAAGTACCTGGGAGTTGGTGAAGTGGAGTGCAGAGTGGGATTAGACCACGCAGGCATATGATGGTATAAATAAATAATTATGATAACAATTTGGTCACTCAATCCACAACTGTTTGTGGGACACTACAATTGGCTGCCGCGTTTCGCCCACAAAATATACAGTCAATTCACATTACGGCATATTCTGTGAAGCGCTTTGAGGCGTCTCGAAGATGCTATATCAAATGCAAGATATATTATTATATGCTCGAGGGCTCTTAAGTTTGATCCACTGTAGGCTAAGGATACGGTTGGGTTGGCAACCAATTGATGTTCCATTTGGGGAAAGTGGATTGGGTTGGAAGAGATGAGCGAAGACAGTGAAAGAGGAAGGACTTGAGCCAGACCTTGAAGGAGGAGAGGGAAGGGGCGAAGCGAAAGGTGAGAACGGGGGGCTTCCAGCAGGAGAGAATAGGGGCAAGTCGAATTCTGAATGGTCTGAAGATATGTGTATGTGTGTGGGTGGGGGGGGAAGTGATGACAGCTGTTTTGATTGACAAATAAAAAAATATAATTTAAGTGCCATTTTACTGCATCAAATGACAGAAGCTGAAATAAATACCCAGGGACATGTGTAATGCTGTATCATTGTGTAACTGTATCGTTCTCCCAACACACCATTTGTGAGTGTGTGTGTGTGTGTGTGTGAGTGTGACATTCACTCAAATTAAAATACAATCCAATAATACTTTGCGCAAAGTGCCAACGGGGATAGTGTTTGCTGCTGGAGAGGCCGAACCTTCCCCATTGTCGTGCGTGCGAGTCTCTGTCGGGAGGGAGAGAGGGAGAGAGGGAAGCAGAGAGGCTGCTCGTCTCAAGAGGTCACAAAGCCGGGCTGCCCACCACCTCTTTACCTGGGGACGTGCTCAGCGCTGTAGGGTACCAGTGCTGCCCGTTCACCCAGCAGCACCGTATCCCGGTTCAGCCGCATTCTCTCCTAAAGCTGCTCCGCTCCGCTCCGCTCCGCTCTGCCCGCCTGCGAAGTCGAGGCTGATCTCAGTCGGGCCACTGCTCGGCCGAAGCCCTGCACAAACCGGCAACAGCAACAGCTGTTCAGAACAGGAACAGCGCAGCGACCTCAAGCTTCCAACACACCACTAGTCTGTGCATCACCCGAGTCAGACTCGAGTAAGATGCTAAGATTGTACCTGCAAACCCCTCCCTCCCCCCACTACTGTTGGGGAAGATTTTAGAGGGCACATACTGAATTCTAGGGTGTCTTGGCTAACCGTTCCCTGGATGAAATTGTTCATTCACTTAAGGTTAAGCGCTCCGAGATAGTTTGCCTACGAAATACAGTCACTACACTTTACAGTAGATTTTGTGAAAGGCTTTTGAGATGGCCCGCTGCCACGAAAGGTGCTGTATCAAATGGAGGGGTTGTTATTTCCTAACATTTAAAATATTTAATTCGTCGACATCACGTGTGACCCTCATTCCTCATAATCTGACTGCTCTGGACTGAAACAATCCTATTTTTTTCCTTATCTTCTGAAGATGGTGATCAGCGCTGGGATATGGCTCCATACGCAACAAACAGCTGCACGTATGGTTGGATTCGGGAGGGGTGAAGGCATTTGATACAGAGCCTGACCACGTCTTCCGAGACGTCTCAAAAGCACTTCACAGGATATACTGTAGAGTGAATTGACTGTATTTTGTGGGCGAAATTGATCATTCCTTTGATGAACAAAGGGATGATTAGACTAAACTATGATTGCCCACTCCCACACCGACTCCCACACCGTAAAACATAACCAGCTGAGGGATATTTGTGTGAGCGCGGACTGTGGCGAAACCACTGGCTAATCAACCGCGCAGGAAAGGGGGGGGGGGGGGGGTGGGGGGGGAGAAAAACATTACAGCTGAGAGCCCAATCAAAGGTGAGGGGGGGGGGGGGGGGGCGCGCGATTCATCAGTACAGCTTTACCCCATCACACAAGTCAAATACCGTTGTGATACAAGGAAAACGGCCGCGTGTGCGTGTGTGTGTGCGCGCGAGCAGGGATAACGAAAAACTGGAAAAAAATGTTTTTAGCTGCTGATTTTAACATGTTTATTGGAGGGAATGGGTAAAAGGGGGGGTGGGGTGGGGTGGGGTGGGGAGGAGGAGGTGGGGGTAGATGATCTCGAAAGCTGCCACAGATCGGCGATCGCTTTTCCGGGGTTCGATCAATCCCGTCAGCAATAAAAGAAAAGCTCTTCACGGGATAGACTGTAAAGTGAATTAATTGACTGTGCACTTTGTGGGCGAAGCTGTACGTTCGCAGCCTCTGGTCTTTATTCCCCTTAGCAATGGCCCCCGGAGCAGGTCCTCTCCCCCCTTCGGAAGTCGGAGGGCGCGGAGGCCGCTGCTGCTGAGGCCCTTCCCCCGACTTCCTGCCCTGCCGTGTGGGCCGGGGAAACCACCACCGTAACACCGGCCCCTCTCCCTCCCTCCCTCCCTCCTCGCCATTGCTCTCCTTCCAGCTTTATTCCCCCCCCTTCGCTCTTTCTCTCCCTCCCCCATTGCTCCCCCCCTCCTTTCCCTCCCCCATTGCTCTCCCCTTTTCCCTCCCTCCCCATTGCTCTCCCCCTTTCCCTCCCTCCCCATTGCTCCCCTCCCCCTTTCCCTCCCTCCCCCATTGCTCTCCCCCTTTCCCTCCCTCCCCCATTGCTCTCCCCCTTTCCCTCCCTCCCCCATTGCTCCTCCTTTCCCTCCCTCCCCCATTGCTCTCCCCTCCTTCCCCCATTGCTCTCCCCCTTTCCCTCCCTCCCCCATTGCTCTCCCCCTTTCCCTCCCTCCCCATTGCTCCCCCCCCTCTCTCTCCCCCATTGCCCCCCCTCTCTCCCCCATTGCCCCCCCTCTCTCTCCCCCATTGCCCCCCCCCTCTCTCTCTCCCCCATTGCCCCCCCTCTCTCTCTCTCCCATTGCCCCCCCCTCTCTCTCCCATTGCCCCCCCCCTCTCTCTCTCTCCCCCATTGCCCCCCCCTCTCTCTCCCTCCCCCATTGCTCTCCCCCTTTCCCTCCCTCTCTCTCTCCCCCATTGCCCCCTCTCTCTCTCTCCCCCCAGGCCGGGGTGGGGTGGGCCGGGGTGGGGGGCGGCGTCCGGGTCAGATCAGAATCGCCTCAGTACTCAGTGACCGGCGGCTGAGGTCGGCCATAGTCTATCTGATCGGTTCATCATATCTGCGGACACCGCGGCCCCCGGAGAGGCCCTGAACCCACCAACCAACCAACCAACCGACCCGCCCGCCCCCCCCCACCCGCCCGGCGGGGAGCGGTGACGGGTTCCCTCCCGATACTCATGGCTGCCGGAGGGGCAGCTCGGGAGCTCGGGGTTATCATCACTTCGAGTCGGGAGGCCTGGGCCTGGAGCCTGGGCCTGGAGCCGGGCCTGAGCCGGACAGGGCAGGGCAGGGCAGGGCCGGGCCGACTCGATCAAATAAGATCAAGGGCGTGTAAATCTTTTATAGAGAGTCCCTCACACTCCTTTCTTTCTTTCTTTCTTTCTCTCTCTCACTCTTTCTCTCCCATTTTTTCGCTCTCACTCTCTCGTTTTTCTCTCTCTCTCCCACTCACTCTCTCTCATTTTTTCTCGCTCTTTCTCTCATTTTTTTCTCATTTTTTCTCTCTCTCTCTCTCCCACTCACTCTCTCTCTCTCATTTTTTCTCGCTCTTTCTATCATTTTTTTCGCTCTCTCTCTCTCTCCCACTCACTCTCTCTCTCTCTCATTTTTTCTCGCTCTTTCTCTCATTTTTTTTCTCCTCATTTTTTCTCTCTCACTCGCTCTTCTCTCATTTTTTCGCTCTCTCTCTCTCTCTCTCTCACTCATTTTTTTCTCTCTCTCTCATTTTTTCTCTCTCGTTCTCTCTTCTCTCATTTCTCTCTCTCTCTCTCTCCCTCTCTCTCACACACCCACTTTGTCTCTCACTCACTCTCTCTCTCCTCTCATTTTTTTCTCTCTCTCCCTCTCACACCCTCTTCTTCTCTCACTCACACCGACATTCACTCTCTCTATAATAATATTATTATTATTTTTACTCATTCACTTCCACACTCACTCACTCTCTCTCTCCCTCTCTCTCTCCTCTCACTGAGAGCCTCCCCCCGGCTCCGCGCCGCCTTTTATAGCCGCGCCCCCACTGACGGACAGAGGCTCCCAAACACCGCCCCCATCACAGCGCCGTCTCCCATCGCTATCGCCTCCTGCAGTCGCCTCCCGGCATTGCATGTACGAGCTGCTCATTGCAACAGATTTTTTGGGGTGTGTGGTTGGGGGAGGGGGGCAACAGAGATTTTTTTGGGGGGCAACAGCTTTTTTTTGTTGGGCAACAGCTTTTTTGGGGGGGGCAACAGAGCTTTTTTTGGTGGGGGGGCAACAGCTTTTTTGGGGGGGCAACAGAGCTTTTTTGGGGGGGCAACAGCTTTTTTTGGGGGGGCAACAGCTTTTTTGGGGGGGGGCAACAGCTTTTTTGGGGGGGCAACAGCTTTTTTTTGTTGGGCAACAGCTTTTTTGGGGGGGGCAACAGCTTTTTGGGGGGGGCAACAGAGCTTTTTGGGGGGGGGGGCAACAGAGCTTTTTGGGGGGCTAACAGAGCTTTTTTGGGCAACACAACAACAGCAGTTTAAATTTATGTAGCGATTAGCTGTGTCAGTTACAGCTTCGCTTGCAACCAAAGGATCCAATATGGAATGTAGATTGACACACAGACAGACATTTCATCTTTATCTATACTCATCTGGGAGGTCTCCTGTGGGAGGATTCCTTTCGGGAGGACTCAGTGGGAGGACTCGGCGCTTTAAAAATGTAATTTTGTTGTTGTTGCCGCGCCTCAGCTTTGCTTGTGTTCTTTATTTTGTTCCCGTTGCTTGGCTATGTGGGTGCTCTGTGACGCACAATGCCACAGTCAGCCCGCCCGCCCGCCCAGCCACCAGGTGTAACTGCAACAAAAAACACAAAACTGAAATAACTCAGGAACGACAGGAGATACCCGAAAACAAATATGCCCATGTCACTTCCAGATGCAAGACCTTTCCGACGAGGTATCAATCATGTCTCTACTTCAATCGGTTATTGAGATCCTTCTTGAAGCGCAGACAGACATTGTCATTTTATTAGTATGGATAGAAGAATAGTGGTATATATTTAGATAGTAATAGTGACATTTATATAGTATTCATGGTATATATTTATATAGTAGTACTGTCTCCTCAGGTCAGTATGACATATATGTTGGTCAATGAGTTCCCCTGACTGATTAATCAGTATTGAATCTGAAACTGAGGCCACTTTGACAAAGTGTATTTGTCAAAGTATTTGCTGTTGCGTTGTTTTTCAATGGAAACATTCCTCAGTAAGTTTGTGGATCTGTGGCTTATTTTTCCTTCCCCTCTAATGCATTGCATTTTGTTAACTGGAAATATGTCATGGCAATCGGAAACTAAACTCCGCAACTAATTGCGTTAAAGAGTTTTCTTCCCTCGGATCAGGGTGACGTACATTTGACCAAGGGGCTGCAAATCATTACTTGGGGAGTCATTATTAAGGATTCCAATTGCAAATTGTGCCAATTAGACCCCAAGGCCCATTTACTGAGCTCTTTTTTTGTTTCCTAAAATATGTTGCGCAGAACACCTGTGCTGAACACATGAAGAATTGAGAGTTTGGATACTGAGTAACACCTGTGGAACAGTACCCCAGAATGAGTCAATAGGTTTTGGAGCAGAGGGTGCTATCTTTAAATGGCTTCTATTAAGGCTCCTCTTTGACTGTACCTATGGTCACTTCCCCAACTCCCTCATTTGGTTCCAACCCCATCATTATGCAGTGCTCCAAGATGCTGTCCTGCCTGAAAGGCGCTATATAAATGCTGGTTGTTGTTGTCCCTCCACCTTGCCACTTCCTTCACCATCTTCAGATCGCGCCTGAAGACCTTCCCCTTCCACCATCCCCTCCGGCTTGGTTTTGTGCTCCGCCAGTCGAGCGCTCTGGAACCCTACCCTGCGTGAGGGGTGCTGGATATGTGCAAGTTGTTGTTGTTCTCGATAGAAATTGGTGGGGATTAAAATCAATGGGGCTTTGGGAAATATAGTGGGGCAGGGGAAGAGTGAGCGGGAGAAACTAATGGGGAACAGGAGCAGGGAAGGAAGAGAGTGGTAAAGAGAGAAAAAGAGGGGACAGGGCTTTGGAGTGGGAAAGATTGACAGGTTAGTGAGGAAACTTTCAGCTTCCACCAATTATAGAAGCTCCCGGGATGTAACTTTAATGCACATACCACTTCACTTTTTTCTCCATTTTATTTTAATTCATTTGCCAGAAATTATGAAACAATGAGATCATTTAACAACAATCCCCAATTGAAAAGTTCCCCAAACATGCACAAACTAAACGTAGAAATAAAACCCGTTTGACAATAGTCTGCCACACAAAGGAAGCAATGTATAATCAGCAAAAACTTAAAACACATATTCTACACAATTCAGCTGACACTAGCCTCTGCATAGTTAACCCTTGCGTTAATAAACTACAAATACCCTTGAAACATAGGGTCCTTTCTGATTGTCCACTACCTTGAAAAGGTATCATCTGACGTTTGTCTCACACAGTAAAATATGTTGCTTTCAAATCAATAAGATTCCCTTCGGTGTTAAATTTCACTTTTTTGGCCTCCCAGTTCAGAAGCACATGAATTCCCAACACCTAACAGCCTGACTGCTAGCTCCCCTAATGTCTTAACAAATAATAATTATATTATTGTAATAAGCAAGCTCAGTGAAGGAACAAGATCTCTAGTGCAGGTATCCATGGCTGCAGTCAAAGAGAGAAGGCAAGATTAATTAAGCAGTGGTTCGGTGATGCTAAGGTTGTTTTACAAAAACCTTTACATCGTAGGAGGAAAGAAAGACCGATAGAAGTAAGATGTCCCGTAGTTTCCAGGTCCTAGTAAAGAATGCGTTATGGTGCAATGTGTTTTGATTTCATAATGAGAATGCTGAGAAAGTAGAGCTTGTTAGGCCACTGTGACAACTGTCTATAAAGCGTTCCAAGATGTTAACTGTATGAAGGGCGTTAATATAAATGCAAGTTGATCTCGTTTATAATATAAAAATCCTTGCACTTTGATATAGAGTCTTATCACGTCACTGAGACTCTTCAAAGCGCTTACAAATGATGCTTATAAAACGATTGGAAGAACTGGTGGGTATGGAAGAACCGGAAGGAATACCTGATGTGAGGGCAAATATGGGTTGCAAGTGAGAACCCTGGAATAGTTAATGTCAGCCTATGTTTGACTGTTGCTGTCAGGCTGTGTTAATGGGCTTGTGCAAGCTACTGTTCTAGTCCTAACTGGAGTATTGATTTTGTGTTGAGTCAGGGACATCCTGTCATTGGAGATGTTAGAGTGATAAAAAGCCAGGTCCAATAGAGTCTATGTTTGAGATAGTCAAGTACACCAGAAGTAGGGATTTGTGGTCTCAATGGTAGAAGGTAACTGAACAGATGTAGTTATTTTAGAGAGGGTGGGGATGTGTGGATTTATGCAGAATGCAGTGAAGACAGATGGTGTTTACAATTTTCAGAGGGTACGGAACTGCTTTACGATGGTGTGCGAGAGAAAGCAATAGCCTTTGAAAATGGGATTGGCCAGATATAATGGTCTTTTCCAACCTGTTACAGTCAGTGCTTGGTAATCCACTGGTTTTAGGATTGTGTGTGTTATTAGTAACTGTTGGGACTGTGTGATTTATTACAGACTATGAAATTCTTCAATAAAGGTCATGAACGACAAATAATTCACTCCAAACAAATATCAGCAAAGTACAGTTTGTGTGACAAAGTTTCTGGTGCATAACTGTGGAAGTTGTTGGGCCTTAGGCAACCTGAGTACAATACTCATTTCAAGAGTCTGAGTTACGAGAGCTTCAGTTTCCCTCTGTCCTGCTCATGTGCAGGCTGTGCTTCACCGTCAACCTCTGCCGCTGTTGGTGGGATTTCTTTGTCTTTCTCCTCCACTTGCCGCACAATTAGCAGCCGACAGGTGAGGAGGATACCAAAGACTAGGGCGTGGGCGTAGCGTTTCAATGGGTCACCCACAAGCTGGTGGAAGAACAGCACGGCTAACATCACCAGCAGGAGGATAAAGTTAGCTACATCCTTTGGCCTGCCGGGTACCAAAGTCAAGACGATACCACATGCCACCTCCAGCGTTCCAGTGATCTTCCTCAGCAAGATAGAAGTGACACCCATCTTCTTTAGCATTGGCAAAGCCTTGGCATACTCTTTGTATGCTCTTCTCTGTAATATTTTTAAAAAAAACACAAGTAATAACATTAGACTAGATTCGCAGGATACAAGATGTATGCATTCTTGGAAGGCTTGTATTAGATTAATAATAATCCTTACATTTGGTAAAGCATTTTTCACGTTGGGAGGATGCTTATACCACATCACACGATATGCTGTAAAGTTAACATCCATCTGAATAGACAGACATGATCTTGGTTTAACGCCCATCCGAAAGATGGCACCCACCAACAATGCATTGGAATATCAGCGTGGACTACATGAGTTCAAAGTCCTAATGTGTGGCTTGAAGCACAACCTTCTGACTCAGAGGTGAGAATGCAACCAACAGGCGTTGACATACTCCACAAAATGCCACAGAACAAGATGTTACAAAATATAATACATTAAGAGGAAAGTACCACCATGGACAGAGATGGCTGAAGTTATATTGTGGTGAGAAAAGTGAAAAGGTTTATTTTCCGTACTGGTCGAGTATAGCCAAAGTGCTCCAAAACGCTAAATAAATGCAAGTTGTTGTCTGTTTAGGGTCTCTTATTTTTCACGCTTAAGCATAGAATGAGGCGTCAACATTTTCTGGGAGTGCCAAATTATGATGGCAAATACAATTCAGTGTAAAGGAAAACTGAGTAGGGCAATCTGGGAGGAAGAATGAGGAAACTTCAGGGAATGAAAGCTGAACTCCTTGACATAGGCTGAGGCATTATTTAATGATAAATTAAAATAAATTTAATGATAATCGAAAAGAAATGAACATCTTTCTAAACCATTATGCAGGAAAACACAGTCTAAGCATCTAAGCACAGTTGGGGCAAAAATTGCTCCAAAATGGATTAATATCAGTGAGAAGTGAGAAAAATAATAATCATAATAATGCTTGCATTTGATATGGCGCCTTATCGCATCATCGAGACGTCTCGAAGTGCTTCACAGGATACACTGCAAAGTGTTTTTTTTCTAACTGTGTATTTTGTGGGTGAAAATAACCAGATTTAAAGCTTGTCAGGGGAAGGTTATCCCATCGAGCTGAGAACTAGACTATACTAAGTGCTCTGAGACGCTAATCTGCATGAAGGACGCTAATATGCAAGTTGTTGTGTATTGTACAGAAAGCAGTTGGGGGGAAAAAAGGGTTGTGGAGGCGAGAGAGAGAGCGATGCAAAGGCAAACACACAGCAGCGGGTGCAAAACTTAACACCAAAATGTCTTCCAGTATGATAACAAAAAGGGGGGCAGGCAGAGAAAGGAAACAAAAAGGCCAAACCCTGAGGAAACCCAGAGAATGTGGAGAAACGGGACAGAAAGGAGATTCAGTATCTGGTGGATTTTGAACATTTCCCGTTGACATGTACCCAGCAGTGCCACCTGTCAACTTGAACCTAAATCATCCATTGTACATCATTGCCTCTGAAGTCAGTCAGTCAGTCAGTCAGTAGGTAGGTAGGTAGGTAGGTGGTCATCCTTCCCTTCCCTCACCTGCTCGTCCTCAACCTCCAGCCAAGCCAACCCCTCAGCCCAACTAACTGAGAACCACATTACGCCCTCCCTTGCTTCCTTCATCTTTTGGCAACCTGACTTTCCTATTCGCCCCCGAGCCTTAAGCACTTCGAGACGTCGTCCGGCGTGGTGGGCTTGCATGTAAATGCAAGTTGTTGCTGTCGTTGCCCCCAGTTGCAGATGCAGTACCACTTCACTGCTTGTCTGACCACACAGCTTTGCTTTGCTGAGCTGCTGATTGCAGCCCATTCATTCACGTATGAATTTCCTGCCAATCCACACTCATCGCCAATCTCACTCCACTCCACTCCCGGCACCCGTCACGTGGCAATTTGATTTACCACTTATATCACATAATGCTTTGTCTCATCTTTCCCATTCCCCCCACCACCCCCACCCCCACCCCCACCCCCACCCCCGCGCCTTTCCAGATGGGGGGGAGGGGGAGAAAAACAAGTCATGGACATTCGAGTGCAACAGTGTCTGTCTTCTTTTTGAGATTATCTCTGTGAAATATCTTGTGTGTGTGTATATGTATGTGTGCATATGTATGTATGTACATGTGTGTATATGTGTGTGCATGTGTGTGTGCATGTCTGTGTGTATGTACGTATGTGTGTGTGTACGTACATGTGCGTGTGTACGTACATGTGTGTGTGTACGTACATGTGCGTGTGTACGTACATGTGTGTGTGTACGTACATGTGCGTGTGTGTACGTGTCTGTGCACATGTGTGTGTACGTGTGTGTGTGGGGGGGATGTAACCCATTGAGACAGACAGCAGCTGGAAAAAGCCAGAACTGATAGAAGCTGCTAGAACCAGATGAGACACCATTGCTCCTGTACCACAGACAGACACACACAGAGACACACACACACACACACACAGAGACACACACACACAGAGACACACAGAGAGACACAGACACACACACAGAGACACAGACACACACACACACAGAGACACAGACACACACACAGAGACACAGACACACACACACAGAGAGACACAGACACACACAGAGACACAGACACACACACAGACACAGACACACACAGAGACACAGACACACACAGAGAGACACAGACACACACAGAGACACAGACACACACAGAGAGACACAGACACACACAGAGAGACACAGACACACACAGAGAGACACAGACACACACAGAGACACAGACACACACAGAGAGACACAGACACACACACAGAGACACAGACACACACAGAGAGACACAGACACACACAGAGAGACACAGACACACACACAGAGACACAGACACACACAGAGACACAGACACACACAGAGAGACACAGACACACACAGAGAGACACAGAGACACAGATACACACACACAGAGACACAGACACACACACAGAGACACAGACACACACACAGAGACACAGACACACACACAGAGAGACACAGACACAGATACACACAGAGACACAGACACACACAGAGAGACACAGACACACACAGAGAGACACAGATACACACACACAGAGACACAGACACACACACAGAGACACAGACACACACAGAGACACAGAGAGACAGAGAGAGAGACACAGACACACAGAGAGACACAGACACACACAGAGACACAGATACACACACAGAGAGAGACACAGACACACACAGAGAGACACAGACACACACAGAGACACAGACACACACAGAGAGACACAGACACACACAGAGAAACAGACAGACACACAGAGAGAGAGACACACACACACAGACACAAACACACACAGAGACACACAGAGAGACAGAGAGAGACACAGACACACAGAGAGACACAGAGACACAGACACACACAGAGAGACACAGACACAGATACACACAGAGACACAGACACACACAGAGAGACACAGACACACACAGAGAGACACAGAGACACAGATACACACACACAGAGACACAGACACACACAGAGACACAGAGACACAGAGAGACAGAGAGAGAGACACAGACACACAGAGAGACACAGACACACAGAGACACAGATACACACACACAGAGAGACACAGACACACACAGAGACACAGACACACACAGAGAGACACAGACACACACAGAGAAACAGACAGACACACAGAGAGAGAGACACACACACACAGACACAAACACACACAGAGACACACAGAGAGACAGAGAGAGACACAGACACACAGAGAGACACAGAGACACAGACACACACAGAGACACAGACACACACAGAGAGACACAGACACACACACAGAGACACAGACGGGGGGGTGGGGGGGGTTACTAAGTATTAACACTGACACCAATGTAACTACAATTGCAATGAAATTAATCCTCAAATTGCAATTATAATTATTATTATTATTATTATTATTTGCCTGAAATTAACAAACAGCTGCACAGGAGACGTTGCAAATAGTTTTAGCAGAAACACCCCCTCTCCCCCCCCCCTTTGCTCCTCCTCACAGACAGGTTCTCAATCAACCCCCATTTACCCCATTTACCCCCATCTACAGAAGGGAAGACATTGCCATTTGCAGCCTCTCAGGCAGATCCCCATCAGCTTCTGTTCCTCTCTCTCCCCCCACCCCCCCCATTTCCATGTTCTCCCCCCCCCCATTTCCATGTTCTCCCCCCACCCCCCCTCTATCTCCATGTCCCCCCCTCCCCTCTATCTCCATGTTCTCCCCCCACCCCCCCTCTATCTCCATGTCCCCCCCCTCTATCTCCATGTCCCCCCCCTCTATCTCCATGTTCTCCCCCCACCCCCCTCTATCTCCATGTCCCCCCCCCCCCCCTCTATCTCCATGTTCTCCCCCCCACCCCCCCTCTATCTCCATGTCCCCCCCCCCCTCTATCTCCATGTTCTCCCCCCCACCCCCTCCCTGTTGCTTACCATCTCGTTGTAGGCATCTCTGCTCAACCGTGGGGTCAGTTTGATGGTCCCCATGAAGACAAAGAATAGACCCAAGGCCACTGAGAGAGCCATGATGGTTATGGTCCTAGATGACACCATGGTCCTGGTTTGCCCCTGGCTTGTCTCAGGCAAACACCCCCCCCAAACACAGACCCACACACAGACCCACACACAGACCCCCCCCCCTCTCTCTCTCTCTCACACACACACACACACACACACAGCAGCTTTGGATGGAGATGGAGAGGGAGAGAGACAAGAGACTTGGAGACTTGCCAACATGTAGATGTTCCTGGCCAATAGTCACTGCTTCTGGGTCCTAAAGCCCAGCCAGGTCTGATTATGGGCAGGTCCTCATCAATGCTCATTCCTTTCGCCCCCACAACAGATAATACACTTGTCAATCCACTTTACAGTATAGCCCGTGAAGCGCCGCGAGACGTCTCACTTTAATGAGTCGCGCCGTCAAATGCAGGGATTATTGTACACCGCTGAAATAAATCTGAACGTGTGAAAACATCCGAGAAAAAAGCCTTAAGAGTGACGCTTCATCTTGGTGCTCCCCCTCTTTCAATCGCAACCTTCGACCCTCCCTTCTGCCCGCAGTCGATTCACTTGACTGCATACATTCCTGTGAAGCGCTTTGGGACGTCTCGACGCCGCGATAAGGCGGGATGTCAAATGCCAGGGTTGTTGCTGTTGTTATTCCGCTCATCGGGCACAAGGTCAGGTTTCCAAAAGAAGTCGCAACCGCCAGACGGCAGGTCTGACAAAAAATCAGAAGAGCCGCGCGAAGAATGTAGGATGTTGAGCAAGAAAATGAACAGGACACCTAATGAAGAGGCAGAGAAACAAGGGGGGGGGGGGGGGGAGGGCGGGTTGATGGGGAGAATGAAGCAGGAACTGACAGAATGTAAAGGATCTAAGAGAGTGAGATGGGGAAGGGAGGGTCGAAGGTTGAGATTGAAAGAGGGGGAGCACAAAGATGAAACGTCACTATTGAGGCTTTTTCTCGATGTTTTCACACCTTCAAATTTATATCAGTGTTGTATAATAACCCCTGCATTTGATGTAGTGACTTATTAAGTGAGACGTCTCACAGCGCTTCACAGGCTATACAGTAAAGTGGACTGACAGTGTATTTCGTGGGCGAAATGCGGCAGCCAGTCACGCGCAACAATGTCCCACAAACAGCCATGGAGTGAGTGACCAATTTTTATTTGGGGGGGGGGGTTGATTGTTAGCTAGGACACCAAGAGAAAAACTCCCTTGTCTTTTCGAACAGTGCCGTGGGTTCTCTAACATCCACCTGAAATAGGTAGACGGGACCTCAGTTTAACGTCTCATCTGTAGGCTTTCAGTGCCTCTTAGTTTATTTTCTGTGTGTGAAATCTGAATGAAGAATGACCGTGACAATCAAATTCCTGACTTTGGGAAAGCTCCCTTCTGTTTGTCGTGCTGAGTGCCCCAGGGTAACGTGTAGGGCTGTGCGTTTCTGGTGTTAGACGTTGTCTTCAGTAATGATGCTACAATTGGAATTCTTGACCTGGTGACTTTGTTGCTGAACAAATAGTCATTAAGTCACATTCTTATGTCACAATAGGATCCCAAATCAGCTTAGTAACAGTCTGGAACTGGAAATCTTGTTCTGTTGTATGCTTAAGGTTCTGGCGTTGGTCACACCAGCCCGGAGTCAGTTCAGTAATGAAGAGCTCAGGCTGACACCCACTAACAAATGTCCAAGATGTACTCTAGCGCTGGTGCTTATGATATTGTCCAGGTCCTGGGCAAGGGGACGTTTGGAGAAGTGGCCAAGTGCTGGAAGAGAAACACGGGACAATACGTTGCGATAAAAATCCTTAAAAATGACGCTGACAGAAAACGAATCGCCAGGTACGAATTGAAAATGTTACGAATCTTGAAAACCGTGGACCCGGATGAGTTTCATTTGGTTCGTTTTTTTGAGTATTTCAGCGACGACGCCAAGTTTTATCTCGTCTTCGAACTCCTGGAGAAGAACCTGTTTGAGTTTCAGAAAGAGAACAATTTTTCCCCTCTGCCCGTGCAACACATTCGCACCATCACGACCCAGCTGTTGCGTGCTCTGCAGAAGATGAACGATCTCTCACTCATCCACGCGGACATAAAGCCAGAAAATATCATGATTGTCGATCAGATGCAATATCCTTTCAGAGTCAAAGTGATTGATTTTGGTTCAGCCAGCGTACTGCAGGACATTCAACAAGTGAAGCGTATGTAGTCGTTTGCATCGGCTCTCTTTGAAGTATTTTCAAGTGTATCTGTCTCTCTTTGTCTTTCCCTGTGGTGTCCTCCCGATGTGAAAGGCGCTATATAACGCAATTTGGTGTTGTTGTGGCTCAACAATAATTTACTTTCGTATCATGCCTTTCACGTAAAATAAATGTCTTGAAGCACTTTATGGAGTGTGAGTAGTTAGAAATAAAGTGAATGTGGTTTTGGGGAAGCAATGGTGGCAGATAATTTTCACTGACAAGGTCCCACATACCATAATCAGATGAGTAAGTAGCTGATTAATTTGAACCTTTGGGCTCCATTTGGATACAAAGCTAATATTAATTAAGATAATTGGGAAATTGTGGTGGGGTCTCTTAACACCAAAGGGCAGGCAAGACCTAAATTAATGTATTTGACATAAGTTGCATGACATTTAAATTTGTACGTCACAGTCAATTTGAGCGCAACAATGTCCGACAAACAGCCGTGAAGTGAATGACCAATCTTACATTCTTGCATGTGATAGACTGCCATACTGTGTCCAAGGGTACTCTCACCTTGTCATGCTAGTGTCTATGTCCTGGCCAAAATCCAAAAAGCTTGACAGCAAATGTCAGCCAAAAGCTTCACAGGAATTTCACCTATGCCTCCGACACTGTGACAAACGAGATGAGCAACTATTACATGATACCCAGAAATCATGGGGCATTCCTCATTTCCATCTGATATACCTTATAACCTGTACATAAATCCATAACAAAAATACAACTGTTTGACCTTCACTGCATGAAATCTTCTTTGAACCATGATAGATGGATCTCATGTTTGGAATTAATAACAATAATCCTTCCATTTGATGTAGCGCCTTATCACGTCGCTGAGACACATCAAAGCGCTTCACAGGATGTATTGTAAAAGTGGATTGACTGCGAATGTTGTGGCCGAAATGCGGCAGCCAATTGCACACAGCAATGTCCCACAAACAGTCATGGAGTGATTTACCAATTCTTTTTGGATATGACAAAAATCATCTCTAGAATAAATAGATAGCTGCATGTTTATGCTGATTTTTAACTTCCATTTACCAATAAGTGAAGGATTTCATTTCTCCTTTAAAGGTGCGTATATCCAGTCCAGGTTCTATCGGGCACCCGAAATCCTGCTTGGGCTACCTTTCTGTGAGAAGGTGGACATGTGGTCGTTGGGCTGTGTCATGGCCGAACTTCACCTTGGGTGCCCCCTCTACCCGGGCAACAATGAGTACGATCAGGTCAGATACATCGTGGAAACCCAAGAGCAACCGACAGACCGCTTGCTGAACCTAGGCAGCAAAGCCCATTATTTCTTCAAGAGGAACACCCACCCTCACTCACTGCACGAGTGGCAGCTCAAATCTGTGACCGAGTACCAATCGGAAACACTGGTGCAGCCTCTGGAGACAAGGATATGCATCTTGAAATCACTCGACCAACTTGTGAGAGTCACCTTATTCAAAACTATCTTGCCGGATTCCGAGGTGGTGGCAAGGGTCCACGATTGTAAAAACATGGTGGGACTTCTAAAGAGAATGTTAGCACTGGATTCCCCCGAGCGAATAAGTGCCAGCGCTGCCCTGCTGCACACATTCATCACCATGGAACAGCTGAAGACTAGGCATGGACAATCCGAGTACTGTGAGCTGTCAGTGCAGGGACTCAATGCGGCACTAAAGTACAAAAAACCTGAATTTCGCAGAAGTTACACGGAAACGGATATGTCTCACCCCAAATGTCGCAAACCCACTGAACAAACAGCTCAAGTCATGTCTAAAGGACCAGAAATGGGCCATAAACATCACAAGTCAACTGCTGAATCAACTCAAGTGTTTGTTAAAGGACCACAAATCGATCCAAGATATCACAAACCAATTGACCAAACAAGTCAGGTGATTGCCATAGAGCCCGAGGTTAGTCTGATGATATTCAATCAATTTAAATATAATAATACATCAATTTATATATTACAATATTAATAATAATCCTTGCATTTGATATAGCGGCTTATCACATCTTCGAGATGTCTCAAAACGCTTCACAGTATATACTGTAGAGTGAATTACTGGATATTCCGCCGGCAAAAAGCAAGAGCCAATTGCACACAGCAGTGTCCCACAAACAGTCATTGATTGATGTGACCGATTTATTATTATTATTATTTATTATTTCGGTACTCCAACATTGGTACTACCCTTTTCAATAGCATAGACCTCTGGAGGAGGCTCAAGCAGAGAATTTGGTTCAAAATTGGCCATTTTTAATGAAATAAAAATATCCTGGAAAATTCCTCCTTGTCCCCGAAGCTCGTTGAGTGAGCCTAATGAGAGAACCTGAGCCAGCAGCAACATGAGAGCCTTTCTTAACCAACTTCTATTGCGCTTCCATTGTTGTGAGCAATGTATAACGGGAGCGAATGGGAAGGGATTACTTTATTAGAATGGGAATGAATGCTAAACTTTTACTCTAACATTGAGTTTCCGTATCCTTTCTTAACAGAAGAGGATTAATAAGAGCATGTCCACAAAGGAGATGACAGCACAGCCTAAGGAAGATGTCACTGGGATAGGAAATTTTAACGAATGCACCCAGCCTGAAACACAATCCAAAAGAAGTCCTGCAAAGACACTACATTTGTTACTTGGAGAAGGTCCTAGTGGTGAGATGAAAGACCATGTCCCCATCGGAAATTTTCCTCAGGAACCCATTAAAACCACAGAGGTCTGGGCCCATCACCACAGGCAAGCTGGCAAGATTATCTCCAAACGCTGTGACTCACAGAGCACCATCAGTTTGCCATCGTTAATATCCCATGCTGAATCACCAGATCAGCGGCTTCACATCGATGACTTAAAAGCTGAGGGGAAAGGTGGGAATTATTTTGGAATAAGTGAT